TAGTCACCTAAAAAAAACATGAAAAAATCCACACCAAAGAGAGACCTGTGCATGTAAGCAACCTGGGAAAGCCTTCAGTCACCCGAGTTCTTCATGTCTAACACAGAACTCACACTGGTGAAAACCCTATGTGTGCACAAAATGTGGGAAAATGTTTTCATATTGCACTTCCCTGCTGCACATAAGAATTCAGAGTGGAGAGAAACTTATGAATATAAGGAATGTAAAAAAGCCTTCAGAACTTTTCAGTATCTTTCAGAAATATAAAAGGATCGTAGTGAAGAGAGAAACCTTATGAATGTAAACAACATGGAAAAGCTTTCTGATGTCCTGTGTGCCTTAAAATACATGAACTAATTCATATTGGAGAAAAACCTTATGTATGTCACTACTGTGGGAAAACATTTATTCATTTTTGTTCATGTGTAGTGTGCAGATGAATTCACACTGAAGACAAGCCTTATAACTACAAGCAATGTGGGAAAGCCTTCAGAGGTTTCAGTTAACTTCACAGACATCAAATAACTCACTAGAGAGAAATACCATGTAATAAGCAAAGAGGCAAGAGCATCATTCCCATGCTGTCTTGGTTACTTTTCTCTCCTTGCTGGGACAAAATACCTCACACCTAAAAAGAAGGTAGGAAAGGTTTATTTAGTTCACAGTTTGTGGAGGTTTCAGTCCATAATCAGCTGGGTTCAAGATAGGGTGGCATGACTCCCTGGGTAATACTTCAAGGCGGCAGCCAGAGCAAAAGGCAGGGATGAGCAAGCTTCTTTTCCTCCCTTATATTGTATGCAGGCCACCCTACCCCCACCCCCCAGGACAGTGTAGCACTCACAAAATCTCTTTGCCCTCCCCTTGCACAGGATGAGGATATTTAGTGAGGATCCTGGCTCCCTGCTGAGTCCAGTTCAACTTCTAAATTCCTCAGGTTGACACAGTATATCAACCATAACATACCTTCAAATACATGAAGGAATTCACACTAGAGAGAAGCACATAAAGCTAAGCAGTGTGGGGAAACTATTCATGTGTTCCATTTCCCTTCATGTACGCGTTGGAGGGATCTTATTTATAAGCAATGTGCTAGTGTGCAACTTTTATATTACTCTTCAAATAAAGGAAAGTATTCACACTAGGTACAAACCTTACATATTTGAGTAATGCAGAAAAAAATCTTTCATTTGTTCCTCCAGGTATTGAAAACAGAAATTCACACTACTGCGAAAGCCTTTGTATATAAAGGAAAAACCTTCAAATGTTCCAGTTGCCTTCAACAAACAGAAAGGGGAGCTTTACGTAAAGAAAACTCATTCTGCTTTTCTTTGAATCCCTTCCACTTGTATTCAGTACATAAAAATCACTAAATAGGGGCTGGAGATTTAGTTCAGCGGCATAAGCGCCTGCTTTGCAAGCAGGCAGTCGTGAGTTCGATCCCTGGTACCGATAAAAAGGAAAAAGACAAAAAAAAAAAAAATCACTAAATAGAGAATGGCTGAGCCTTTGTTATCACGTCACCTGTCTGAGAACGCTTTATTATACACGGTGGAGGAGACTGGCATCATTGTAGAGTATGGGAAATCTATGCATCTTGGTTTTATTCATTCTCTCTTAGTTAAACATCTGAGCTTCTTGGGTTGACACAATGTATCAGCCCTAACACACCCTTCAAATAGTGAAAGATTTAAATGAATAGAGTGTAGAGAAATCCCTTAAATATAACAGTTGTTCAAAAGACTTCAGTTGGCCCACATGAAAGAATTAGCAATGGATAAAATCCTCTGAATGTCAAAAATTTAAGTTGGCAGTTACGACAGATGCTTTCAAAGACCAGTGGCAATCTATCATTCCATGAAATCCCATGAATGTAAGTTATAGACTGGAGCACAGTAATGTGGGTAAATGCACCGGAGGGCGCCCCATGGTAAAGTTGGTCTCTGCATCATGCTGTTCCTCTCTTGAAAACAAACATAGAAATATTTGCCTAAGAAAAAGTCGGATGCTAGAACTTGCTCAGTGGTTTTTCTGCACCTATTAATGTGGTCACATGAGCTCAACACCTTAGGCTGTGGATGTGACAGCCACATTAACCTGTGTTGTAATGTTAGCTAGCCTTGCACTGTAATCTTGAAGAGATTACAGCCACAGCTGCTTGATTTAGAGGTTCGGATCCAGAAACGGCAAAGACCTTCAGCATCAAGATAAAAGCAGTAAGACAGAGGTTGGTGCACTTACACGGAAGAAGGGAAAGTACAGAAGGACGTGGCATCACCGGATGGGAAGAGGAGCTTCTACACTGGGATTTCAGTTTTAATGCCGGGGACTCTCGTTATGCGGCCTTTAAGGCAGAGCCCAGGCAGTGTCTTCTCCACAAATGAGACTCCAAGGTGCCCCTCACTAGTGAGGCCCCTTAAATATCACCTGGGACAGAAGTGGCGGTGTCCCAACTGCGTGTGTGACTGGGGCAGAGAGTTTGTGGCCCCCAAGGACTGGCCACGTGCCGGGAACCAACATTCCCGTGACCTAGACAGATGAGAGAGAGACCGCCCTTGAGAGTGGGCCAGGCCCACAGTGGATTCTGTTCAAGGTGCTCCTCCAGGTGCCCCAATACCTACTCCTTGAATAAGGAAGATCTTTCTACCTTCAATTTTTTTTTTTGTTTGTTTGGGTTTTTTTGTTTTTTGCGGTACTGGGGATTGAACTCATGACCTCATGCTTGCCAGGCAGGCACTTATGTCACTGAGCTAAATCCCCAGCCCTCTACCTTCAATTTTAACCCTGCACACATATTTGGAATAGCTCTTCCTTGGTCATAGCGCAGTTCTTTCTCTGTATGTTATTGGACCAAGTTTGCTAATACTTTGTGAAGGACTTTTGCATCTGTGCTCACGACAGCCCTTGGCCCATAGTTTTTTCCTTATAAAGTGTTTGTTTATGGTGTTAAATCAGTGTGACCCCACAGAGTGAAATGGAAAGTATTCTCTCTGCTTCTATTTCTGGGACACGTTGTAGAGAATTGCTACCATTAGTTCCCGAAGTGTCTGGTAGAATTTGCCAGCGTGTGAAAACATGAGGCCAGTTGCTTGCTGTTTTGAAGGTTAATGACTATTAATTCCATTGACCTCATGGATGTGAGCCTATTGAGTTAATCTGTGTCTCCTGGCATGCATTTTGGTAGGTTGTGTCTTTCAAGAAATTGATCCATTTCATTTAGGTTTTCAGATTTGTGGGCATTAAGTTGTGTTTTGTTATTAGTATTTTTCTAATGTCCATGAAACCAGTAGTCATGGGCCATCTTTCATTTCTAATTACTATTTTGAGTTTTCTCTGTTTTTTTCTTGAGTAGCCTGGATAGCAATCAATTTGATTTTTATTATTTCTTTTCATTTGCTTATTTTGGATTTAATTTGGTCTTCTTTTTCTAGTTTCTAATAGTGAAATGTTAGGTTGTTGATTTAGACCTTTCATTTCTAGTATGCACATTTAATGCTATAAATTTCCTTCTGACCAGTATTTTATAGTATTCTACAAATCTTTTTTTTTTTTTTTTTTTTTTTTTGTATTGGGAATTGAACTCAGGACCTTGCACTTGCAGGCAGGCACTATGCCACTGAGCCATATCCCTGGTTCCACAAATCTTGATTGGTTGTTATTTTCACTTAATTCAAAATACTTAAAAAATTCTCTTGAGACTTGTGTGTCATTTAAAAGCACGTTGTCTAATCCTCAAATACTTGGGGTTTTCCAGGCATTTTTCTGTTATTAATTTCTAATTCAGTTCCATTCTGGTCTCTGAGCATACTTTGCATGACAGCTGTGTTTGACTTTGTTAATGTTTGTTTGGTGTCACAGAACTTGTCTCTCCTGTTGCCTGTTCCGCATGAGCCTGAGGAGAATGTGTGTTCTGCTGTTATTGGACGAAGTGTTTTACAGATGTCAGTTCCAGGGGTTAACAGTGCGGTTCACTTCAACTCCAGCTCCCTGACTTCCTGTACATGTACACTGTGATGCCGTTCCACAGAGCTTGGGTAGTCTGTTCTAGCTGCTTGGCTCTTGCTTTTCTTCTTTCTCTCATTGCATTGCAGTTGAATAAGTTCTCTTCCACCCATCTTTCCCCTCGCGGTCTCTCCTCCCTATGCCCATCTGCTGGGGGCCTGTCAATGGCATTCTTCATTTCTGTGAAAGTGTTTTTAATGTTGAGCGTTTCACATTCTTTGTTTTACTTTGCATATTTCTCTTTGTTACCCATCTGGTTTTCCACATTGTTCACCTTTAGCATATTGATCAGTTATTTTAAATTCCTGGACTGACAACTCCAAAATGCCTTTCCTACCTGATTCTGGTTCCGCTGCTTGCAATGTGTCTTACCGCTCTTTGTTTGATTTGTCTGTTAGCATGTGCTGTAAATCTTTTTGCTGCAATCCAGATGTGATATGTGAGGAATTTAGGAACTTAGGTAGACACTTGGTCTTATGTTGATCTGGCTTAGAGTTGGGCTGTATCTATCACTTTCTATAGCTTTAGGAATCAGAGGCAAAAATTTGTCCTGGTGTCTTGTTTCTCTTATTTTTTTTGACTTCCAGTCTCACCAAGTTGCCACGCCTGGCCTTGGCCTTGAACTTGTGACCCTCCTTCCTCAGCTCCCCGGGGAGCTGGGATTAGAGGCATGCAGTGCTACACAGGGCCGGAGACTCCCTAAGTGTGGCCACAGTTTTTGTTCTTAAACTGCAGCCCTGTCTGGCAGAGGACGCCCACTGTCAAGGTGGTCAGATGTGGAGGGTGGGCAGCTGTCCTGGTCCTGAGTGGGTGACCCCTGTGTGTCAGTGCACCTCTGCTGGGCATTTCCCCAGGAGCTGGGCTCTGGTAACCCAGTTCCTTTGAAGGCCGAGGCCTTATTGAGAAGAGGAGCTCTAGATATTTCAGAACAGTTACTGTTCCTCCCCCCTCCATCCCTCCCACCCCCCCACCCCCCACCCAAAGCGCAGCAGGGTTTCCTCTGAGCTCCGTAGTGAGAGCCTGGTGGGACTTAAGTGAGATCCGTGATGGCGTGAGGGCCGCCTTGAGCTTTGAAAATTCACCCGTCACTCCCAGAACACTGGCCCTGAGACTGGCACTAGTGTGGGTGTCAGTGCTCAAGGAACCCTCAGTCCCTGTCCTCGCTGTCCCTCTAGGTTCCAGGCTGCAGTTTGGCTGGACCTTGATTCTCTGATGACTGTAGCTACCATTGATTTTGATTCTGTTTTCCTGCTTGTGAGGAGAGGGTGACAACTTTTAACTCACTGCCTATCAGACAAAAGACTGGAACATTCTGATCAGCCTTAACTTTGCACTTCACTTTCTTCTGAAGTCCAGAGCCAGGAACCAGACCAGGCCGTGCTCAGGGCAGACACAGTGAGGATGGTGTCGAGGGGCCGCACTTCTCAAGGCCTCCATCCCAGCTGCTGTGGGCAGCCTGCGCACAGACCCGGGGATTGCTTCCTGGGGGCCGTGGCTAAGAAGGCCAGATCCACACATCTGTTATGGAATTAGCTGTCGGTCATCTGTTGTGTGCCAAGTGCGTGAGAAACATGACCAGGAGTAAAGCAGAGAGAAACGTGGGCTCGTAGTCCCTCTCACACACAGGAGAAAACACAGTCAGCGGCTGAACCTTGCTGCAGGTCCGGCAGAGACACACAAGATAGAAACATGGACGTGGGCCGGGGAGAAAGTCTGAGGCTGCAGGAAGGGAGGAGACCAGCACTCACAGGGGCTAGGGGAGGTGGTGTGAGAAGACACCCTCTGGGGGCCTGAGGTCAAGGGAAGAGTTGGGTGACCACCTGGAGAAGCGTTAGGAGGGGCAACCATGCAGCACTGTCTGCCTGACTTGTTCTTTGTTGTTTGTTTGTTGAGGCAGGGTCTCGCTGTGTAGCCCAGACTGGCCTCAGACTCACAGCAATCCTCCTGTCTCAGCCTCCTGAGCGCTGGGATCACAGGCATGCACCACCATGCATTCTTGATAATAAGGTACATTTGGAGGGTGTATCAGTCATTGCTCACTAGAGAAACAGGTTTAATGCAAGATATACAAATACATAAGGATTTACAAAATTGGTTCATAATGGCTGCCTGCAGAGGCTGGTGTGGAAGCATACAAAAGGGCCCTCAGTACAATGAGAGCCGAAGAGTCCAGGCGGACACCTGGCACTCACTGTGGTGTCCCGGGCAAGTTCATGTCAGGAGGCCCAAGGGTCTGCACCAGAAGCCAGGAGACGCCATCCAAGGCAAAGGCCAGAGCTCTCTGAGGAAACAGAAGCTCGCCTTCCTCCCTGTCTCCCTATACTCCATGCAAGCGACAAGCCCACCACTGCTGTCACTCACACACGAGGCGGGGCTTCCATCTTCAGGGCTGCCCTGGGCCTCACCCAGAGCCATGTGGCCCAGCCAGCTGGTGTTGCTTATTTCTGGAGACACAACGGTTGCTTGTCCCAGAGGGGGCTGGCCCAGCTCCGTGCTGGCCTGAGCACCAGGCTGATGGGTTGGCAAGAGACTGAGGTGGGGCGGGGCCTGCGGGACACAGAAATGAGAGCCAGGAACTGGGGGTCTCAATCCAGTCTGCTGTGACCAGTTAGTCTGGCGGCTGAGGGAGGAGGTAAGAAGGACATCACAGGTGTGGCCAAGAGGATTTGCTCATGGAGTGCGAGGGCACAAGGTGTGGGTGTGAATAATTAGGGACCTCGGCTGTCTGGTCCACAGGACTTTACAGAACCTGCTTTCTCCCCTGAATGTTCTTGCAGCCATCAGCTCCTGCTTGTGCGCAAGCTACACTTCGTTTCCTGGGGCTGCAGCCAGGACACCCAGCCCGGACAGCCAGCCCACAGAGACCCCTGCAGAGGCTCAGCACCACACCCCTCTCTGCTGGGCAGTGTCTGTCTCCCTGCCAGACTGTAAGCTCCATATTTATCCAGAATGGGTAGTGCTTGCTGAGCGACTCTCTGGCCCCCTTTCTACATGACCACACGAATTCCACATTGAGTCCTTCAGTGCTGCCCACTCCAGGCCAAGGACTGCGGCTGAGTTTCTTTATCCACTCACCTGGGAGCGTCAAGTTCCCACCTAGTGCGCACCACACTGGTGCATCCCACAGGAACACATGCAACCACTCCTGGCTTTTGGGGAGGGTGCATTTGGGGAAACCGAGCTTTAGCACTAGGATTTTAGATTTAAGGAGTGAGCGTTTCCCTTTCTGTCTCCGGGCATCCACAGCCCCCACACAGAGCCTGCCACCCTTGCATAAGGCGTCTGCGTCTTGCAGTTGAGCTGTGGAAGCGGGCAGGAAGCATGCACCCTGGTCCCTGCTCATAAGAGCTCTGGCCTCCACCTCCCCGCCCAGCCCCCCACTCTTGCATCCTGCATTTCTCCTTGGCGACAGCTTCTCAACTCCTTCAGCATCTTCCCCTCTCTTCGGTCCCACCTCCGCTACTCTCTGGCTTTGTCCTCACTCCATCCTGATCACCAGCAGACCCCTCAGTCCCCAGCAAACGCCACCAACCCGAGCACCTATAGGGCTGGCGGGAGTGGATGGTGCTGGTCCTGTGGCTGGGAGAAAGCTTGTTTCTGTGCAGTGACAGTGGGCAGCTGGAGCAGGGCAGTGGCTCAGTGGAGAGGAGAGGCTCCATCCAGAGAGGATACCTGTGTCCAGCAGTCGCTGTCCATGTGGATTGTAGTCTGCGCAGCTAAGTCTGTGAGTGTGTATAGTAGAAGTCACAAACATAGGTTTAATTGACATTGGTAAGGCTTTGAGTGTTGGCAACAGATTTAAACCCTAAAGTGCTCGGTGAGCCAAACACGGTCTCACAGAGGGAAGGGCAACTGAGAGAGATTCAGTTCAGAAGGTCATAGAGTTTGGTGCACAGGATGGAGCAGAGCAACCGAGGCATGACTCAGGCATGGGGGCAGGGTGGGTTGCAGGATGGGAGCCCAGGAGGATACCTGTCCCAGACAGAAGGTGGGGTGTTGAAGGGGACCTGAGCTGTGAACTGTGCCTGCAAGGCCTGAGGGTGCTGTACAGCGGGCAGCCAGGGAAGATGCTGCAGGTGGACCTCAAGCATCCCCATGAAGAAGTCAGGATGCAGGCCAGTGCAGAGGAGGAGGGGTCCTCGGAGGGCCCCATAGGGAGGAAGAGACCCCCTCACCCACATGTGGCCCTCTGCTTTACCCCTCCTGTACCATCATATCCTTTTGCTGAGATCTGGAGCACCCCAGACTCTCCCAGCCCCTTGGGAACCACCTTGAGCACTAGCTGCTGCCTGAGCTGCACCTGACCGAGGGTGCCCAGCTCCCTGGGTGCAACTGGGCACCACACCTTCTGATGCCCAGGTTGTCCCATGTGCAGTAGGCACAGGACCCTGCTCTGTGCCCTCCCTGCAGCCTACACAATGTCCTCCTTGTCCTCGGAGCCCTTCCTTCCTCAATATCCGGGTGGCCCAAGTGGAAAGGAGCTCGTGGTCATTCCTTCCGGTAACACACACAGTTGGGAATCTCCATGGTCTGATTTCACATCATAGGCACCATGAAAACTTTGCAGGTGAAACTGCTCTGTCTCGAGCTGACAAACCAAGGGCCCACAACCTCCGCTCACTGCCTGTCTCCTGCATACCACCTCTGGTTGCTTCAGGCCACAGTGGCAGAGCCAAGCAGTCCTGACACAGATCCCAGGGCTCATGAAGCTGGATACATGGTCTGTTCTCTTTCTGGAAAATATTGGGGAGCCCGCCTCAATTAAAAGCTTTTTTTTTTTTTTTGTACCAGGGATCCAACTCACAACCTAGCACTTGCAAGGATTTACCTTAAATTTAAAACTTGGAGTCCAACTGTTATAATCTAGGGTATCCTGTTTTGGGGGGTACCCTGGTAGCTGTGGCTGGCACACACTGAGGAGAGTGTCAGGGTCCCTGCAGTTCCAGGGTCTCCACAGCCACCCTCAGGTTTAGTAGTTTGTGGAAGAATGGCGAAAAGCGAGACGCTCTTGGTCCACTGTGCTGAGGGCACACAGGCCAGGATGGGGGGAGGGCACAGAGGCACCAGCTCTCAGGCACCCTGTCCTGGGGAGTCCAGGGCAGCACTGGCCTCTCCCAGCAGTGCATGACTGCATCCTGAGTGCTGCTGGCCAGGGCGCTCGCTGGGCCGGGGGTGGGGCTCACACAGGCGTGGTCAGCCCTGGGAACTCCGTCCCACCCCACAGAGTCCCACTGAAACCATGTGGAGTGTGGGCCCCACTGTGGTCCAAAGCTGCTGCAGTCACTGCCAGCTAACATCCCAAGGGCCTAGAGGGCATCCCTGAGGGGCAGAGCACGGCCAGCTCTTCCTTTGGGACAGGCAGAGCGTGGGCTGTCCAGCTGAGTTAATTCTTTACTGAGCTTTCCCTACTGAGCAGGGCACCCTGGCCAGGGTTTGCAGCTTAACTCGACTTCCTGCGTTGGCCTAACCTTGGCCCAGCCGTGGGCTCAGTCCATACCACCTGGACAGCCTTGCACACTCTGCACTCTCTTCCTAGTGCCCACTCCAGGGCAGGCCTGGGCATCTATGTACTCCACCCTCCTGTAGGCCAATGCTGAGACAAGGGTAAGGGACTGGGGCACAGGCTCTGAGCAGCCTTGTGGGCAGGACAGGGTCACACCCTGGAAGGGAAGCCTGGGCATCAGGATGGGACCTGGCACAAGTGCAAGGCCTGGCCGGACCTCAGGGCAGGAGTGGGCTGTCCACCTGCTCTGCACTGTGGGGGAAGCAGGCCGGAGAGGTTGGAGGTCAAACCTGCAGCTTAGTGCACTGGGCCTCATCAGCAGGAACAAGGCTCTGGGGAGGTTTTGTGTGGGGCCTGCCCTGCTGGAGCTGTGCTGAGGAGAATCCAGGCCCTTGGCTGCTGTGGGTTGGACTACAGGGTTGCAGAGGAGGTGGTGGAGACTGGGGGGAGGAGGAGCCCTCTGATGGGCCCAGGACAGAACTGTCAGGTTTTCTCCCCAAGCATTCGTTCTTGGCCTCTTGTGTGCTAGGGCCCGGTGCAGGCATGGATAATCCAGCCATGGCCAGCTCACAGCACCACATAAACGCTGTATACCATGTGGGGCAGGCAGTACCACAGAGGAGGGGGTGCAGCAGAAGGTAGGGCCCAATGGAGGGCTTGAGCCAGGCGACTTTGGAACAGACACTGAGAAGGACAGGTGGGGGCCCTTGGCTCAGTGATGAGAGGGGTGTCGGGTGGGGGCTTGAGGAACGGCTGGAGGGCATTTACAGGATCACAGACATCTATGTGAGGCCCCTCTGTGGTAACATGATACCACAGACTGGGCATGTTACAAAGAAGAGTCCCCGGCCAGGGCCCTCTAGTGGTGGCCTTCTTGGTGGCAGGGTCACAGTGGTGCAAGGCACCATGGCTAGAGACAGGTAGCATGTGTACACGCCCTGTTGCTTTGGGTCTCTCTCATAAAGCTGCCAGGGTTCTGTCACGGGGCTTTGTAATGACCTTATCTATCCCAAAGCTCCTGTCTCTAAACACCATGGTCACCTTAAGCATCCACCGTCTAAGGACCTTACCATACAACCTGCTTCAGGCTGGGTGTGGTGATGCAGGCCAGTGACCTCAGCACTTGGGGAGGGAGAGGCATTGCAATTTCAATCCAGTCTGGGCAACTCAGCACGTAGCAAGCCCCCATCTCAAAATCAAAGATGAAGAAAGGAGTGTAGCGCCTAGTGTGAGGGCCCTCAGTTTAGTCTCTTGCATTAAAACAAAGCACAAACTAAAGATGGCATTTGTGTGTGACTTCAGGGGTGGACGGCGTAGCTGGAGGTTGGCTCTGGACAGGGGCCCAACACGAGCTGTGTGCCAAAATTGCCCAGCAGCACTTGGAAGATCACGGGTGTGTGCCATGCATGTGATGCTGAAACAGACGCAATGTCAAGAATGTGTGAGGGGCTCGGACCACACAGTAACAAAATGATTTAGAAATGGCCCCAAAAGTGTGCGGACACATCAAGAAAGAAGTGAACTCACAGGGAAGGAGGCTTGATGCAGCTGGTCAGGAGATGGTAGACATTAAAAGCTCTTCGAGGTCCTGTTATTTACCAGTGAGAAAGGTGAGAGCCAGGCTGGCCACAGGCAGTGCTGACCCGGACATGAACAGCTAGGCATGCACAGCTGCCCGGGACTGAGAGGACACAGCCTCTCCAGAGGATGGGTTGGCAGTATCTTAGCTATTTTCTCCTTGCTGGAATACAATACTCAACAGCCACAGGTTAAAGGAGAAAAGGTTTATTTGCCTCAGTTTGTAGAGGGTTCAGTCCATAGTCGGCTGGCTCCAAGGCAGCGTGGCATAGCTGAGGGGCATCGCAGAGGAGAAACCGTCCAGGGCAGGGCAGACAGAGGCAGAGAGAAACCAAGGGAAGAGGAGGAAGCAAAACCTGTGGTCCTCTCCCCTGGGAGCCACCTCCTTCCAACATCGCACTTACCAGTGGACTAACCCACACTTACAGTACCATGCCTCTGTGATCCATTCACCTCCCAAAGCCCGAAAAGTGTGTCCTATGAGAAATAAACCCTAACATACTGTTTCTCACAAAGTTAAGCAGAAATTTCCCACATTTATGGGGATGTTCTTTCATGATAGTGCTAATGGTTCACACAGGCTTATACATTTGTCAAAATACATTTGTACACAATAAAAACTGGCCATTTTTATTGTGCAAAAATTATATGAGCTGACTGAAAACAGAGCAGAATTCATCTTTAGGGGCAGAGGTGAGACTCATGGTCCCCAGCTGATGAATGACCAGAAGGACAAGGAGGGTTAGACCCTGAGTCCCTCACCCAGCACAGACATGGGCATCACAACAGGGGAGGCCACTGCCCCCATCTCTGGTGTGCACCAAGCTGTCTCCCTGGGGCAGAGACTTGGGGGCGGGGTTCTAGGAGGACTCTGGGGAAGCAGAGCTTGTCCTGTGGGTTACCCTCAGAATCAGAAGGAGCCAGATGCAGACAGCATCCTGCAAGGACAAGGTAAGGAGATCTCAGGGCAGCACCGTGGAGGGCAGTCCGGTGCCTGCAGGAGGCCAGGTCTGAAGGTGAGGTCTCTCTTCTGCCTGTGAGGGAGGCCAGGGGATGGACTAGGTCACAAGACCTGGATTCTAAGTTTCCCCAGCTCAGCAAGCTGAAATAACATGCTCTGTGGGTATCATTTTCTAAACCTAGCCATGGGTCACCACAGAAGGGTGTGTCTGTCTGTGGAGCTGCATGCTCAGGGGTTTATACATTTCTGTAAATTACACCTCACTTTAAAAAATCACACCTCAATTTTTTGAGATGGAGTCTCTGTACATAGTTTAGGTTGGATACAAGTTTTCAGTGTTCCTCCTGCCTCAGCCTTCCAAGTGCTGGGATTTCAGATATGTGCTACAATGTCCAGTTGACACCTCAGTTCTAAAAGAAACAGATGTAATGGTGCCTGGGGGCATGGTGGCACACACTGGGAGGCTGAGGCAGGAGGATCAAAAGTTTAAGCTCAGCCTGGGTAACTCAACAACTTAGCGAGACCTTGTCTCCAAATAAAAAGTTTAAAACATGGCTGGAGATGGAGCTCAGTAGAAAGGCCCTGTGTTCAATCTCTAATACCAAAAAGAAAGAAAGAAAGAGGTAATGATGTTCAAGCCCATGCCTAGAAACTGGGTATAGTTGGTCTAGGGCTGGGCGTGGGCAAGGCTGTCTCCGGGGCTCCTGGGGGACCCTGCTGTCCCCTGGAATAGAGCACTGACCTCAGGCATGGTGGCAGGGAGAGCATTGGCAGAGGTCACAGGTCACTGCAGTGAGGGCTGAGGTGGGCAGAGCCTGGCCACACTCTCCAGCCCCTGTTCTGGCTGCCAGGTCAACCAGATGGCCGCGGACGAGGCCTCGCAGGACACCGTGCGGCTGCAGTTCAGGGCAATGCAGGAGCTGCAACACCGCAGGCTGCAGCAGCAGCTAAAGGCAAAGAGGGAGAGGAGCCTGAGCCTCCAGAGCCATGCAGAGGAGCAGGAAGCGCCCCCGGGGGTCACCACCAGCCTTGGCCTCTTCCTCTCAGAGGAGCAGGACCTGCAGGGTGCTTTCCAGCAGAGGTAAGGAGGCCTGAGCTGGGGCTCGGGCCGGTGGAGTGGAGGGCAGGAGTGACGGCAGGCAGGTGTCGGCGGGCATGGGCTCATCAAGGACAGAGTTTCCACTCAGAGGCTGTTGTTAAAGACCCTTGGGTCTGCAAGAGCCCTGTGTCTGCAGGCGAGATTTGGTATGAAACCTACCTGAAAACCATTCTGCGTCAACTCAAACATTTAAGAGCTCCTCATGGTACAGTGTACTCCCTGGTTTCATTTCCTATCTGATTGATTGATCAGTTATTGATTGATACAGTACTGAGAGTCGAACCCAGTCCCCTTGCATGGACATCCCTATTCATTCACTCATCTGTATTTTGACCCATGATGCTGGATCAAAATACAGATGACTAAATTGCTAGGTTGCCCAGGCGGGGCTCAATCTCATGAACTTCCTGCCTCAGCCTCCCAGAGTGCTGGGCTTACAAGCGGGCACCTCCACATCTCTCTGTCATGAGAATTGTGTCTGTGTCTCTGAGGAGCTGGTCCAAGTGCCCCTTGCCTTCCCAAGGGTGCCCCAGCTGGCCTCTGCCTCCTCGATGCTGGGGGACAAGAGGAAAGTGTCCAGGACCTTCTCAGTGAGCTCAGACCCTGATACCGCAGAGGCGGGAGGTCTACCCTGCCCCAAGGCAGGTCTGCCGGCCCCCACTCTGCACAGGAGCAGGGGCAACGCTGAGCTGTCTGCTTCCGCTGTTGTCTGGAGTATTTCTTCCATCTTCACATTCGATTTATTTTACCACCTCCAAATTCTGCCTTTTTATAGATTCTCAGTTTTCAAAATGACTGACTTTAAAATGCCAACTGGAAAAAAAATATTTCCAATAAGTGACGTTTTAAAAAAAAATCACAGGCCCCTGAATGTCAGCTCTCGGTCAGCCCCAGGGCTGTGTCCAATGGAGCTCTCCCAGAGCAGGAGACCGGGGCTGGCAGGGCCCTGAGCCTGAGCTGGAACAGTGACAACCATAATGCCCACAGCTCCTTGCTTCCTCGCAGCCCCTCCTCCTCCTCACTGGCATGGCCGGGACCACAGCTCATGATCACTCCAGCCTGAGTGCTTCTCGAGGAGCGGCCACCTCTTCCAGACTCATGTTCACCTGCACCTGAGAGCCCTAGGGCTTACAAAAATCACAAGTTGCCCTGCATGTGTGTGTACGCGTATGAGGACCGCTGAAGCTACTTCAGGGCTGATGGCATACGCTTCTCGGGCCTGACAGAGCTTCCACGGCCAGTCCTCTCCAAGGGCTTCCTCACGTTCATTGTGACTTTTTTTTTTTTTTCTTTTTCCTTTTTATCAGTACTGGGGATCGAACTCACGACTGCCTGCTTGCAAGGCAGACGCTTATGCCGCTGAGCTAAATCCCCAGCCCCAATTGTGACTTTTTTTTAACCAGCAGATAATTTAGGCACTTGCTTCTTAAGTTCCAAACATATGATGATCTTTGGGCTTTGTAATTTTCTTTTACTTTTTGATTTATTTTTCTTGGTGTGTTCTGAGATAAGCTGTCATTACACAGTCCAGGCTGGCCGTGACCTCACTGTGAAACCCAGGCTAGCCTGAAACTCCCAACCCTCCTGCCTCAGCCTCCAAAGTGCTGGGATGACAGGTGTGTGCCACCACGCCCAGTTTATTTTTTACTTTTGTTGTTGTTATTTTGAAACAGGGTCTCACTATGCAGTTCAGGCTGGCCTTGAGCTAACTTTGTACCCAGGTTGGTCTTGAACTTGCAACAATCCTCCTGCCTCCTCCCTAGTGCTGGGATTATAGGTGTCCTCCCTGCCTCCATGCCTGGATTTTTTGCTATTTTTAGTGTTGATTTCTAGTTTTTAACAACTACTATCAAAAAAGTGGTCTGATTTAATAAAATATTTCTATCGGGGATGTGCTAAGCCTGGCTTGGTAGCTGACAGGCCGTTTTTATGCACATCTTGTGGGTGTGTGAGCATATATTCTCCGAGCAGGGTCATACAGTGGACTCTTTGGGGCCAGCTGGTGAGCCCTGCTGCCCAAACCTTCCTTTCTCCTGCGGCTTGTGCAGTGCTGACTTGCTTAGTCCTCGGCAGCTTAGTTCATCCCTTAATTGCTTCCCTTTCTGTATAAACCATCCCTGACCCCACCACCTGGTGCCCCGTGCCTGGCGGGGAGCCTGAGCCCTGGCACCAGCCTTTCCCTTGCAGGGTGCTGGAGGACGAGATCCAGCAGCTGCGGCAGGAGCTCAGGGAGACTGCAGACGAGAACGGGCGGGTGTACAAACTGCTGAAGGAGAGGGACTTTGAAATCAAGCACCTCAGAAAGAAAATAGAAGAGGACAGGCTCGCCTTCACAGGTAGTAGCACCACCCAGCCACCGTCTGCCCTGGAGCTCAGGGTCAGCCCAGTTGCCATGTGGGCACCAGAGGCCAGGTGCCCAAGAGGCAGCACCAAGGGTCCACTGTGGTCACATGGGTCCAGATGCTTCCTGGAAGTGATGAGAGCAGGAAACATGGGCACAGGGGACAGTGTAGGCCATGGGTAGGTGGCCCATAGCACTGGCAACACAGCTGGACTCGGAATAGGGTTTCCTATTGTGCTCGCAGTGTGGTCAACAGCCAGAAGGAAGGGTCCATTCCTGACTCTGACGCCTTGTCTTGGACATCACAGGCAGAGTGGTGTGAGGCATGAGTCCTGCAGCTCCCACTGCCCGCCAGGGGCTATGGTGGGGACCTCGGGCCCAGGAGTCTGGTGAGGACCCTGGCCTGACTGTGTTCTGTTTCCTGTAACACCATGGAGCATTTCCCAAGGGCCGCTAAGCCAGCAGGCAGTGGTCACCAACCCCAGGGCCACAGGGCTGACCCCACATCCACCAGCGCATCGTCCCTGCACCAGATTCAAGGCCGGACAGGTCAGAGCCCAGCCAGAGCACATGAGGGCTTGGTGTTGCACAGCCCTGGCAGCCTCCCCATCTCCCTGCTCTCTTCTGACTCGAGGACCCCATGGCCTAGGGGCAGTTGCACTTTGCCAGACTTCAGGGGAGCTGGCAGCTCCAGGAGGAGCTGGGGTCCAGCCCCACCCATGCAGCTGACCCAGAAGACCCGCTCCCTTGGCCCCTGGCAGTGGCCTCACTGGATGGCAGCCCTGAGTCCTCCTGGAGATCTGTGTCCCGAGGTCATGGCTGCTGGTTTCTAACCTCATGGGGTTCTTATTTGCTAGTTTGTTCATTTGTTTGTTTTTGGAGTTTGTTTGTTTGACTGATCCATGCCCTGTACTAGGAATACCCGGGATCTTCACCCTGAGCTATGTCCCCAGCGCATTTGTTTGTTATTCATATTTTGAGACTGGGTCTCACTAATTCACTAATTTATCCAGGCTGGGCTAAAACTCGTGATCCTCCTGCCTCAGCCTCCCAGAGTGCCAGGATTACAGATTTGCACCATGCCCAGCCAACCTTACCTTTCAGAGAGAGAAGGCCGACTGGTCCCATTTGTGTTCTAAGCCAGGCCACAGCTGACAGGCTGCTGACCACTGATGGTCCTTTGGCTGGATTTTTAGTCAGTGCTTTAGTGATTACAAAGCACTTCACTTTTTGCAGTCTATTAGAATTAGTGTCTTACCATGTCAGGTGGAAGGTAGAAACCTGGCCAACACAGTGGGCCGGCCCTACATTCTCTACACTGATGTGGTGCAGCTTTTAGATGCATTATATGGGGTTTATTGAAAATCTTATTGACGTTATAGGTTTTACAGACAACATGATACACACTTTAGAGAGCTTAAGGAGGTAAACATGGTCCATCTCCTGGCTTTGGCGCTTCTGTGCTTTCCCCATGCTGTCCCACTTATCAAGGAGGTCCAGCTTCAGGACCACGCTGGCCGGCAGCCAGACGGCACTGGAGACAGGAGGAAAGGAGAGGACCCCTGGTCTCGGGCTCCCCTGCTGTCCACACTGAAGAGAGCAGTTCCGGGACCTGAACCACTGCCAAGTCCAGGGAAGAGACAGTGCCCTAGTAGACTCAGCCCTGGGCCATTTGTGCTTCAAGGGCTGCTTTCCACCCAGACATGCTTGCTGTCTGTCTTAGCTTCTGGGTCTGAGGCACAGTACCCAATACTCAAATTTTAAAGGAGGAGAAGTTTAATCCAGCTCTGGGTTCGGGAGATTCGGTCCATGGTCGGTTGACTCTGTGGCGGGAACATCATGGTAGCAGGGCATGATGGAGGAATGTGGCTCCCTCACAGTGACTGGGAAGCAAAGAGAGAATGAAAGAGGGCAATGCACTCCCCCAAAGTGCCCACAGTGACCATCCCAAGTGGGTACACCGAGCAGCAGATCCACCCACGGGGAGCACTGTGCTCCCTGCCCCAGTCGCTTCCCATAAACTCTGAGGGACGTGCTAGATGGAAGCCTGTCTGCTTCCAGAACCCTCACCTCGCTTCTTCACAGGTTCTGTCCTGGGGCATGGGGTACTGAGTGGGAATAATAGGGTGACCCCTGCGTCCTCCTCCCTAGCAGAGCCAGAGCTTCTGCTGAGAGCGTCTCTTCAGCTGCTGAACTGGAGATGTTCCCAGCGACCTTTCAGCATCCCTCCCTGTCCATGGCATGCATGTCACAGGACCAGGGAGCCAGGTGCCACCTGGGGCTAGTGGTGCCTGTCCCTCTAGCCCTCTAGGAAGCCTGGCCTGTTCCGAGCCCTCACCCTTGAGGTGCCCTTGTCCTCTTCAGCACCTGTGAGGTTCTCCTCCCACCCGCCCCACCCATGGCCCAGCCCACATGGCCAGCAGCCTGGATGGAGGTTTGGAAGCTCCTGGTGCTGCCCTGTGCTCTCTGCCGCTGTCCCCTGTCCTGCTCTGAGGCATGGCCTGGCCTCCCTAAAAGGCGGGATGAGAAGGCGCCTGTCAAGTGCCTGGGGCTGGAGTGCTGGGAGCATCTGGGGAACTTGCAGACCAGCGGACCAACCGAGAGCCACCTCCCTGTCTTGTCCTGAGCCCCACTGTCCGCCACCCCTCGCTGTCCACTGTTTGCTATGTGCGTCCAGCTCCCCTGGCCTCCCTTTCAATCCTCATACTCTCCCTCTGTATGGAGGCCTCCTCCCTGCTGCCAGCCCAGTTCTGAGCTCCATGTGCAAACCCCCTCCTCAGAAAGACCACTCAGGCCCCAAAGGGGACCAGCAAGGGGACCTGTCCCTCTCAGCCCTGGAGGCCTCTCTTCTCGACACAGTCTTGATGCCCCCATAATCCCCACAGCCTCATCGCTTGGTCTCCATGTCCCGTCTTCCCTGCTCAGATCCCTTTTGTTCGCCACCAATCCCAAATGCTCAGAGGGCCCCCGCTTGGCAGAAACTCATTGGACGCTTCCTGAGCAGCTGCAGGGGTGAAGTGCTGCCACAGATGTCTCCGGAAGACACAGCTGCTCCCAGCAGGAGTATCACATACCTCGGACATTCGCCTGGCAGGGTGGGCTGGGGTGGCTCAGCCTGTCCCCGGTCCCTCTTCTTCTATGGACTGGCCAGCGGGCCTGGATCTGCTCACCCGCAGGTGGTGTGAGTGATGAAAGCAGCGTCCCCAGTGCGCCTCACACCCCTTCCTGCCCTGGAGTTGGCCGGAGTCTAGAGCCTAGCAGGCAGAGAGGTGTAGGGGGCTACACCCCCTCACTGAGGGCTCCAGGGAAGACCTAGAGCGTAGCTTGTCTCCTACGGAGCTCTTCCTGGGGTGTGCGGGGCCTCTCTGAGCCCCTGCCCTGCGCAAGCACCTGCCCAGCACTTTGCCCTTTATAGTGTGACGCTGCAGCTGCATGATGTGAGAGAGTACACATGTGTCCTTTCTCTGGACCTTGCCATCCCCTCGTTTCAGGGACAGCTGGCCTCGCGGGAGACATGGTTGCCGCCAGAGTCGTGGAGTTGTCCAAGAGGAACCGAGTGCTGGCAGCGGAGTCAGAGGGTGCCCGAGCCAGGGTGAAGCAGCTGAGCAGTCGTGTCCAGGAGCTGGAGCGGGAGGTGAGGACCTTGCTTGGGAGACCAGGGACCTGGAGCACCCAGGGCCACCACGGTAGATGCTGCAAGGTCTCCCAAGGGCTCAAAGGACAGCATCAGGATGCACTGCTGTCTGTTGCCTTCCAGGGCCCAGCATGGCAGCCTGCACCAGGTCTAGCCACTGACGGTACAGGGGCTGTGGCTCCGCACAGGGTGTGGAGGCCTCATGTGACTCCACTCCCATGCTGGTGGCTCTGCAGCTGTGAACGAGTCACCACACTCAGCACCAAGTGCAAACTCCTCTCCTCTGTGGCAGTTTGTGTGTGTGTGGTTTTGTTTTGTTTTTTGGAGACAGGGTCTCTCTGTGTAGTCCAGGCTGGCCTTGAACTTGGCTTGTATGTAGTTCCAGCTAGCCTTAAACTTGAGGCATTTCTCCTGCCTCAGCCTCCAGATGGTGAGATTGCAGGCATGCCCCACCTTATTCAGCAGTTTTCTGAGACTGGTCTGAGGTTCTGAGCCAGGCCCTCAGGGAGATGCAGGGGTCAACATAGCCATGGGTGGCTTCTAGCACCCTGGGGACAGAGCAATAGGGGCTTGCGGTATGGTTGTCACCAGAGATGGAGAAGAGAGCAGCAGATAGATAGTGGCCAGGCCAGAGGGGAGCCCAGGGCAGGGTGCATAGCAGGTGCAGATTCTGAGAGCCCAGCAGGTGCCATAGTCTTGAGCAGGTTCAGGTCTGAAAGTGGCCATGTGGTCCAGAGCAGCAGGAGCTGAGGCTGGAAACATAGAGCATGGGTCTCATTCTGCCTCATCAGACAGAGCCAGGGCCTTGGCTCGAGGAGCATTGGGAGGCTGTTAAAGGCTCGTGTGTCTGGCACCCCATGTTCCTAACCCATCTCACCATGCCCCAAGTCCATAGTTCCTCCGTCCTCACCTCCCAAGCTGGGTCAGGGCTCGGCACTGTGATCTGATGAGCAGCTGGCAAAGCCCTGGGCTGCTCTCCTGGTGCATGGGGAGAGGGGCCAGCAGTCTGTGAGGAAGAATCTCCCACTCATGCCCGCTAGGTCAGCCGAAAGGACCAACACCCCACAGGTTTGTAACCACACACCCCACGCACAAGGGCACCTTGCTCTGGCCATACAGCATGGAGCACAATTAAATATTAAGGGTAAGGTTTGCTTTTTCAGCTGCAGACGGCCCTGGCCAGGCTACCAGCCAAGGGGGCCACAGACACAGGAGACAAGCCACCGAAGGCCCCAATGGGAGACAGCACCTTGGTACGGACCCCACCTGTGCCCCCTCTTCCTCTTCCTCTCCTCTTGTTCCTCTTCTTTCTCCTCCCTCACTCCCCCTCCTCCATGGAAAGGCAGATGCCTCTGCCGGGGTCCCCCTGACTCTGGCCAATCCGGTGCCTGTGGAGCAGTCCCCAGGGAATGGTACCCAGGCCATGGCCCTAGCAGAGCCCAGGAAGGTCGGTTCTGATTCAGTCCCAAGGGAGAGTGGGTGCAAGGGGCCCAGCCCTCAAGAATCTAGAACGACCCTCGCCTCCTGCTTACACCTGATCACTTCCTGCATGGCCCCACTGCCTATCCCGGACCCAGTGCTCCACCCCAGGATGCCCCTCAAGGGTGGCTCACACTGCAGCAGAAAGGCCCTGTTGAGGGGGCATGCTTCCCCGGCCCTGGACTAAGCCAGGGAGGGGACTTGCAGCCATGTGAAAGAGAAAGGCTGGTGTCTGACCTCAAGCTGGACCCACAGAGTCTGGATGTCAGGAAGGTCCCAGGAGACCAGGCCAGTGGGGGACCAAGGAGGTTCTGATTCCAGCCCATCTGAGGCTCAGGCCACCTGAGAATTCAGGCCCAAGTCTGCGAGGCCTGCCCCTTGGCTGGGGCAGCAGCTTTTCTTATCCAGGAGCAGCAGAGGGCTCACCTCTCTAGAGGTGCTGGGCTGAGGTCATCAGAGCCCCTCCTTGGCCACGCTGCCTCAGGTTACCCCACCGTGGTGGCCTGGAGGGATGGAAAATGCATCAGCCACAGGAAGGTGCTGGGGTTTTCTGAGCCCAGTAACCAAGGGCATTGAGCAGGGACCCCGTCCATGGGTGTGCAGGAGGAAGAGGGTGGGCATAAGGAAGAAGGGGGTGGCATCCCTGAGAGGGCTAGGGCTTACCAAGAGTGGGGACAGAGGAGGGCATCTGTCACCTATGCCTTCCTGGAAAGGGAGACTAGACAGGGCCTCCTCAAGGAGCCACACAGGATGGGAGCTCGATCTTGCTGGGGCAGCAGAAAGGGACTTGAGCTGGAGCAGCAGGTCTGGGGTGGCCGTGGTGGGCAGGCTCTGACAATGGAGCGCCTGTCATGTGCCTTGCGTCTTCCTACTTCTGATCAGAGTGAGACAAAAACGATGTCTGCTCAGGAGGCTGAGCTCAGGAGGCTGCTGGGGCTGAGACAGGCACTGTGGCTGCATCTGGGCTCTGGTTCTGCCCCACCCAGGACACACCCCAGAGCGGGGCTCTGGGGATATTCACGCGGTTGGCATGGGCATTGCTCACATGATTCCCTTAGAGGCCGCAGCCAGGTGCGGGATGGGAGGTTTCCTGGATCCCCCACATGAACAGAATTCCACTCTGGACTTCTGTGCCCCTTGCCAGCTGCTGGCCCACCACAAAGGCACTGCCAGGACAGCACCAGGGGAAGAGCCCTCCCAGGGCCCACCCAGACTGCTTGAAGCCTCCTACCTACCTGGAAGGAAGATGGGCGTCCGTATAGGGAGAGGGTGGCAGGCACCTGACAGGCAAAAAGACGCACGCATATTTTTATAAAAATTTACTTGTATTTCCTGTAAGGTTGCAGCTTGCAAACTTTGCTCAGTTGTTTATTCCTGTTAGTTGGGCATGGGGCCTCGAGGAAGTATGGGGAGCATTTTATACAGGAAGCTCACTGCGCTCAGGGCTTCTGGGCCAAGTGTCCAGGGCTAGGTTCTTTGGCCACTGGTTTGCAGTGGAGCTGCCTGGAGCCTCTGGGGTCCATGGAACGCCCAACATGGTATCCCTGGGCCACCTTCCAGGGGCATTCATGGATAGGAGAGGAAACCTCTGCAGCAGCCGCCTGCCTCCTGGGGTGCTTCCCCCTGTGTGTGGGTGTGGGTGTGGGACCTCAGCCCCTCTGCCGGGAGGAGCAAAGTCTCTGCGGCCGGCCGGGAAGCCCAGCGCAGCAGCTGCTTATACTGGGAGAGTCGGCGAGGTCAGAAAGATTAAGCTTCTGTCCCCTGATGTCATCTCTACCCCGCTGCATGCCAGAGGGCAGGCACTTCCTCTCTGTTTCCTTGAAGCCTGGGAGGAGCTGGGGGGGGGGGCACAAGAACAGTGCAGAAGGTCATGTCATCAAACACTGTAAATCTGCATCCAGTGCTATTTTATTTTATTTATTTTTTCTCCCCCTCAAATGTTATTTTTAAAAAAATAAATCGAAGACCCCACAGGCAGTCTTGAAGGTTGCCATAGTTTTTCAGACTACAGAGACTGGGGATGTGGGGCTCACACTTGGGCCTTATTCCTGTGCAGTGCCCCAAAAGCAAGGCCCTGTTTGCAGCCGTCTGCAACAAGACCCAGGCCCAGGACTGATTCCAGGGGAGGGAGGCCCCAGCAGGGAGGTCACAGTCCTCGTGCAAGTGAACCGGTTCCTCTGTGAGTGCGGCTGGCAGAGGCCAGACCCAGGGGCCCCCTGTGCCAGCCTGCAGTCTCCCACAGCGCCCTGCCTTTACCAGCCAGGTGGCTAGGCTAGGGGCTTCCCTCCCAGGACCTACCCCCCGGGGGTCATGAGGATGGCATGGGGCGCTGGGCATCTGATTGGGGAAGTGGGGGCTGCTGCTCTCCCTGCCTCAGGTAACAAGCAACCAATAGGTCTCCTCTCCCTCCTACCAGCTGGAGACCCCTGAGGTGAAGGCCCTGCAGGACCGCCTGGCGGCCACAAACCTAAAGATGAGCGACCTCCGCAACCAGGTCCAGGCTGTGAAGCAGGAGCTCCGAGTGGCCCAGAAGGTCCTTCAGAGCTGGGCTGGATGTGGTGGCCATGGGACAGGTCATCTTGGGTCTGGTCCAGTGGGTGTGCTGCATAGGAGCCACATAGGCACCACGTGGTGCCCACACTCTGGGAGGAGAAGGGGGAATCTGTCTGCCCAGGGAGGGTTGTGCGAGGCTCCTGCCCATCCATGCACCCCAGTGGGCTCCGGGTCTGCACTTGGACCAGGAAGCCGGCCAGAACTGGCCTCCACCCCCACCCTCCATGGTGTCCCCACATGAACAGGCGGCCCTGTGCTCTAGGCCCCTTCAGAGAAAGCGCTTGGGCTTGGGGCCCAGGCCCCGGCCCAGGGCTTGGTTATTTATTTCTGTTTACACGGCAGATTCTCTGGCATTTTGCTTTCCCTCTGGAACCACTCAGCCTGGCCACTATTTCCAAAACAATGCTGCATTGTAGAAACGAGCACCAGAGACTTGGCAGCTGGGCAGGGCTTGGTGGGGGGCTATAGCGGGGCTCAGGGCCCAGGCTGGTGCTACCTCCAGGCCTGGACATGGAGCCCAAGCTCCACATACCCCAGCCCTAGGGCTGGGTCCCTTGCACTCTGATGACCACTCACCCTGGCTCCTCATAAATCACCAGATGCAGAGGCCCCCAAAAGTTCAGCTCCACGCACCACAGAATGCGTCGGGTGCTGGGAACCCAGCTGCTCTGTGTTACTAGGAGGTGCTGAGGGCTGTGGGTTACCATCTTCCTGGGGAGACTTGGCCTTCAATCCAGGATCAAAGGCTGAGGACGGGTGTGGGTGAAAGCGGGATTCTCAGGGGCTCCACGTGCCCAGCCCTGCTTCTGAGGAGCCTGGGGAGGCTGCAGAGATGAACCCCTTTGTGCATCCAGGTTTTGGCCAGTGAGGTTGGGGAGGATGTGAACGTGCAGCAGCTCCTGTCCTCGCCGGGGACCTGGAGGGGCCGCGCTCAGCAGATCCTGGTCCTGCAGAGCAAGGTGAGTGTCACCCACCAGGCTCCGCCCGCCAGGCCCGGCCCACACCAGGGACCTGGACCAGGGCACCCAGAGAGGCCTACAGGTCCCGGGGAGCACTACAGGGTGGCTCTCCGAGCCCTCCCCCGCCACCTGATTTTAATTTGTCAGTGACCAGAAAGCGCTTATACAACACCACATTCCAGTGCTGGTACTAACAGACACCACGGCCTTTGGCCCAAGTCCTTGTTCTCCGGGCACGTTTTTCCCCAGTTCATCTAAATGTGCGTGACTGTTGTAACTGTGGGCTTTTTCCAGTTCCATCCAGATGCTTTGAATGTTTTCATTACCCAGGGAAAGCCTAGCCTTGCTTGGCCTTTGTTTTCTAAGTATTGTGGAGCTCGCCCAGCAAAGCTCAGCGCTGGGGCTCCCTTCCAGCCGCTGGAATACGAGCCCCACTTCTTCCCTACCCACAGCACACACTTGCTGTGTGACCTCGAGCAAGTTACTTCTGGTCCTTGCCTCGGTTTCCTCTCCTGTGGTATGGGGATAATACAGGCTGCTGGGAGAACAGAGCAAGTGGCTATACAGAGCGCTCAGCTTGGATAAAGTGACCAGTGAGGAGAAAGCATCCTACAGAGGCCACTGCACGGGCCTGTCCCCTGCCTGTACCAGAAGGGGTACAATTCCCAGACTGGCCCAGCACATCACCGCATCCCCAGGACTTCAGGCCTGTGGCTCCCCAGCGCCTTTCATTCTCAGGGTCACCTGTGGGACCACTGAGGCCAACACAAAGAGAGGCTCCAGCTTACTGCACTGGTGATCAGATTGGCTCTGCGCCTGGACTCGTCACTGCTCTGACCGCCCTGTGACGTTGGCCAGTGGCTTTCTCCCTGTGCCTAAGTCTCCTCGCCTGTCAAGTAGAAACAGTATCAATGCCTTCCCTACAGGGTTGTTAGGGTTAAATGAGATGATACTCAGCACTGGCCTCATTAGTAATTATGGCCATCACGCTGTGTATTAAACGTTTTAAATTACTAGAATTACCAGGAAGCGCCGCCTCAGGGCCCTGGTGCTTGCTCCTGCCCTGTGCCAGAGATGCTACTGAGTCCTGCCTCCTTTCTCAGAAACTTTGTCTCCATAGAATTTGTTCTAGTCCCAACCTTTCTCCAGAGGGACCTTTGCTCTAGTTGCAGTTTTGTTTCCGGGTGGTACTTTGTTCTAGTTGCAGCTCTGTTCCATCACCTGGTTGTGTCCCCAGGTGAAGCAGGATAGGAAGGACCCTGGGAACTCTCCGCTAACCCGTGTGACAAACACATTGCTCTTGCCACTTGCCGAGGGCCTGTGTGCCAGGCTCTGCATTGAGGGCTTCACCTGGACTCTCTTAGGGTTTCTCAAAGTTGCCTAATCTTAAAAATCCCCCAGGCCCTCCCCTTGTTGATCTGGAGTGGACCCCATAATTTATCCCTGCAAGAAGAATCTTGGTGGATTTCATGTTTGGATGTGTCCGGGACCCTGCATCCTCTCAACCACTTTATGCAGCGTTCACCCCAAGGTTTATTTTATGGCTGAGAGAACTGAGATTCAGAGAAGTTAAGTGACCCGTACAGTCACATAACCAGCAAGGTTCTGGACGCCCCCTCTGCAGAGTCTCCTGCAGGGGCCCCTCTCTGAGGAGCCATGGTCCTCAGTGGTCCAGCCCCAGAGCTCCTCCCTGTTCGGACACCATGGGCCTCACTGGGTCTCCTGCAGCCCTCTGGGCAGTGCCCCACTTTCAGTCCCAGCAGGGTCTCCTGTCTCCCCAAAAGGTGGTGTCTGTGACACCGACTCAGGGTGGAATGAGGAGTTTTGCTGCCCTCAGGTCCGGGAGCTTGAGAAGCAGTTGGGACAGTCCCGGAGCAGGTCTGCAGGGATAGCCGGTGACGAGCTGTCTGTCCACCCAGACCCCAGGAAGCTGTCGCCACAGGAGAGGAACCTGCAGAGGATCCGCAGCCTGGAGAGGGAACGACAGGAAGGCTGGGAGGTAAGGACCAGGTCAGGAGATGCCTGAAGCCCTGGGCCCAGTGGGAGCTGCCTGGCTGGGACCTTGCAGGGCCATGTTCGAGGTACTGTGTTTGTGCTGGGAAGGGAGAGAAGGCAGGCAGTTGGCACCCAGGGTGAAGGGCTGGGGACCACAAGAGCTGAGTTTAACCAACAGACAGAACTCCCGGCCCTGACGGGAACAGTGCTTTGGCGCCCTCGCTCCAGGTGCAGGTAGGCTGGGGACTTGAGGTCTCTCTCAGGTCTGGGTTGGCCATACTCTCTCCCGAGGGACCCCACCCTCCTTGCCAGTCCCACTGTGCTTCTGACCAAGTCCTGGAACTCACTGTCTTTGGCCAGGCCAGAGTCTTTGCCCTCTGAGCTGGCCCTGGAGGCCCAGGGAGCACCCAGCTCCATTGCCTGAGCTGTATAGCAGCCTACGAAGCCTGGGTGGATGAGAGTGCAGAGAGGTGGGAGGCAGTGACAGCCAGCCATGCAGAGGGCCCTCCTCGGCCAGGCAGGGCTTCCTTGCCGGGAGACTTTGCCTTCTCAGTGTTCTGTGAGCTCCAGGCAGACCCTGGGCCAGGGACACAGTGACCATCCTGCACTCTACCTCCCAGTGTTCCAGGCCACCAAGCATAGGTGGGGACAGGGCCAGGGCTGCAGGCCTGGGCTCTGGCTTTCACCTCAAAGGCAGCGGAGGATCCTGAGGGTTTTGAGTTGACTGGATGTGGTCATCGGTGTGGGTTGGAAAGGTCATGTGACCAGGGGAGGGGAGATGGAGGAGGCAGTAATGACCCACATGGACAGATACAAGGACCTGCAGGAGATGGGGACCAAAGTGGGGCCCAGAGTGGACCCCAAATGGCCCCGAGGCTGACGGGAGATGGAAAGGAGCTGATAAAAAGTAGTGAAGGACTGGGGGGTGCCAGGGCGGAGGGGTGGGGCGAAGGCAGAGCAGGGGACCCGCTTATGCCAGGGAATCTGTGGCCCTGGCTGCCGAGCCCTGTAGCAGGGGCAGGTGCTATGTCCTACAGGTCTGTCCCCCTCTGAGCACTGTTCGGGCTGAGCAGAGCAGAGGCCAGCCTGTCCTCTGCCATCACTCCTGATTTCCAGCAATCAAACCGTCTCCCGCTCCCAGGCTGTCTGTACCTTGGTCCTGGCGTCCCAGGTCTCGCCACCCACACTCCACCCTGGCATGTGCCTCTCCCTCTTCTGCGCACTCTGCACACACCCCTCCCCACCCCCTGTCCCCACCCCACTTCTCAATCTGCCCTTGCGACTTTTGGGTGTCACCTGTACCCCTTGCTTGGAGGTCCACTCCCTGGGAACAAGCACTCGGGCCATCTCTGCTGGGCCCGCAGCACATGGCAGGCCCTCAGAAGCATAGAGGTGCAGGAGCTGAAAGCCAGGCATCCTGCTGTCATGTTTGGCCTAATGAAGGTCCTACTCCAGGCCGACTTCACTTGACACCTTGCACTGCTGGGTCTTCTTGTGCCAGACCAGGGCCCCTGGCTGGTAGGAGCTGGGTCTGACCAGGCCCCGCTTCCCAATGCAGAAGCTTACAGGCGAGCGAGATGCCCTGCAGGGTGAGCTGGAGGAGCTGAAGAGGAAGTTTGAGGGCGTACGCTCCCGCAACAAGGTCCTGTCCAGCGAGGTGAAGACCCTTCGGGGCCAGATGGGGACCCTGGTGGAGAAGGGCAGGCACGATGATGAGCTCATCGATGCCCTCATGGTAGGCAGCCCCTCTGCCGTCCTGAATCCAGGGTGGGCCCAACCAGAGACCGTGTGGTCCCCAAGGGCCCTGTGTAATCTGGGTGCTCAGAGCCTTCACCCCGGGACAGGGCAACTGGGCTTCAGGAGCACAAACCCTGGGCCTGAGGACCTCAGGGCAGAAGGAAAGATAGAAGGAAGGGGCGAGATGGGCCAAGGTCTGGGCTCCTCCTGAGCAAGACCCCAGGGGCTGCAGGGGCCGCATTTGTGTCTGTCCCTCCCCAGGCCCTGGAGGAGGCTCTTCCCCCAAGACAGCACCCAGATCATAGGTCAGGGTCCCTCTGCAGCTGGCTAGAACCCAGGACACAGCTTGGCTACATAACAGCTCAGTCCTGGAGCTCCTGACTTCCAGGCTGCCCCACCTCGATGCTGCCCCACGGGGCCAGCACACCTCTGCCCCCCTTGCTGGCTGATCCCAGCCCAGGAACTGCCCCTCTCTAAGCTTCAGCAGCCTGTTTTAGTGACCAGGTACAGCCTGGGCTTCCTCTACCATCCCCACATGCCACTGGCCCTGTAGACCAGCCCCGTGCCCAGGATTCTCTGGCCTCTGCTTCTTCCATCCCTCTGAGCTACTGGCATTACCCTTACTGTCCTGCTGCAGAAAGCTGCTGCTCTGAGTCTCCTTGGGGCATTTCTAGGGCACGGGGCATCAGGCAGATGCCAACAGTCCTGGGCAGAGAGTCAGGGTGCTGCCTCCATGGGTGGCCTCTTGCTCCTTACCCCCACACCTGCCCCGAGCCACCTGCCGGGTTTGAGTCCCCAGGGGGCTATGTTGCGTTGTGCTGCAATCAGGTTCTTGAGGCCCAGGAAAGAGACAGGGGTCACCTGAGCACCCAGTACTGACCTTGCTGGCTGGCCTGGCCCTCAGGAGCAGCTGAAGCAGCTACAGGAGACCCTGAGCAACCTGAGCCTGCAGGAGGAAAAGACACGTGTGTCCCAGCGCCACCAGGACCAGAAGGCCCAGAGTGAGGCCCAGCGGAGCAGCAGCCTGGTGGCCCAGCTGCAGGCCATGGTGGCCGAGCGGGAGGCCAAGGTGCAGCAGCTGGAACTGGAGATCAGGCAGCTGGGCATGCAGGTGAGAGGGGCGGGCACCTGCCAGACCAGCTGGCAGCATTTGTTTCCTCAGAGCAGCTGGGGAGGGGCTTGTGCCAGGCTGCCAGTCCCGACCAGCTGTGCCCTCCTTGACAGCAAGGACATTGGGGTCCCCTGACCTGCTCTGAGGGTCCTCTAAGGTCCCTGCCCAGCCAGTGCCCACCCCCCATGTCTGGGAGAGAAAGGGGCAAGAGGCTGACCGACGTGACCAGCCTGAGTCACAGTGGCAGCCCGGGGCAGGAACCCCTGCGCAGATGTCAGAAGCTGACCCTGCCGAGTCCACAGCACCTCTCCCAGCCAGCTGGATGTGGAGCAGCTCCTGGCTTTCTGAAGAGAGGCATTATCCAGTGTCATTGTCATGCGAGCAGCGCCTGCCCACACAGGCCTCGCTGTCCTGTGGAAGAGAAGACTCTTTCAGGTCCCCACAGGGCCCCGAAACCCAGCCAAGCCCCCCCTCCTCTGGGCCTCTGCGCCAAAGCCTGAAATGGAGCCACGTCTGTCCTCCACAGTACCTCCGGGACAAAGGAGCCGGCGAGGGGCCCTGTGGGCCTGAGGTCAGCCCCATTCACCCCGGACACCCAGGGGACCAGGGCCTGGCCAGGTCTCCGGGCTCTGCAGGTGGCCACAGCAGCCAGCTGAGATCCTCTCGGTGAGCTCCTCTGTTGCCGCAGGGGCCTGAGAGCGGTTCATTGATATTCAGAAGCAAAGTCCTCTCCCTGGGAGACCCCGTGTGTTCCAGCACATGGCCCAGTTACAGCAGCGGGGCCAGGTCTCATTGTGACACCCCCTTTGAGCTGACACCCCTCGGGAGGCATCTGCCTGGCCCCATGCAGACTCACTAAGGGACTGCTGGTCCCGACATAAGCTGGGCAGGTGCATTCTGGGAGGAGGTCACACTAGCCTTGGCTGCTGATGCCCCCTGCCCCCTACACAGCGCCGTGAGCAGCCTGGGCCACACGCTGGTGGAGTCAGTACCTACGAGGCCTTCCCTGTCCGCCCACCATGGGACCACACCCAGGTAGGAACCCCCAAACCCAGCTGCCATGAGGAGTGGGGACAGAGGGGCCAAAAGCCCCAGATCACCTCCAAGGCCTTGGCCAGTGGCCTTGGACCCGGAACCCAGACCAGCACCTTCCCTGTGCCAGTGACACGGGCCTCAGTCTCTAGGGGGAGTCAGTCCCCACCCTAAGTCACTGTTACCGATACCCTCGGTCTCCACCTCTTTGATGGTAGAATCAGCTGGGGCCTGAAGGAGGCCTTTGTTCTGACAGCCAGCTCACAGACAAGGGCAACTTTGTCCTGCCTCAGCCCCCTGGAGCTCCACTCCTGTGTCAGCAGACTCTGGTCCCTCAGGCAGGTCACCTGGCTCCAGTGAGGCCACGAGGGGCCCTGTCTCCCTCCTGTCTTGATGTGCAGTCCCCTGTCTGGGCTGCTGCCTCCTGAGGACCCCACAATAGTTGCAGCTTGGCACTGGGCAGCATGGGAATAGCACCAAGGCCACCAGCACCGTCCTCCCAAGGAAGGGCAGTCCTGTCTCTGAGGAGCCAAGCTCAGCTGCCCATGGGGCACTGCGCCCTCCCTTCCACAGGACAGACCACAGATGCTGATGGAGCCCAGCCCCCCAGGGACATGACAGCATCCAGGCTGGGGGTCCCTGCCCAGCTCCTCCAGGTGCCTGGGTGGACAAAGCGAAGGGACAGCCCCTCCCTCTTGCTCTTCTCCCCACCCTGGCCTTGTCAGGGAGCAGCTGTCCACACCACAGCCAGGGGGCCCGGCTTGGTGCAGGCCCCGGCTCACTGTACCAGGATGCAGATGGGTCCTACATTTCCAGCAGCACCCAGGCAGCACCACGGCCACTCCCACAGGGCCACTGAGCATGAGGAGTGGAGTCAGGAACCAGCTTGGGGCCCTGGAGACCGTAGACCCGCATCACTTCAGTGCTCAGTCGGACCCAGGGCTGCACTTGAAGAGGCCCCCTGGCCCATGCCCAGCATCGCTGTGCAGCATCTGAGTCACATGTGGGCTCCAGGACTTTGGGGTGGGGTCCCCTTCTTCCTGGTCCCAGCCACCTGTGAGGAGGGGAAGACAGGCTGGGCACAAAAGCCAAGGCCACTGGACATCGGAGGACAGCCACGTAGGCACCGTGGTGCCCAGTACCCAGGAGCCGGGTTCCATAGCAGCCAGCTGGAACGGGGATCACATAGGCCACAGCACCCCTGTGACCATGACAGCTGACAAGGCCTGGGAACTGCAGCAGGGCCAGGGCCTGGCTGTGCCACCTCCTCTATGGCTGTCCCTGCCACTGTCCCAGGCATGTATGTGAATTTTTGGGTCTCAATGACCTCTTCCCTCTGCCTTCCCCCCTGGCAGGTTCCCAGACACCACAGAGCAGAAAGGCTGGCAGGCTCAGGTAGCAGAGACCAAGGCTCTGTGGCAGGCCGCTGAGGTGGAGCGGGACCGGCTTGCTGAGTTCGTTACTGTGCTGCAGAAAAGGTAACAGGGCCAAGGGGTGCTGTCTGGGGCTGGGCAGCATAGGGCAGGGCTCCCTCCCCGAAACCCAGCTCCCAAGTTGATCCAGGGCAGGACCCACCCATGGATCCCATGGCCTTGGGTCCGGCTGGCATGCTGTGGTCCGTGTGTCTGTGGGGCCACCCTGCACCCTGGAGTCTCAGGAAGAGACACTTCGGAGCGTCCTGGGAGGTTTGGTGGGAAGAGACCGGGCTGGGCTGGGTCCAGGCTGGACTCTTAGCTGTGAGGATGGCGACTTCTCTGGGGATACCATGGACCAGAGACCCCGGGTCCTCCAAAGGCTTTTGGCAGACTTCACATGGCTAAATCAGTGCTTGTCCCAGTGACCCCTGGCAAGGACCGAACGTGGCCGGGCCAGTGCCTGCTCTGCCACATGACCCCCCATGCTGATGTACAGCTGTGCTCCATCCCCTGGCCCTGCTGTGCATCCACCATGCCTCCCCTGACAGCTGCAAGCCAAGTTCTGGCCACATGGGGTGGGAGGAAGACTTTCAGGAGGTGCTGGAAAACTCTGAGGTGCACAGCAGAGGGGAGCCCCAGAAAACAAGTGGAAGAGCCCCAAGGCTACCTGTGAGCACCCAGGCCACAGTGACCTGGGTCAGCAGCTTCCCACGCTTACACTGTGGTGTGTGGACAGGCATAGGCCCCTGTCCATCCATGAGGGGTGTTAACAGGACACAGCACAAAGAATTGTCATTACCAAGAAGTCAGGGTTCTGGGGCAGAGGGCCCTCAAAGCAGTGATTTTTTTCATTTTGCTCTTCTTATGGGGAAGATGTGAATTTCAGATAGTCGGGTTCCTAAGAAGAAACAGTATTCTTTTCCTGTGGTTGAGGTTTAGTGGACAGTGCAGGTCTCTGGTCTATCAAACGGAGATACCGACTCAATTCCAACTTTCTCTCCTATTCCTTGTCATGCCTGCCACTGGGACGTGACTCAGCTGTCTCTTGCTGTGTAACAAATATCTCCAGCTCAGTGATTTCACACACAGCTGTGCATTCTTTCTCTCGGTTCTGTGGGCTCACTGGTCACTGTGTCACCTGGGGTCACCCAGGCAGCCTCCCTGGGCCAGAAGGTCAGTGAGTGGATGCCTGGGTCCCCTCCTGTGTCCTCTCTGTCTGGGGTGGGGGCTGGGGTGAGGCACCTGGTACAGGCAGGATCTGAGGGCCCTGCCACTCTCGGAGCGTGCACGGCACCCATCATCTGCACTGTGCTAGGGCCAGTTGGCTTCCCAGGCCATCCGCCAGACACACAGCTGTGTCTCCCCTGAGTCTCCTGAGCTCCCTGCTGTCTCCCAGGCTGTCTCAAGAGCAGGGCCCAGGCACCACCTGCACTCAGATCCCCAAGCCGGCTCAGTGCAGGGCATCCCCTATGAGAGCCCGGCTGTCCTTGGCCTGACCTGGCCTTGGTCTCTCTCTGTGCCATTTCCTGTGTCCCTGCCCTGTGCCCCACGTCCCAACCCCCAGCTCCATCCTGTGGAGCTGAGGCGAAGGGAGCAGAAACCTCGTCATCGTGTGTCCTCCTCTCTCCATCTCCTGTCCAGCGCCCGTGCTCCCCTCGCCCAGTGCAAGCTGCTCGTAGATTTTACCCACTTCTCCAGCCATGGTGGGAGCGTGGGAAGGCTGCCGGCCGGAGTCCGGAACATGGCTTCAGAAAACGCATGTCATGTGGTTGGCTTTGTTTTCAGTTCCAGGATGAGAATTTCCATGTCCGAATGCCCGATTTGACCCCATTCTCTTTGTCCTGTTTGCTGGCCTTCATATTCTCAATTTGCCACGATCTTCCCTGCTCCCCTTTCTCCTTTCTTCTCCTGGGTGCTGGATGGGTCAGTTCCATTTCCCTCTCATCCATGGAAGCTGAGAGTTGACAGCCCTTCTGTGTCCTTAGTGTTACCCTTAACGTTCCCGGAAAGCTCGGCTCAGCGAGGCTATGGCCACTGCCTTTCCTCACTGTCACCATGAGCGCTGGAATAGGTGGAACGTTTGACTGATCTCTCCTGGTGCTGTTTTCCGGTATTTTCCTCTCGTGTGCTTTCTTCAACCCCCCTGAAAGTAAACCCTCCAAACTCACCTTGGGGGTGAAGTCAGCATTCATTTCATTTTGCCAAGGTCTTTATCTTCCTCCTCCTCCTCCTCCTCCTCCTCCTCCTCCTCCTCCTCTTCCTCATCTTCTTCTTTTTTTGCACTGGAGATGGAAACCAAGCCTTTCAAACTGAGCTACACCTCCAATCTCCCCACCTTTCTTTTTTGCAACAGGCTCTTGCTAAGTAGCTAAGTTCCCTCAGACTAGGCTCAAACTCGAAATTCTCCTGCCTCAACCTCCCAATAGGGTTGGGATTATGGGTGTGTGCCATGGTCCCGGGCCCATTTCCTTCTTGCCAGGGTGCATCTGTGGGTTGACGGCAACCGTGTAAACCTGCTAAGTCTTCGTTTATTTTTGTCTTTACTATGCTTTTCTCTATGACTTTTTTTTTTTGTCTCTTTGAGCTAGGGTCTTACTATACAGTTCAGGCTGGCCTTGAGCTCCCTTTGCAGCCCAGGCTGGCCTTGAATTAGCAACCATCCTCCTGCTTCAGCCTCCTGAGTGCTGAACTTGGGTGAAAATTTAAGAGGAATTTGGATAGAATTCTAAATGGGTCTTTTTTCTGAGCACTTGGAGGCCACCATTTGGTCTCTGAGCAAGCACTGCTGCTAAGAAGAAATCTGCTGTCGTCGGTTTGTTATTCCTTTGTAGCTTTGTCCTCTCTCTCTAGACATTTTTTGGATATTCTCTGTCTTTGATATTGTGACTGTTCACTGCAGTGTGTCCAGGTACACACGTGCATACACACACATACATGCACATACACGCACGCACACACGCACCAGTTTCCCACTCAGGACCCCGAGTCCCTTTCCCCTCTCTGTATTGTCCGGGACTCCTTCTGTGTTTGGCTTCGCCCGGCTCTCCCCTCCCTCTGGAATTTCTGGCCCCTGCACGTTACACTTTCTTCCTGCCTCTACTTAGCCCTGGGGCTGAACTCTGAGAACGTCCTTCGAATCTGTCTCAGTCCACCTTGTCTGTTGGGCCACACCTCTGCTGTGAAATCCAGTTTTGCACTCAGAACTCTGCCTGGTGTCCCTTCTGCCTCTAGGGCTCCTCCTCCTCTGGGGCCTCGGGGCTTCTCAGGCTGGGGCAGGATTCCATGGTAGAGCGCCCGTCCAGCACCCCACCACCAAAAATGGGGGAAAGCCCTCACCTTTCTCTTCACAATAGCCTTAGACTCCCCGGTCCTTAGACTTCCCCAGGTCCAGATTGGGGTCTGTCAGTGGACTGTCTCCTCTGGTGAAGGACCTCCCTGTGTCATCTGTATTTCTGCTTTTGACAATGGGGAGTGGGGCGGGGGAGTGAGGCAGGGTCTCCCTGTGTAATCCAGGATGGTTTTGAACTCACTCTGTGCCCATATTGGCCTTGAACTTGCTCTGATCCTCCTGCCTCAGCCTCCCGAGTACTGGGATGACAGGCGTGAGCCACCCTCCCTGGTTTATTTCTGTGTTTTGCAAATTTACCTTCAGCGGGTTTTTCTCAGGCTGCCTTAAGTCAGGAAGCTGCCTATGGAGTGGGTTTCTGGGGGTTTGTGCAATGCCGGTGTTTCTGGAACACACAGAAGACAGTGGTGTCCAGATACTATGCTCGGTCATCCACTGTCTCCCTGTCCACCCCACCCCCAACCCCTCGGCAGAAGTGTCTCAGTCCTAGCACAGCAAGACACCCTGGAGGCTCCAGAGTGACCCCAGGAGCTGGCCAGGAGCTGGTCAGCCACTCGCTGCCTTAAGGAAGCGCAGGTGTGCGCCTCCAGCCACCTGCACCAGTGAAGAGGCCCCGGCCACACAGCTGACGGTTTTCCTGGTTTTCTGTCATAAATGTGTACTTCCTGCACAGCCTGCTTCTCCACCATTGTCCCTTTCCTCACGGAGGAAACTCACTTCTCCACAGCTGAACTGCAAACTGTTTCTTTGTACATCTAATGATCCACATCTGTATGTACGTGTGTATATATCCATGTGACACATGTGCGATCAAAAGTCAAACCCAACAATAAACACATCTTCACACTTTCGTGAGGGTTTGTCTGTAGCAGACTCATAAAAGCAGAATGGCTAACTCAGAAAATATGCACGCCTAATACATTCACAAACAGGCTGGGCATGGTGGTGCACACTTGTGATCCCAGCATGGAGGAGGCTGAGACAGGAGGATCGCAAGTTCGAACCCAACCTGGGCAATTTAATGGCTTATCAAGACCCTGTCTCAAAAAATGAAAAAGGGGGGCTGGAGCTCAGTGCAAAATCTAGGGCTGAAAGGAAAAAAAAGTTTACAGATAACGGCAAGTTGCCGTTTTACAGTGAGTGGAGTTCCTGCCGAGAATGTGAAGCCCCGTCACTCACCTGTACCAAGAGTCACCAACCTGCAGCATTTTCGCCAAGCCAGTGAAAGAGCACTGTCCTCTCGCAGTCGTGGCGCTCTGTGGGGGCCGAGAGTAAAGCTGCATGTATTTCACACACCTTTCATGTGTCCTTCCCTTCTGGTGCCTGTTTCTGCCATGGCCTGTTTTTCCCTGGTTTATAAGGAGTTTCTTACATTTCACATGTGTGGGAGCGGGCACACATTTCTGTGCCATCCTCACGCCGATCCCGTATCATTTATATTTAACTGTCAAGCCGGGAGGGAGGGTCTCCTCTGTGAGTCACAGCTCCATCCCCCAAAAGCAACATCCTTGCATCAGAGTTTGCACTGCTCCGCTGCTGGTGAGCACGCTTCACATCCCCTGCAGTGCAGAGACAAACCTGAGGTGGGGTTCGGGGGACTGGGGACCGTGGAAAGCTGCCGGCCTGTGGGGCAGGCAAGGAGGGAGGCGAGGGAGACCCTGGCCTGCAACAGAGCAGCCGCCTAAGGGATGTGACTACTGGTGCGAGAGCCACCACCTGGAGAAGGGACAGATTTTGTTTGCCCCTAAACTCCATGCAAACTCACCATGTACAACACATTTTGCACAGTCCAAGCTGTCCTCCTTCCTGCGTGTGCACAGGGAGGCCAGGGGGGACCGGGCCTGACCACGGCACCCCGCGAGCTCCCATCCACACCCAGTCCCACCACACAATCACCAGCCTTGTGTTTGTTTCTGAATGGTTAATTCCTTAGGAATCTTTAAAGTCCATCACGTGTTATGCACCGTCTTCTGCTGCATAGACACTACGGGCCTCCTCTTCCTGCCCCACCAGCGCTCACGGTGGTTACAGGGAATTTCACTGGGAGACACTGTCCACTCACCTCCCAGCCTCGGTTGGCAGAAAGGACTTTATCGTGTTAGATGTCTCCCCATTCCCTTTTGACTTTTGAGTTTTAAACTTGAGGAGCAGCCAAAGGTTTTATCAGTGCTCTTCTGGCTTCTACTGGGAGGATCTTGGGGTGTCCCCCAAGGTCCTCCTCTGCCAGGTGGTTAGGGTTGGGCACAGCCAGCACAGGATTCCCTAGTAAATGGATGAAGAGCTGAAGGGGTGACAGGGGCGGGGGCAGCCTCCCCAGGGCTGGGCCCCTGAGGCAGCTTCACATGGGCTCTGGAAAGGTCACTCGAGGTGGCTGCAGAGTCTGTTCTGAGCAGGAGCACTGAGGATTAGGAGGGGGACAGTGCCTGGCCCTCCAGTGTGCCTGCTGATGCAGATTCAGCCTGCGGGTCCACTCAGCCCCACACCTGGCCCCTCAGACCCAGGACGCTGGCAGCACCCGCTCTGTGCTTGTGCATTGCAGAAATGTCACCAGCAGTGACCCCTTCACGTGACCTCTTAGCAACATTCCCCCACCCTGTGGTCCTCACTTTCCCTACCCGCTCTGCGATCTGGTGACCAACAGGGCTGCTCATGAAGCCTTCCCTCCTCCTCTGAGGCTGGAGCGTCACAGCCTATTGGAAACTTCTGAGCCGACAGAGATGCCCTGGATCTGCTCTGGCCCAGGCAGTAGCCACCAGTCACAGTGCCTAGTGCAACTAAGAGACTGAATTTTACATTTTATTTGGCATTCACTTATTACTACCTGTGGATGTGAAGCTGGTGGCCAACATGCTGGGCAGCATGACTCTGCCATACCCTGGAGTCACCATTTCCTCATCCTGGTCTGTTGCTGGCCCTTCAGGTCCACCTGCGCTCCTGCCTTTGCACACAAAACCTCAAGAAACATGCTTACCCATGCTGGGCTGCATTCCATGCAGTCCCCAGCTCAGGCTAGCAGCTCGTCCTGTGCAGAGTCGCTGGCAGCTGGTCCCCTTGCCCTGCCCCACTGGGAAGGACCCTTCCCCAGCATGCACCTTCCACAGTGCACCACCAATGCATGGTGCATGTGTGAGCCTTGGTTTGAGCAAGACCTGGGAGTTCTGGCCAGAGCCTTCAGGGCAATTGGTGGCCACACCTCAGCCCACACGCTGGTGAGGTCGGCACGTCTGCCATGTGAGGTGACCATATGACAAGGTCATCATAGCCATGATGGGTGATAAGCACATAGGGACTCAGATGCATGTGTAAGATGACTTCCAACTCCAGGAAGGCAAACACATAGCAAGACAGGTCATGGTCCGTGTGCCATAGGGCTGGGTGCTGGCTAAACCAGCCCCATGTGCATCCTCGGTACCCAGGACTCTGGTGCCCCGGGCTTCTGCTCCCCACCATGACGTCCATAAGCACTGTATGTCACATGGCAAAGGACTCGGTGCATGTCATCATAGTGATGGACCCTAAAGTAGGGGGGCCGTCCTGGATTGTAAGGGCCCAGTCTAATCACCTAATCCGGGGAAGCAAAGCTGTTTCCCATCTGGCCTCACCCAGAGACGATGCATCAGACCGGTCAGAGAGGCTGGGCTGCGTGGAGTCCAGGGGCAGTGAGCCCTGCAGAAGCAGGCGGACACACATCCAGACACAGCCTTGCAGTGGGACCCTGAATCTGGCCATCCGCAGCCGGAGCAGGGGCCAGCCGAGCCCAGTGGCCTGCTACTCACATCCCTGCAAGGAGATGCATTTCTGCTTTGCTTCGCAGTACCGAGGACTGGACACTGGGCTTCATGCATGCAAGGGAACTGCGCTACCCAGGAGCTATGGCTCTGCCCTTTTTATTTTGAGCCAGGGTCTCGAAGTTGGTTGGCCTTGAATTTGCAAACCTCCTGCCTCAGCCTTCCAAGTAGCTGGGATTACAGGTGTGCATCGAGGTGACTGGCATGTGTGTTGTTTTAAGCTGCAAATCTTGTGCTAATCTATTAAAACAACAACAGAAAACGAACCCACCGGCTGCTGCCAGCTTAGCCATGGTGTGGAAGGGGTTTCTGTTGCTGAGGGAAGGTGGCACGGGGAGAAGACTGAATTCTCATTCTGCACAACAGGAAGTTAAATGATTATATTGAAACCTAACTGGTAGAAATGTGGCCGCAAACGTCCAGAGAATCAGCTAAAAACACCAGGAGCAGCTGGTCTGGGGGTCAGGAATTGGGAGCAGAGGGGTTGGGCCTCTCCAGCCTGACAGGAGCTCTGTGCATTCAAGCGCACAAACCTTCCCGTGATGCCCAGCTTCGGTATAGCCCAGGTCCCAGGGCTCTGAGCCGGTGGGGCAGGTCTCTCTGTCTCTCTGTGCCCAGGGTGGAGGACAGCAGCACCAGGCTCCTGGAGGCCGAGAGGGAGCTGCGGGCAGCGAGGCAGCGCTCGGTGGTGCTGGAGCAGCAGCTGGAGAAAGCACAGCTGGAGCCTGGCCGGGCCGTGGCCAGGGGCAGAGCAGGTAGGGACTACAGCTGGTCCTGTGCAGGTGGGACAGGCAGGACTAGGAGGCAGGGCCCTGGGCCCCCACAAGCTGTCATCTGGGTGCCCCTGACCACCACCCTGGTGCCCAGCTCAGCTCTGGCCCTGTGTCCTGTATGCTTTGGGTCACAGTGGCCAAGTGGGGGTGGGGTGGGCTCAGTAGCCCTGGGTCTGGGCACTGCCCCTCCTGCACCCCATTGCTGCCCGCCGACGTGCCCTTCACCCCACTGCCACACAGCAGCTGGAGGCCCAGGGGGCCCGGGAACCCGTGCCAGAGCCGTGGAGGAGACCGGGGTGGACTTGGCTACACCTCACTGTCCCAGCCAGTCCTGCTCCTCCAGGCCACTGGCCACGTAGGGACACCAGAAGCAAACCATCCCCAGGGCCCAGTGGGCCAGACCACAGGCCCTGCCAGCTTTCCCTTTTGCACACAGGAAATAGGAGGTTGGGGTGCTGAGGGGAGAAGCCACCTTGGCAGGATAAGAGCAGAATCAGCTGTAGCAGAGGCCAAAGCCAGGCAGGGTGGGAGAGGAATCGGAGAAGGTTCCTAGAGGAAAATGGTCTTGTCCTCACCTGAAGGAGGAATAAGGAATGTTTCACCAAGTGAGGAAATGGTGTCAGCACAGGTTTCAGCCTCATCACACGAAGTGGCTGCTGCTGCCCCCACAGGTCCGCCTGCCCCCAGCACCAGGAACAACCCAACAGGGAATGAGAAGAAGACCCCATCCTCTTCGAAGCTACCTATGGAGTCCCGTGTGGAGGAGCTGACTGCAAGGTGCCCCCGCCCAGTCTTCCTGGGGGGGGGGGTGTTCTGTCTGGGTGCAGGTGCTTCAGGGCATGTGACTCCTGCCTGCCATCAGGGGGTTCCTGCTGTGTTGGGCCTCTAGGCTGGAAGCTCAGGGGCCAGGCTACAGGTTCACCATGGCCCCTGTGCCCTCCTGACCTGAGTCCTGAGTCAGGCATGGGACACTGAACCCCTATCCCCATCCGACAGATCCTTGTCCACACCTCGGCACCCCTCCTGGAGCCCCTGGGTGCCTGGCTAGGACTGCAGGTGCTGGGCAGGGCTGGGGGACACCATGACGCTGGGCACTCAACCCTCTGTCCTGTGCCAGGCTGGCCGTGCAGGTGGAGGAAAATGAGCTGCTGCGAGCTGCTCTGGGCAGCGCCCTGCGGGGCAAGGAGGAGGACTTCCGCGTGTACCATGAGACCCTGGCCCAGGTGAAGGGGGTCTTCCTGCAGGCCCTGCGGCAGCAGCAGGCTGACAGCCACTAGGAAGGTGGCCCAGCGTGTGCGGGCTCCTAGCAGATGGCCGGAGGCCCTCAGAGCGACCAAGTCCAGCCTAGCCTGGTGGGCATAGAGGAGCCTGTGGGGACCTTGGGCACCATCAACCACAACTGGAGAACAGCAAGTCAGCTGCAAAGGGACAGATGTGGTCCCCCGAGCTGGGGCTCATGACCCCCCTGACCTGGGGCACTGGTTCCCCATGCTCTGTGGCCAAGACTTGGAATAATAATCACCACCTCCGTAACCCACAGTCTGTGAGCATCTCCCACCTGCCACCAGGAGTCAGGGGTGCCCTCACGTCCTAGATGAGGCCGGGGCTCGAGGACACTGGGCTGCAGGTCACCCTGGGCTGAGGTGTCCAGGGCCAGGCCCCCAGTTGAGCATACTGCTCAGCCCAGGCTCCTCCTGCTGCCTCCGGAGGGCCACAGGGCAGGGTCGGGTGCCACAACCCCAGGTGTGCACAGAAGGGTTTCACATCAGTGACTCTGGCCAGGCCTGGAGCCCCAGTCCTCTCTGCAACCATCACAGTGTCATCTCAGCTTCCCCAGGGAGGGTCACCAGGCCACCCAGAGCACAGGTACACAAAGGGCACCCACGGAGGCCACAGCACCGGTGAGCAGTGTGGTATGGGCACAAGCCTCGCCTGGAGACCCAGCCCCATGGGCACAGGCTGGCCCACAGCACCAGTGCCCTCCTGGGGACTCCTGGGCCCCCAGACACCGTTGAGCAGGCCCCGGCCCTCAGTAAGTCCACCTCAGGGCAGATGCAGGCCATGGGGACATGGCAATGCTGCTGGGTCCCTGGCCTGTGCCGGGAGAGGAATCCATGGCCTGGTGTCCCAGGAGCCAGAGGCAGGCGGTGGGCCAGGCCCCCCAAGTGGCCTGGGGAGGAATGGGGTGCAGGCGCCACCGCTACCAGCCTCTGCCAAGTGGCCACTACTCCCCAAGGCTCCCTGTCCTGTCTAAAACGGGGACAGACACACAGTCCCCTCACCCTGGACGCTGCCAGTGACCAGCCAGCCCCCCCCCCCCACACACACACTTGCCAGCCTTGCTGTTTACCTCTGCACCAGGAGGCAAGCCACTCCCAGCCCTAACATTAGGGGAACACTGCAACCCCTCTGCCTGCCCTCAGCAGAAGCTCCGTGGGCACCTGCAGGCTGTGGGGTTTCCAGTCCCTCCCTGGGCTAACTGTGGACAGAAATCTGTGGCGCCAGTATGACCTGGTACACCTACTGGCACCCCACTGGCACCTCTGCCCAGGCCCTGTCTCCCAGAGCCTGGCTGGACCCAAGGCGCCGAGCAGGCACCTGATAAACGCTGGCACAGAGCGCCGAGATGAGCCCAGGCTCCTGACAGTCCCCATGGTCACCACCGTGGGGCTGGCCAGACACCAGCAGTCCCCTGTGCCCCACCACTTCTCACCCCAGCTGTGGTTAGAGGAGAGCAGAGCCCCAAGAGGGCTGGGCCAGGGGACTGAGCCAGGGGCCCAAGAGAGCAAGGTGGCCTGCTGCCCAGGTGGGTGTCCTGGCCCCGCCCTCAGGTGGGCAGCTGCAGGGCCCACCCCTGCAGCCAGGGTGGGAGGGGAGGTAAAGAGCCAGGCGGAAGCAGGTGTGGTGAGCACTCTGGGAGGCTGAGGCAGGAGAGTTACAAACTCGAGCACAGCCCAGCCTGGGTAATTTAGTGAGACACTCCCAAAACAAAAAATATAAAGGGTTGGGGATGCAACTTAGTGAGAAGGCCCTGGGTTCAGACCCCAGAACCACAAAGGCAAAAGGCAGGGGGTGGTATGAGCCCCCCAGCCAGCACGGGACCTGGTGCTCAGTTTGGGGTCCAACAGGGAGACCTGGGAACAGTAATGTGGCCTGGGGCCAGGACATGGCTGTGCTGGCCAGGTTGAAGCCTAGCTGTGGCTGAGCCAGATCCCCACCACGCCCAGGCCTGCGCGTGCACACACATATACACACACACACACAGAGCCAAGTGGTCACCCCAGCTGGTGGCAGCGCTAGCCTGGAGTGGCAGCAGCACCTGCACTTGTCACCCAGGGCAGCCATGGTTCATCCTTGCCCCGCAGGGCAGTCAGTCCCAGAAGCCACCAACTGCCTTGTGCCTCAGTTTCCTCTTCTGCCACCTGGGGATGGGGGGATAGTAGTGGGGACAGACACAGTCCTGGCTGCCATTATGACCCAACCCCCACACCAACACAAATCTCTGCTGGCACTACTGGGGTCAAGACCCAGGGACGGGCTGCGACACTCTGCCTGCAGGGCTCCCCAGCCACTTGCCCCGGGCCAGCTCATCCACATGCCCAAGTGCCACCTCTGTCCCCTTCCCAGGCCTGCTTGGCCACTCTCAGTGGAGCCACGGCAGGGGCTGGGGTCAGAGGGGCTCCAGGCACTGTCCCTAGCTGATGACGGTCACATGATGCTCCCAGACACGAACTGCACCCCAGGGGAGCAGTTGGAAGACTCTGCCTCACCAAACACCAGACATTGGGAGACCCGCCCAGCCCCCCCAAGGCCCATGGCTGGCTAGGGACAGTCTCATCTTCCTGTCCGCCACTGAGCAGATGCTGGATACTCCAAATGCCCATCAGCTTTCCAGGTGCCCCTTCGAGCACCTGGGCTCAGAGACAGTTCCCAGGAGACGAGCAGGTCCCCCATCATCCCCGGGTACCATACCTGTGCCACCAGGACTCTCAGCATGACAAAAAGCAACAGAGCAGGGGCCGTGTGGGTCTACCCTGACCATGCCAGGGGCTCGGAAGGAGGCAGAGCAGAAAGCCACGGTGCTGAGTCAGGACACTGCATGCATGGCCACCTGGAAGGCTTCCTGGAGGAGAGGTCCCAACTGGCAGCAAGAGGGAGGTGGGATGCTGGGCTGTGGGGTACAGGCTGCCCCCCCCACTGTCCCTGCCTGAGCTTCTCCTCTCCCCCTCCCCCACCCTCCCGAGACTCCGCGGCCAGAAGCTCTGCAGTGCTCGGCTCAGTGCCACTCAGAAGGCCACCTCCTCCTTCCCTCCCCCGCCGTGTCACCACTCACCGCATCGCCTCAGGGGGTGGGGACCCCAGCTTGGACACTCCCCACTGTGGCCCCAGACCTCGACCAGCGGGACAGATATTCAGTCGGTCGCAGGGCCCCGGAGCCTGAGGTGGGCAGCGTGCCAGGGCCCCTCGTGGCCCCTCAAGGTCAGTGTCAGCCAGGGACACAGCCATCCCGGGGCACCTAGACCTGGGGGCCCCACACCACACCCCTGGTGCCATCCCCATGTGCCAAGGCAGGCTGGACCCTAGTACATCAGAGATGGCTGGGAAGGGCAGAGCCCCCTGGGGTCCAGTGGCCAGCCAGGTCAGGGGTCCAATGAGAGAGGCCAGGCTGGGGGCCGCTCCTGGTGAGCCTCACCAGGGACACTCGGCGCCGGCTGTGGGAGCTAAAATTGGAACGCGGCAAGTGGGAGGCAGCTGACGGAGCTGCTCTGTGGCGCTCGGGTTTCAGGCTCCTGCTCCATTAACCTGATCCTGGGCCTCCACCCGGCCGCCAGGGTGAAGACAGGAGAGGTGCCCAGCCCAGCCTTGGGGAAGTCAGATGGGATGGGGGGCGGGGGTGGTGGCCTCTTCTGGACTCCAGAGGGGCTCCCCAAGGCCACCTTGTCCTGAAGGAGGCAGCCAGATGTGGGGCCCTGTCTGTACCCGTCATCTCTAGCCCATGACCCCTCCGTCATGGGATGGGGTCAGGGGTGAACCCAGGAGAGCTGGCAGGGACACCAGCACAGGCATGGTCATTGCTGGGGAGCTCAGAGTGGGACACTGCCACGCCAGCCACAGTGGACGCCTGGACCAGCTCCTTCTGCTCAAAGCCCCGGGTTGGTACTTGTGGAGTAGCAGGATGACCCTGCCCACATGGGGCATGCTGGAGGGCAGAGGTGTAAACTGAGGTCACAGGGATGTCCCAGCAGGATGCATGGGGGACACACAGCTCTGGCATGAAGCCGGTCAGCACCTTGGACAGCAGCCAGCACCCTCAGGTGCCTGCCTGGCCCTGACTACGAGCTTCCTCTTCCGGGCTCCTCCTCAAATGGCACAGCTTTGGCCAGCATTGCCCTGAGCACCAGGGGCACCTCGTGGGCACAGTGTGGACACTGGTGGGGCCAAGGCCAGGCAGGCTGGTCGGGGGTCCCTGCATGGGAGACCATTCAGGCTGGGGGCAAGAGGAGGGGTTCAGGAAGGTGTGGAGCCCAGAGGAGGGGCCTGAGGGCAGCGGGGCTCTGTCAGGCACAGGCAGGGTCACTGGGGGGCCTTGGCCAGGCTGGAGTGGGGTGGGATGGCCCTCTGGTGCGGGGGGTTCCCATGCTGACAGGGCTGCAGTTGCCACACCTCACCCTGGTTGTCTCCCCAGCCCCGTCCAGACCATGGGCATCAGGACAGCACTGCCTGCGGCTGAGCTGGGTATCTACTCCCTGGTGCTGAGCGGGGCCCTCGCTTTCGCCGCCCGAGGCCTCCTGGAGGCATCCCAAGGTGACAGCGGGGCCCAGGGGCAGGGCTGGGACCCTATTCCATGGTCCACAGGGTTGGCAAGCTGTGTGAGCCCAGGGGTGCAGCCCAGGGACACAGAAGTGCAGAGACCCTGACAGGGCTGGACCTGGCCTAGGCGCAGCACATGGGGACCCTGCCCTGAGACCATGCTCTGTCCTCAGATGGGGCCCACAGGAAAGCTTTCCGGGAGTCTGTGCGACCGGGCTGGGAGTACATTGGCCGGAAGATGGTAGGTCCCTGCCCCACAGTGCCCATCCCGAATCCTGTGCTTCCAGTGTTGGTGCTGGGGGTCTCCAGCTCCCCACATCCCCTCCCCAGGGCCCCAAGAGTTAAGCACCTGGGTCCCTCAGTCCAGATTATGGCAGGAAAGGCTGATATCCACACAGCGCTGATCACCTGGGGACCCCTCCTGCCCAGGGACCCCTACATGGGAAGGCAGGGGGCCTCTGTCCAGTGGCAGGGAGAGCCCCTAGCTGGGCAGTGCCAGCTCTCCCCTTGACCTGTCCCCCTCCCACCCACCCGGCCACCCCAGGATGTGGCTGACTTCGAGTGGGTGATGTGGTTCACCTCCTTCCGCAACGTCATCCTCTTCACCCTTTGTGGTCACGTGCTCTTCGCCAAGCTGTGCACCATGGCCGCCCCCCAGGTGAGCTCAGGCCAAGTCCCTACCCTGGCCACAGGAGGAAGGGGAGCTGGGGCCCCCGACAGAGCCTCCTCCCTGTCCTGTCCACAGCTGCGCTCCTGGATGTATGCGGTGTACGGTGTCCTGGCCGTGCTGGGCATCATGGGCCCCTGGTACCTGCTGCTGCTGCTTGGCCACTGCGTGGGCCTCTACATGGTGTCCCTCCTGGGCCAGCCCTGGCTCTGCCTCGGCCTTGGCCTGGCCAGCCTGGCCTCCTTCAAGATGGACCCTCTCATCTCCTGGCAGGTGTGTACCAGGCAGGCCAAGTGGGGACCCGGGAGGGTACCCCACCCTCTCACTGCCTCCAAACCCCCATCAGGCGGCACCTGCTGGCCCCAAGGTATGTCCAGCATCAGGACCCTGTTCCTATCTGACCAGAGCCGGGCCCTGGAGGCGGAGGGGGCTCTTAGCAGGACCCCTGCAAGCCAGCGCCTGTTCTCTCTCCAGAGTGGGTTTGTGACGGGCACTTTCGATCTTCAAGAGGTGCTGTTCCAGGGGGGCAGTGGCTTCACCGTGCTCCGCTGTACCAGCTTCGCACTGGAGAGCTGCGCGCAGCCCGGCCGCCGCTACTCATTGGCCGATCTGCTCAAGTACAACTTCTACCTGCCCTTCTTCTTCTTTGGGCCCGTCATGACCTTCGACCGCTTCCACGAGCAGGTGGGACGTGGCTCCAAGGGTGCGGCAGGGTCCCCAAGTCTCCAGGACCACACACCCGAGGACCCACATCCCCCAGTCAGACCCCAGGTGGAGACCACAGGGCGGGGACAGCGTTTCCTGCCTAGCATTTGTGTCTGGGCCATGACACCCCACCTGTCATTTGGGCCTCCTGATAGCCGGGCTGCAGTGGGGTGCTCGGGCTGGGGATGCTGTTCTGCCCACCTCCACCCGACATGTCCCTTGTCCCCAGGTGAACCAGGCAGAGCCGGTGCGGCCCGAGGGGGAGCTGTGGCGGATCCAGGTGCAGGCAGGGCTCAGTGTGGTCACCATTGTGGCCGTCGACATCTTCTTCCACTTCTTCTACATCCTTACCATCCCCAGTGACCTCAAGTTCGCCAACCGCCTCCCAGACAGCGCCCTTGGTGGGTCCCACCGCAGGGACAGGGGCAGGGGCAGGAGCTGCCCAGACCCTCTCAGGGTGGCACTCAGCACCTAAGGGTGCAAGGGGAGCTTGCCTTGCCACACGTGGAGTGTGACACTCTGTCCTGGCAGCTGGGGCTGCATGGCCAGGAGCTCACCCACTTCACAGGGCTGTGAGGTTCACAGAAAATAGGGTGTCCACGGGGTCCACAGGGCCACTTAGGGGAAGGGGAGCCAGGAGCAGGGGCCTCAGGGAGGGCTCCACAGGGGCCAGTGTGGTGACAGTCCTATCCCCAGCTGGCCTGGCCTACTCTAACCTGGTGTATGACTGGGTGAAGGCGGCTGTCCTCTTCGGCGTGGTTAACACCGTGGCTCGCCTGGACCACCTGGACCCACCACAAGCGCCCAAGTGCATCACAGCACTCTATGTCTTTGGGGAAACGTGAGTGTTCAGTGGAGGGGTGGGGCAGGGGCCCCCATGGGGCCTCTCCCTGCTCAGCTGCCCCCCACCCTCACAGGCACTTCGACCGGGGCATCAACGACTGGCTGTGCAAGTGAGTGCAGGGCTGGATGCTGGGCACCTGGGGAGGAGGCCTTGGCCACAGGGCAGGGCACACAGGACCTCCAGGAGTGGCCCTGGGGAGGCGAGGTAGAGACCCAGCCTGCAGGACCTGGGCCGGGCTGTATCCCCAGGAGGGGCCAGGTGTGTCAGGTGCAGCTTCCCTGGGGAAGGTCTGCTGGGAGGGGCAGCCCTGGGGAGGGCTGGAGGGTGAGGCTAAGGTTAGGGAGGAGAGGGGCTCAGCCATCCGAGGACAGAGGGAGACGCACAGCCATGGAGGGGGAAGGGGTAGCCAGGGCAGCAGGGGAGGAACGGAGGCCCCATGACTCCCAGGTAGGCTCAGGGAGGGACACCCGGGGCAGAGGTCTGGGGCCAGGAAGCACAGGCGAGGACAGAGTGGGTGACCCGGGGCGGGGGGCAGAAGTGGCAAGCATGACAGTTGAGGAGCAGGGGGAGGGGTGGCGGGTCAGTGCAGAGGGGCATCCTGCTTCATGCGGGTGGCAGGAACCCCACTAAGAGACCACGTCTGCGGCAGAGCTGGGGTACAAGGCCGGCGCAGAGTGCAGGAGGCCCTGGCCTGGGGACCCAGGCAGGCAGAGGTCCTGCTTTAGGGCCCTGTCTGTGTGTTTTCCTGTCAGGGAGTGAGTGACCCTGCTCCCCACACAGAGAAAAGGAGAAGTGGGGGGCAGTGTTTTCAGTGCTCTAAAATAACTACTCCATGATTTAGGAGGCTGAGATGGGTGGGTTGCTGCAGTCAGGAAAGGACTGGAGGAACCCATGACAGAGGGGACTGAAGAACCAAGCTGGGGAACCATAAAGACAGGATGGGATGGGCAGAGTGGGAGTCAGGAATGAGGGAGGTTTCCAGCACAGTGGGGGGTGCGGCCAGAGTGCGGGTGGAGAAGGCAGCCACAGGACAGCGAGGCTAGTTCCTCAGCCATCTCCCTCAGAGTTTATTTCACACACGTCTTCCAAGAGCCTGCTGGATGCCCGTGCCACCCCAGACATCAGAAAAACAGCCTTGAACGGGCAGACCCCACTCCCAGGGGTCATGGGTTGGGTAAGGGGCAATGGCCGTACTCAGGTGGCTGAGCCCCAGTGGGGTCACCTTGGCAAGGGGGTTCAGGAGTCCAACAGTGCAGGGGGCAGCAGCCAGCCACGGGGTCCATGCTGAGACCTGAACAGGGCCTTGAGTGAAAGGAGATCAGGGTCCCAAGAAGAGGAGCCGAAGTATCGGAGGACCCAGGGTGCACAGGGGAGTGAGGCTGCCCTGCCGAGCTGACAAGGTTCAAAGTTCAGCCAGGCACAGTGGTTCGTGCCTGTGATCCTGCATTCTGGAGGCTGAGGCAGGAAGATGGCTGCGTCAGAAACCACGGCAGCCATGGAAGTGGCAGGCAAGGTTGCTCGTAGAGCCCCTGGGTCCAGCATGAGGAGGGGAAGGGGAAGATCACAGAGGCTCCACTACAGGAGCTGCCAGGATGGGCGGGGGATGGAACAGGAGCACTGGTGGGGGCCCAGCAATGATGTCTTGGATACAGCTGGGGGTCAGAAGCCCAGAGTAAGCAGGGCTTGCAACCCGAGTATGGGCCAACAGTGGGGGTGGGAGTGCGCCCCACAGGAAGCCAGCAGGGGCTTGGGTGGGACAAGCACACGAGGCCTGAGGCGGTGATGTGCGGGTGGGCACAGTGTGGGTGCCTCAGTCAAAGACAGCTATAGCCTGACGGGCACACCTCTGCACCTGCCCCACCCCACTCCCCACGGCCCACTGGCACCCCCAGGTACGTGTATGACCACATCGGTGGGGAGCACTCAGCCGTGATCCCCGAGCTGGTGGCCTCTGTGGCCACCTTCGCCATCACCACACTGTGGCTCGGGCCCTGTGACATCGTTTACCTGTGGTCGGCCCTCAACTGCTTTGGCCTCAACTTCGAGCTCTGGGTGCAGAAGCTGGCCGAGCGAAGGCCGCTGGCACAGATTGAGGTGAGCAGGGTGGGGCATCGGGGACAGGAGGACTTGGGCAGGGCACAGGGAGGTGTGGGAGGGCAGGGGGCCCTGCTGCTCTCTGGTCTGGTGGTCGCACTTTCCCCAGCCCCGAGCGTCCTCGGGTTGACCTCAGATGTTGGCACCAGCTTGGCACGTGGGTACCGCCGCCACCAAAGGGCTGGGCCTGACACACCTGGGCCTGGCTTGTTGCTTGGGCCTCGGCTCTCGGGCCTCGGTCCCCACAATCACTGAGGGTGAGCTGGCTGGGACCCCAGATACCCTCACACAGCCCAGGCTCCAGCAGCTGGGCCAGGCCACGGAGTGCCCCGTGCTCCCCTGGGGCCCTGTTCTGATGCCTGTGTGGCTGCCAGGCCTCCCTGTCGGAGCAGATGAGCCGCCGTGTGCGCGCCCTGTTTGGGGCCATGAACTTCTGGGCCATCGTCATGTACAACCTCGTGAGCCTTAACAGCCTCGAGTTCACGGAGCTGGTGGCCCGGCGCCTGCTGCTTGCAGGTGAGGGAAAGGTGTCCACACCACTGGGGGGGCAAGGGCTGCATAGGGAGGGTCACAGCCTGGGCCTGGCCCAGGAGGCACAAGACCCATGGCTCTGCTTCACAGGCTTCCCGCAGACCACGCTGGCCATCCTGTTTGTCACCTACTGTGGCGTCCAGCTGGTAAAGGAGCGCGAGCGCAGCCTGGCCCTGGAGGAGGAGCCAGGGCAGGACAAAGAGAAGCCCGAGTGACAAAGAATAAAGCTTTTTCTACCATGCCTGGTCCCCAGCCTCTTCCTGGCCTCTTCTAGTGCCTGTCCCTGCTGGGCGAGGACACTGAGGCCACACAGGGAGCAGAGGAGATTGGGGGGTACGGCAGATGGCGCCCACACGGCCTACTCCCCTGTAAGACACGGCTGACTGTGCACTTCAAGTGCTGGGGACACCCCATCTGGCAGGCACAGGGCCAGGCTGGGGTGCTGCCCAGATCCCTCCCTGAGGCTCTGGACACCCGACGGGGCATGGGAGGCCTGGCTACCCTGGAGGGGCCAGCATCCCCACCTCAGGGCCTAGGTCCACCGTGGCAACCCGGTCCAGGTGAAGTAGTCCTGCAGTCCCATCGCACCATGTGGCAGCTCGGCCCCTTCTGGCCTCCTCCCTGGGCCCGTCAGGGTGGTGGGGTCACATCTTGGTCAGGCGCAGCACGTTGAGCCGCACAGGCAGGAAGGTGGCACCAGCAGCATAGCTGATCTCCCGCAGGACGCCCTCCCACTTCCTCTCTTCCTCATTGAATCTGGGGTGGGGAGGGAGGGAGGGAGGGACAAGGAGAGGCGCGGGTCAGCTGAGTGCAGGCACCTCAGTGGGGAACTGCTCCTGGCTCCAGGAGGTACACCTAGCCCCCCGGCCCCAGCCCAGCTCCCGCTCACCTCAAGTCCTAGAAAACCCCTGAGAAAGCGTACTTCGAAGAAGCATCCTGGACTCCACAGGAGCCACCCTCCCCAGGAAAGGCCCCTCTCGAAGACCTTTGCATTCAGGTGCCCGCAGCTCCTTTTGGAAGGTTCCTCTACCCTGCCCGCCCCCCAGCCTGAGAATTCCTGTGCTTCGCACTCAGGAAGTGCCCCCCCAAGACAGTGGGAATGACTTGGGGCTCAGGAACAACCCTGGCGGCAGAATCCTCTTCGCCCCCTTGAGAGCTCAGCTGTGCAGAGCACCTGCTTCCCAAGCCTGCCTCAGTTTCCCTTTAGACCCAGCATGTGGAAGGCTGGGCAGCACCCAGGCCATTTCGAGGGGTCCAGGCCTGAGCTGGGGTTGGGGGTCTGTGGACTGCAAGCCCAGCTGCCATCCTCCCCTGAACTCCATGGAAGAGAGCTCGCCTGGCCCCATCCTGTGCTGGCCTTGAGCCTCAAGGGCTAGGACCCTCCACCCCAGGCAGGACTCACCTCCAGATGTCGTTGAGCTCCGTGGGGACCAGCTCTCCTGACTCGGTCTCCAGCGTGGCAAAACCCCCGATGGCATAGAGGGTGCCTGCCAGACTGACCAGGCTGAGGGAGCTGCGCTCCTGCGGGAAGGCCTCGAAGGGTGTCCACCTGGGGGCAGGGCGCGTGAGCCAAGGCCAGCGGATTGTCACCAGGGCTGTTCCTCCACCGCAGGGTCCATAGCCTCTGGGTGCCCCAGCCCCCATCCCCTGGTCCCCCCATCCCAGCTGCCCAGGGAAGTTAGCCCTGGCCACCCCAGCACCCCGCCTCTCCTGAATGCCACCTGCCACTGGGCCCCAGCAGGTCCCAGTGCACTGGGACTCAATGGTCAGCTCCGTGATGGTTGCACCTTTCTCCTTGGAAGCCTGTGGTTCCTGCAGTGGGGCCACTGTCCCCACCCCAAACTGCCCTCAACTACGCATCTCTGACCCACGTGTCCCACCTGGACCCATACTTTTGCTATCAAGCTCCACTGGCTCCCCAACAGTGCCCCTTCACAAGAGCATCCCTCAGCCTCTCCTCGCCCTGACATCTGAGCTGTCGCTGGGCTCCTGCTTCTCCAGGCGAGGCTGGGGCCATTGTGTCAGCTTCTCAGGGGTACAGGTCAGTGGGAAGCCCAGCCTGCTGCGCACAGCTCTGGGCCTCCCTCTGTCCTACCCCTACCCCAGGCTCCTGGATACCCCTCACCCGCATCCCCATCGCACTGAGCACATCGCTGTGAAACCCAGGAGACCCCTGCCCCACCCTCAGGACAGTCACCTGTCCCCCGTCCCCGCTGCCAGTCCTGTCCACCCCTGCCTGGTTTCTCCTCCTGGACCTGCCCTGCTCCCCTGTCCCCCTAACCCCATGGCAGACCATGCTGGCCCAGGCAACCTTCTCTAACCCGAACCAGCTGCTGCCCAGCAGGTGCCCCTCCTGCAGAAGCAGGCTCACCCACCCCCTTCAGCCAGGACTGAGACCGAAATGCCCACAGCTGGAATCAAAGCCCATGGGAGGCCAAGGCAGCGCTCACCTGTCCTCTGCGATGCTGTACACCTCAGCGCTGCTGGTCAGCCCTGTGTCCGTGACTCCCGCCGCCACGAAGATGCGGCCGTCATGCACAGTGGCCGCAAAGAGAGAGCGCGCCGTCTGCATGGGCGCCAGCTCCTTCCACTCAAACTTCTTGGGGTCGTATACACAGGTCTTGCTGAGGCACTTCCTGCAGGGCAAGGCAGTGAGTGGGAGGCCGAAGCAGGCTGTGTCCCCAAAGCTGCAGCCCGGCCTCACCTGTCGCTGCCCTTGCCCCCAATGACATAGACGAGGTCCAGGTGGGACAGCACCGCATGGCCGTACACAGCATAGGGCAGGGGGTCCGACTCACCCCATTTGAATGATCTGGAAAGCGGGAGGGGCTCTGGCTCAGGCGGGGGCTCCCCAGATGCACCCCACTCCTTCCCAGGACCCCAGGTCTCCTGGGACCCTTGTGCCCACCCCTACCCGTGGCCCTGCTCACAGCCGGTCGTAGCACAGCACAGAGTCCAGGCTGCGCTCGCCGTCCTTGAGCTCGCGGCCGCCAACCACGTAGATGGCGTTGAGCGCCTCTCCCAGGCCAAAGAGGCAGCGCGGAGAGGGCAGCGGCGGCATGCCCAGCCACTCCGAGTCCAGGTGGTCGAACTGCGGGCCAAGGGTCCAGTCACCACCCTGCTGGCCACCACCCTGGCTACCACCACCGCTTGGATGGCCTGTTGGCCTTGCCCACTGACCTGGACACTTCACATCGCCATTCACCCCAAAACCTGCAGTCTGCAGTGGGCCCCATGGGCTCCTGGGGCTTCTCGCTGAGCCAGAGGCCTTGCTTCACCCTCCTGTTGCAGACCTGAGCACAGCTGGGACAGCCCCAGGCCCCAGGCCCCAGGCCCCAGGCTGGCTCACCCCAGCCCAACAGTTCCCCCTGCGGCTGGGTGCACAGCCACCCTATCTCCACTGCTGGGAGGGCTGTGTGGCTGGCAGGGCTCAGATCTGTGCCCACTTGAAAGCCCTCTCTGCCCTCAGAGGCCCCACAGCTGCCCCCCTACTAGGTCTGGGCACCCACTCGCCTGGGCTTTCAAGAGCCTCAGCTTGTTCTTCTAATGGAAGCCTCAGGACACTCAGACTCCATAGACCAAAGCCTGGCTCTGACCCTGCATGTCCTCCTCACTGTGCTGACCTGACGCCCATGTAGGGCATCCCCATCCTGCATCCTCTGACCTATTGTCCCCTGGAACACAAGCACCAGTGTCACTGGCTCTCTAGCAGCTGCCTGTACCCAGCTGGCCCTGCCTGCACGCAGCTGTCAGCCAACATCCCTCCTGGACTATCTTGAGGGAGGTCCCCCAAGGGTCCCCCAGGGCTGGCCCACACCTGCAGGAAGTAAGCACTCATAGGGTCCTCCTTGTTGTCCTCGTTGTAGAAAAGGCCCCCAGCCACGAAGACTTGGTTCTCCTTGGTGACCAGGCTCACGTGGTTCTTGGGGACCTGTGTGGAAAGGGTGGCACAGTAGCACTCGTTGGCGGCGGGGTCGTAGGCCACGGCACCCTCCTCGCTGATCATGAGGATGAGGTCCTGCAAGAACATGCCAAAGCGCAGTGTGTCATTCAGGACCCCAGGCAGCACGCGCTCGGCACCCTCTTCCTCCTCCTCCTGGTCCTGGGCCTCTTCCGTGGCAGGACTCTGCTCCTTCCCCTCCTCCTTGCCCTTGTCCTTCCTCTTCCGGCGGCGTAGCGTGGTCACGCGGCCCTCGTGGGCGTCCTTGACCATCTGCACCTTGCGTAGCAGCTCGGGCTGGGCGCGCACGAGCGGATGGCGCGCCACGCGGGTCTCCAGAAAGGCGCGCGGCAGCAGACGGCAGCGCACGCTCTCGAACACCGTGGGCAGCGCGCGCTGGCGCTCGGCGCGGGCCTCGGCATCACCACTCTCAGCCCAGCGCATCACGGCCTCAAACACCGCCTCCTCCTTCTCTACGTTGAGGCCGTCGCTGGAGATGATGGCGATGAGCTCGTCAGCCGAGAGTCCCAAAAAGTCGGCGTCCCGTGCCACCAGCGGGAAGCGCGCACAGATGAAGTCGCGCGCGGCCACAGCCAGGCGCGCGCAGTCCAGCAGGAGGCCAAGGCGGAACACGGCCAGGCAGTTGGCGAGGCACAGGCGCTTCTGCAGGAAGGACACACAGATGGTGAAGATGGACGGGATCTGGAAGCGGTGTGCCGCTGCGAACAGGTCCTGCACGCTCGCCTCGTCCAGCGCGATCTCCGACGTATACAGGTAGTGCAGCACCTGGGCCACCACGTCAGGTGACACCTCCTCCAGGCGCACCTCGCCAGCGCTCTCGGGCTCGGCCAGGAAGCGTGAGCGGAAGTAGGGGCTGCAGGCAGCCAGCACCAAGCGGTGGCATGGGAACTCACGCTCGCCCGCGCGCACCACACAGTCCAGAAACTTGCCGTGGTCCAGCATGTCCTTGAGCCCGTCCTGCAGCAGCGTCTGCTGGTACAGCCGCTGCTCCTCCGCCTGCTCCAAGCCCAGCGCCATGGTGGGTGCCCCGGTGTATGGTGTCAGCGCCAAGGGTGCCCTAGAGTGTGGCAATGGTGCCAAGGCTCCTCTCCGTGCCCCTGCTTCCCTGCGGGCTGCTGCGCTCAAACTGCGCAGCTGTGCCCCCTGCGCTATATATAGAGGGAGCTGTAAGATGAGCCACCAGGCCTCCTGCGCACGACACTGCCAACAGCTGAGCGAGGCCCCTCCCAGAGAAGCCTTGACTCAGCCTGTAGACTGGAGGGCGAACTGAAGACCCTCCCTGCCTCCTTTCCCCAGAGGGACAGTAAGACCTCCTGAATTCCCTGGTGGGGAGACCCCAGGTAGAGGGAGTCTAAGCCCTCCCCCGAGTCTCCCTCCTTCTGTTTTCAGCCTACAAGGCTCCTGCATGGAGCCTGGCTTTCCTATTCAGTGGCCTGCACCATGGCGGTCACTCTCGAGCCCTCTGTTGCCCACCCTCAAAGGGAAACCCTTTTCCTCTCTTTGCAGCCCAGTCCTGAGGCTCCCCTTGAAAGGAAGCCCTTAGATAACCAAGGCCATCACTGTCCTATGGGCCTGGAGCAGGAGGGTCACTCTTCTGAGCCTCAGTTTACCCTTGAATACCAGGAGGAGGTGGAAGAGCTGGACTCCAAGGGCCCCAGTCAGGCTCTGCTGAGATTCGGGGACCCTGAGGTATTGTTCCCCAGAGCACACAGTTAGAGGGTGGTGATGCCCTGATGGGCCAGTCCCACTAGAAGTTTACTGTCCTAGAACCCTACTGTCAGAGGTGTTCAGACTTCCAGGTTTTAACATCCCAGGGCAGTGACATTGCCAACTCTGATGTCCAAAACTCGACCCCCTAAGGTTTCAGGACTCCGGCTGGGCTCGTGGTCCCCAGTGGCATTGGTGTGTGACTACCCGGCCTGTCCGTGATCTCAGGGATCAGAGTGGAGGCCCAGGACAGTCTGTCCTGGTACCCACCCTGTTCTGGACTCTTGCCCCAGCACACACATATACTCGCACACACGCATCAGCCTTGGCCACCAAAATTAACTTGTTCCCAAAGTGCCAGCAGCCACAGCTGTGGGTTAAATTTAGCCCCCGGAACACGGGTGTGAGCTATTATGGGGTGCTCCTCAGTCAGTCCTCTGAGTCACTTGTTTGTAGCCCTGATGTGTCTCTGGGACAGGAGAGAGGACCTCAGGCTGGGCCAGCACTGTGTCTCCTCCCCTTTTGTGGTTCCAGCACTGTCACTGCCTGTCTGGAATAGCACACCTGACTGTCTTCACCGAAGCTCCTCTCCAATAGGCTGCACCCTGGGCAGGCCCAGCATAGGTCCTGTTGACTTTGCCCTTCAAAGGAGCCCAATGTGGGGCTCACAGCCACACCCTAAGTGCAGGGTGAGACTCCACTCTGCAAGGTGGAGGTGCCACAGCTCAGACACATCTGTCACGAAGCTCCCGTCCAGACCCCCAGGACTGAAAGCCCATTCTGCTCCTTCCCGGGAACACCAGAAATGCCCAGCAACCAAGGCCTCGAGAGGAGCTGACGAAAGGTTCATTTATATCCACTAGGTGACCAAGTGAGGTATTTTTAGTTGATACTGGATCCTGCAGAGCTTGCACCCCACGTGCATCCCCCAAGAATGTGTGTACATGACTCAGTCACCTGCCGAAAACCCAAGCGTTCTGTTCAGAGTACTGAGTCTTCCGCATGAACAAATTTGGCAGGAATTTCTGCCTTCAGGGTGCTGGGGGCAGGCAACAGATGAGTAGCTGTACAAATCAGATGACAGTGACTGTTCTGGACTGGTGGGAAGTGACTGGCGTGGCCACAGAGATTTCCACTCAGGATGGACTCACCAAGAGGACCCCAGAGTGTTGCAGGCAGGGGGCAGCCTGAGCAAAGGCCCTGAGGCAGGAGAGCACAGGCACCTGGCGCACACGGCTGGAGGACACAGGAGCAGTGAGGAGGAGACGAGTGGGGCATCCACTCAGAGCTACTGTTTATTTTTAATTATAATGATGAGAAATGTGAAAGATACAGTGCAAGAGTAGAAGAGTATCCCGCCACCTCTCCTGCACCCACCACCCACTGCAATAGCTCTCAGGCTACGCTGTGGGTTAAATGTCACCCACCCGATGGCGCAGGAGTGGTGGAGGAGGTGGTGGCCGGGTGGGGGTCCTTAGGTCACTGGGCTCTGCCCCAGGAATAGATTAAGTGGGTTCCCCTGAGGCCCCCCGTGGGTCTCAGGAGAAGGTTGGCAGCCAGGCCTGAGCCAGCCCCCACCGCGGCTCTGGCTTCCTGGGCTGAGATGCGATTTCCTGACTCCACACCTGTACTTGCCATGGGCTCCCACCTCAAAGGGACCCAATGGGGGGACCTTGGCAGAACTGAGCCACTGTGGGAACATGCCCCTGAGCCCCAGAGCGGGGTGCTAACCCAACCTCCTCCTCCTGAGGGGCCTGCCTCAGGTGTTTCACTGTAGCTGGTTAGCTGCTATGGAGTAGCCTTGCTGTCATATGTGGCAGATACTTGTCACATTTGGTGGCCGCTTGCATTCCCTACACAGGCTTGCTGCTTCTTGGACAGTTCCCACCTCCTACTGCTGCCCTGAGGTAGGAGCCCAACCTTGTATTTCCACCTTCCCTGGGCACACAGCCTCCTGCTGGGCTGCTTTCTCCACGTGACCCCTGCTTCCTAGACTTCCGCAGAAAAGAAAGCAGGAAGGGGCAGGGCTCGTGTTTTGGCAGAGAAAGCAGAGGGACTGCAGGGTGGAATCTGCTGGTGGCCACTCTTCCAGGTCCACTGGACCATCCATGGGCTCTGGCCCCTGGCCATCAGGCTGTGTGGTCTGAGACCCTGACGCTGGGAACCACCCCCCCCCCCCGTCCCCCGAAGATCTCTAACCCCAAGGCAACCAGCATGCATGGTTTGCTGCTAAGAAGGCTGCAGGGTGTGGAGGCTCACATCAAGTCTTCCAGGCAGCAGGCATAGAGGGTGAGCTCAGGCACTGAGTGCCTTCCTTATGTCCGCCTCTTCTCAGCTGACCAAAGATGACCATGCTGCAAGAAGTCCAGATGCCAGAAGGGCTCTTGAGTGACCTGCCGAAGAATTCCGGAGATTGAGGGAAGCAAGCCTGTCAGACCGGATCTGCCATGTGAGTCCCTTGCATCACACATGTTTACTGAGGCTCAGGGGACACATCACTGGGAACTGAGGACTGTTGGCCACTTTGACACTTGCTGTGATGGCCAAGGATGTGGGAGACCCTCTGCCTTTGAGGTGCTGCCCTGATTTCAGGGAGCATGAGCAGCTCTTAGAGGCAGCAGAGACTTGTAAGTGCCAAAGGCAAGGTGGGAAATGTTCCTGCAGCCAGCAGCAGAGCTGCCATGGGTGGTAACGAGCCCTAGCCTTGGGGTTTTGGAGGGCCATTAATGGGTCATGGATTTCTTAGGAGCAGAAGCACACAGGTGCCCTAGCAGAGTCCCATGGGTTCAACTGCCGGATCTGGGTTTGCTGTCCTTTGCTGCCGCAGTTCTGCTAAACCTGCCTTCCATGGACTTGATGCTTTGGTTCTTTGTCTAGAACCCACTCAACAATGCTTTTGATCCAGTGTCTCATCCAACGACAAAACACAGGCAAGCCTACAGCTGGTGATAGCAGGTGAAATACATGCACTTCCCTTGCTGTCTCCTGAAGCTTTTATGAAAGTCTAAGAATTTTAAAAATCTGTATAACTAGCAAGACAAAGCATATAACATACTCTACATAGATAGAGCAGTAACACGGTGGGCTCTGGAAAACGGGTGTTAGGAGTTTCAGTCCACGGTCAGCAGGCTCACACAGAAAGGCCATGGTGCAAGGGCCCGGCTCTGAGGAAGACTGCTCCTTTGCTGGCACCCAGGAAGCACAGCAAGAAGGCAGGAACCTAAGAAGGACACACATGCAGGGCACGCCCCTTGTACCCGTCTCCAGCCAGGCTCCACCTCATAATCCGCTGATGAATCTAGAGCCCCAGGATCTGTCACCTGCAAACACAGGAGGACCTGGCAGACACTGCAGATCTAGTCCAGAACACTGCCAGAAAAGATCTGGAGCTGGCAGTCCAGATACATTTGAATATGCAGAAGGCTGAAGGCGGGCCCATTGGCCGTAAGATTCATTAAGCAGTGAGACACAAAGAACCCACCCGGGGAGAAACCAAAGGTTTCATGTCTGAAGACAGGAAATCAGAGAGCCTGTGACTGAGGACACCCAGCAGAGTTGGGGTCCCCCGTAAAATCCCAGTGAGTACGAGCAACTCTGCTGAGCGAGCTCTACTGCCACTCGGCACCAGAGTGCCAGGGCCTAGCCATACCCTCCAAACAAGGAACTGAAGCTGGGGGATCTTCCAATCCAAGAGCAAAGCAAAGTATCAACAACCGAGAGGCCCCAGAAAGCAGCCTGGCCAGATTGCCCTAAGTGAAGCTCTCCTGTTAATAGTTATCTTCACATATGTGGGTGTCCAGTGTCTTGGGGTTTCACTCATTAAAGTGCTTGGAGAGACAGTTCATGTCTTGAACAAGATAGTGTACAACTGTGAAAGTAACAAAACCAAAGTGTAACTCTTAAAAGGTGGCAAGAGAATGGTGAGTTGGTTTTGGAGCAGGGTGTCTTGCATGCTCCCCAAAAGGGTGATTGAGACCATGTGGCTCCTGGCCCCTAAGCCAAGCAGCAGCAAGCAGCCCACGAAGACAAATCTGCCTCACAAATGGGCAGGGGCACCTCTGACAATGCAGATAGGTACCAGCTGCAGGGGAAACCAGTTAGGAGCTGCAGTAACATCCATAGCCAGTACTGCCATGCTGCCTTCCACACTGGGCCTGAAACTCACTTTCCTGTTGTGAAACCCTGAGTGAGCCAGTCTAGGGAACCTCTGTCCCCCAGCAGTACCAGAAGGAGCCCCAAAACACAGATACAGCAAGCAGACAAAAACACCACCACAGGGACTGGGGATTTAGCTCAGCGGCATAAGCGCCTGCCTTGGAAGCAGGCAGTCATGAGTTCAATCCCTGGTACCAATGAAAAGGAAAAAGACAAAAAAAAAAAAAAAAAAAAAACACCACCACAAACATTATGACAGTTGTTATCTGAACTTTAGCCCACAAGAGAAGGCAGGACTTGCCTGCTGCACCTGAACAGAATGACTCCCTATTGCAACAGAAGACCCAGAACCTCCTAGCCTAAGAGCCAAAATGTCTAGGATACAATAAAAAATCATTCGTCATACCAGGAACTAGGAGCGTGGAAAGAATCAACTGATGCCAGCACCAGTTGAGTCAGATGTTGGAATTATTTGGAAAGGATTCTAAGGCAGTTATCTGTCATAAAATGCTTTGGCAATAAGTTTAAAATTTTCTTAAAACAAAATTTAAAAATACGAGACCCCAGCAAAGAAACAGAAATTATCCAGAAGAACCAAATGAAAATTACAGAACTGACAAAATACAACAGACATGGAAACTTCCCAGATGGCGTAGATAAGGAAGGGAAGATGGCAGAGGATAGCACCCATGCATTACAGGAGAGAGCGGTGTAATGTCTCCATTCGAACATCAGAAGAATAGCACATTGACAATATGTACATCTGAGTAGAGTTTCAAGGGTCCATGCCCAATGTTGGTATCACTGTATGTTGCCTCAGAAGGAGAGCAGAGACTGCAGCTAAAACAGTAAAGAATGATAGAAACCTTGCAAAACTTGGTCAAGACGAAAGCCAGCAGATTGAAGAAGCTGAGCAAACTCCAGACAGGATAAAATCAAAGAAATCCATGCCAAAAATAATGTAATTAAACTTCTAAAAAGTACAGGCAAATTTTAAAAATTACTGAAAGCAAACAGGGAAACTCCACATCACCTGTGGGGTGGGGTGGATGGGTGTGGGGAGCTTCCAGTTCAAGTCAGCAGATTTCTCCTCCAAACTATGAAAGTTGGAAGGAAGTGGCACCACAGTTTTCAAAGGCTGAAAGAAGTGTCGACTGGATTCTATACCCAGTGAAACTGTCAGGAACAAAGACAAAATAATCCCAGACATTTTTTCCTTTTTCTTTTTTTTTCTGGTACCAGGGATCAAACTCACAACCTCAGACTTGCCAGACAGGTGCTTATGCCACTGAGCTAAATCCCCGGCCCCCCAGACATTTTTTAAATGCCAGAAATTAATAAGTGAGTCCACAAGTCAGTGTGTATAAGCTAATAAAGTTGATGTACAAAAATTTCCATTTACTAATTTTTTCCATTAACAATGAATATTGTTTACTTAATATTAAGTAAAGTGCAAATTGATACGAATAATTTTAATGTTAATATTACAAACATAAAGTCAAACAATATCATTTAGAATCACTCCAAAGATGTTAAAAAAACACTTAGCCACACATTTAACAAAACACACACAAGGTCCATATGCTGAAAATTATAAAATGCTGACAAAAAAAATCATAGGTCTAAATAAATGGAGAGGCATCCATTCATTGATTGGGAGAGTCCACAGAGTAAAGATGTCAATTCTTCCAAACTGAAGTACAGACGGAATTCAGTGCCTATAGAATTTCCAGTGAGGTTTTGACCAGTTGACAGCTAACCCTGGGTGTCACTTGGGCAGTGGGTTTGTTTCCATGCCAGATACCCCAAGCCTCACTCCAGTAGGTGTCATGTCAATCAGTCAGTCCCTGTACTGTGTAAAATTGATAAAATTTCCTTTTCTATTGGCTTATAAAGATTAATGAAAGTACGCAATTTTGGTCAACCTGTATTTAAATAATTGCACTGGTAAGAGGTTAATAGATGTCAACATAGACAAGCTTATCATGCAGTTTACATGGAAAGCACAGGCCCTGGAAGAGCTACAATGATCTTAACGATGAATAAGTGGGAGGAATGGCTCTACCTGACGTTAAGGCTGCCCGTGTGTCTGTGCATTGTGTGGCCGACGGGTCAGGGGGACCCACAAATGGTGAAGTTCTACATGAAGAAGCACTGGGCAGCTTCAGAATCAATCAGTGGGATTTTCTGTATTAACTTGTGGGTCCAAACCAGGCCTAAATGACTTGCTGGAGAGCCAGTGGCTGCTATGCAAAAACAGAACTCTGCATGCCAGTCGTCACAGTAGAGACCTGTGGTGGCCTGTGACCAACATCTCTCAAGGCGAGACAACTCAGCTGTGGGTGTTGACTCTCCCTCAGATTTTTAGGGACAGTACTGTCAACCTTAGAGATCAAACAGTTCTCTCAATAACCAAAGATCTGCTGCTTGGAAAGCTTTCTCAAGGCCTTGTTCATTTTCATACCTAGCTCCTTCCTGCACTCTCCTGATACACTGAGGACACAAGAAATACTGGTCAGTCCAACAAAGTCTTCATCTGAGCCACAAGAGCTCTGACCTCCTGGACCTGCAGATCTCATGCACTGTCTCTTATTTTATCCTTCACCATTCGCTTGTCCAGGGCTTGGGGAGACTGTGGCTCCCAATACACCGATAGGTGCAGATACTCTCAAGTGATCTCTGACCAAGATGCCAAAAGAATTCAATGAAGGAAAAACAGCCTTTCCAACACATGCTGCTGAACAAACACAGGCCAAAAAGGTCAACACTGAACCTCACACTTTATACAAAAATTACCCAAAAGTGGGTTTTAAGCTTAAAATGTAAAATACATAGAAATAACTTTGAGAAGAACAGTCTTTGAAGTCCTGACAGTTGCTGATGTCAAAACTCTAGAAGACAAACCTATAGTAATTAAGACAGGATGGTGCCGACATAAAGACAGACATTGAGACCAAGAGGATAGAACGCAGAGCCCAGAAATAAGCCTTCTTTTGTCAGTCAGCAAGGGGGCCAAGACCATCCCAGTGGCCATCACTGGACGGATGGGTAGCATGTAGTACAGAGGCATACGATGGGACGAGACTCAACTTCCAACCGAAAGGAGATCCGCCCCACCATGCGCGGACCTTGGGCACCCTGTGCTACGTAAAGCTAATAATAAGGCGATGGACACAGCATGATTCGTTTGTAGGAGGCCCCTGGAGCAGTCGATTCATGCAGACGGGGAGCAGAGCTGTGGTGGTCAGGACCTGCATGGCGGGAGGAGCGTGGACTTGGAGTGCAGTGGGTGAGGGGTTTTAGTTTGGAAAGACAAAAGGTCCTGGGATTGTGTGGTGAGGGGGGAAAGACTCAGGGCGCCGACTGCACACTTGGTGGTCAAAGTGCTGCATCTCACGTGTTTCACATAGATCCACGGAGAGAGCGGTGGCAGCCCTGCGCCTGGATTTGACGCCTACAGAATAAGGTAAAGGAGTGTATTTCTTTTAAAATGCAACATATAAAACTATACAACTTTTAGGGAAATCCTGAGTATTTCTGGCATTTAGGGCTAGGAACAAATTCCTGGATGCAACACCAAAAACATGGCACATAAAAAGGAAGTTTGATTAACTAAACATTAAAATTAACAATTCCCTTGCAAAAGCCCATGTGAAGAAATTAAGATGAGCTACAGAGTGGGATAAAAGATCTAGACACACAAAGAATACTCAAAACTCAACTTGCTGTGAAAAATCTACACAACTCAGTGAGAAAATAGACAACAAAAAAGAAGCTGGGTGTGGTGGTACACTGCTGTAATCCCAGCATTCAGGAGGCTGAGGCAGGAGGATCACTACAAGTTCAATACCAGCCTGGGCTGCAAAGTGAGCTCAAGGCCAGCCTGAACTGCACAATAAAAGCCTGTCTCAAAAAGACCAAAAAATAAAATAAAATAAAAACTTTCAAATCAGTAATCTTACCAGTGAGCATATACATGACAATCTCTTGAAAAGATGTACCATATTATTAGTATCAAAGAAATGTAAATTTAAACCACAGTGAGATACTACTTAATACCTGAGTAGCTAAAATGAAAAATAATGGTAACACCCAGTGCCAGTGAGCATGCAGAGAAACTGAGGCACGCATACATATTGCTAGTGACTGTGAATGATGCAGGCACTTCAGAGACTACGCTGGAAATTTCTTAGGAAACCAAAGTGTGGCCATGTCACAGCGCAGCAGCTGCTTTGTGGAGCATTTATCCCAGAGAAATGAAAGTCAGTGGTCACACAAAGCCCCTGGTCCTGGCAGGGTGTTGGTGGTGACAATGACTCCTGCCACCTGTCCCTCTGTCTCCGGGAGAATCAGCTATGGTTCCTGTCCAGGGACTGCAGCCTGCAAGGTTGGGAGTCTCCTCGCGGACACACCATGCACACGTGACTTGGCGTGTGCATACACACACACACACGGGACTGCATTCACAGGGACTTAGTCACATTTCCATCAGCCGGGAGCGCAGCCTGGCTCAGAACCAATCTCGGGGCCCCCACGCCCTTGGAAGAACAGGCAGAAGAGGGGTTTGGCCCCATGTCAAGAGGTCCATGACGACAGACTCATCGGCCACAGGGGACAGAGACTCTGTGCCCTGCGCTGAGAGACAGCAGCCGGGAGATCAGGCCACACACTGCAGGGCTGGGGAGGACAAGTGGGGAGCACATACAAGGTCTCCTTTTGGGGGTGGGGACCAGACCAGGGGGCAGCCACACATCGTGAACGAACTTCATGTCACTGAACTACTCACTTTAAACAGTTAATGCAGTAGAGTGGGTATTTTACCTCAGGGAGAAAAACGGAAAGAAAAAAAGGTCGGTTGGTGATGAGAACAATCCCAGGATTCCTGTCCTTTAAGCCAGGTGAGTTCCTGTCGTGACAGCCACATCTGGGTCCTGGCTAAGGGCAGAAGAGGGTGACAAGGGAAAGCCGCTGGCAGTCTTGACCTCATGACCAGGGGCAGAATGAGGTCGGACGCATCTTACTGCTCCGCTTTGCTGGGGGTACCAGTTCCCTGGAGAAACAGAACACACAGGGCATAAATCAGAGAGGGGCTTTGCTGGGGCTGGGCCCTGCAATGACAAAGGCGGAGAATCCATGTCCTGCCATCCACACCTCGGCCCCAGGGAAGCCAGTGGTGTGTTCTAGCCTGAGTCCAAAGCCAGAGAACCAGAGGAGCCAGGGAGCTCAGAGGCCAGAGACCCAGGAACTCTGATGTCCAAGGGCAGGAGTCTCAGAGTGAATTCACACCTTCTCCGCCTTTCTGTTCCCTCTGTTCCACCCAGCTCGCTGCGTGATGCCGGCCACATCCATGAAGGTGAATCACTTTTATTCAGTCCTCCAGATCAAATGTTAATCTCCCCTGGAACACCCTCGCAGACCCATCCTGAGCCCTGCTGTCCCCACTGTCCAGCATTCCTACAGTGGTCAGGTCGGTATCCATGATGAACCATCACACCAACTGCGATGTGTGTACGTTTTAATTCATTCTGTCCTCCTCCCACTCCCCTTCTAATAAAGGGCAGGTGCAATGTGACACTCAGAGTCCACGGGCCACTTCCAGACAGCAGGACAGGATGGGATCCCAGCTGAGCTAGAGGAGCCCTGCTCGACAGGGGACCGGGGTGTGGAGCTGGAGGCCTTGGCTCAGAGAAGGCTTTGGGGAAGGACACGCATGTCCTCGAACCTGGGTGAAAGGCTGTCCATCAAGGCGTGGCACCACGCCTGCTGTGTGCTGCACAGGCCTGCACAGGGCTGGGGTCAAGGGGCTGGGACAGTGTGTGACACCCAGTGCTGGAGTGAACGGTAGTGTGCACTCTGCCAACTCACAGTGCCCAGTGTGGCTCGAGGGTCTACACAGACTGGACTTGCTAGTCAGATGCACCTAAGTCAGAGGAGCTGCTGTCACCCAGACACGGTGCCCTTCAGGGATGCTGGGGTGTTAGTTTGGGTCCAGCAGGTGGCTTCCTGCGTGCAGCCTGTGTGCCCCGAGTTCACGCTGCCTGGCAGCCACACCCCTGGGTCAAGTTCTGCAGTCGGTTAGGGTTAGGTTATTCCTGGCTATAGACCCTGAGTCTCGGACCTTTCTGGAACTCCTCTGAAGCTTTCAGCAGTGCCTCATTAAAGTTGCTTTCTGCTTGGGGAGGCCTGGGCCTGAGCGCCACTGTCGGCCCAGCTCTGAGCTGCAGGGGGTAAGAGGGACATTGTTCAGTGCTAGGCAGCCCGACATTGGGGTCTGGCAGGCCTGGGTGTGAGTCCTGGCTCCACTACCTCCTGCCACATGCAATGGCTTTCCTGCTCTGACCTCCACGTCCTCAGGGCAGGGGGCTGAGGAGTGGCTGTCAGGGCCCCACGTGAAAGCTACGGAGCATGGGGACAGACAGGACTGCAGGGTTCTCTGGAGCCCCCTCCAGCAGGACAGAGCTGGGGCCGGAAGCTGTGACACCAAGGTGGGGGGACCCATCCTGCCCCACTGCCCGGGGCCTGAGGCTGGGGTCTGTGAACACCAAGCAGCCCCAGCACACCCCGTCCAGCACAGCACCCCTGCTCCTCACTGATGCCCTGCTGTGACTTTAGCAGGCAGTGTCCCAGCCTGCATGCTGGAGGCTAGGCCACGAGGGACTGGGGCTGAACACTGAACAGGATGTCAGCACCCACCGGAGTCCCTAGGACAACTCTTTCAGCCACAGAGGGACTGCATCTCCACTCTCCTGAAGTGAAGCCTGCTGTGGAGCTTCCAGGGATGGACGCAGCAGAGTGTCAGTCACTGCATCCTTCCTTCCCCTGGCTCTTGTTCCTCCAAGGCCACCAGCAGTGCCCCAGTGCAACCAGGCAAAGCCATCTGGAATTCTAAGCCCCTATATCTAGCACAGCTACCCTGGAGCCTCAGCCCGAGCCAGGGTGACAGCCCCACCTGCCTTTCACACCAGCCACAGCTCTGGAAAGCCAGGTACCAGGGCAGGGGGCCCAAAGTGTTGAGTGTGTGCATGCAAGAGGCCAGTCCCTGTCCCAGGCTCTGGTGCTCATGGCAGTCCCTACACAGGGCTTGGCTTCCTGTGGGCACCACCTTGGGGCTGTCAGCTTGGCAGCCTAGGAGCTCCCTCCCCCTGAACCTCCACGCCAGGTTCTGGATCTCCCCAAAGCCCGGCCTCCCCTGACAGAAGGGGCTGAGATTTGATTGATGCTCTGTAAGGTCTATGTCCTTCCAACACCAGACGCTGGGTTTCCTGCTGCCCATGCTCATGGAAACAGGAGATAAAGAGGAGGCCGGGCCCAGGGACAGGACCTGTGCTGATTTTATTCCCTCTCCCTTCTCATTCACATGCCACTGTCCCCACACCTCAGGCTGTGTGGAGCCCATGTGGCGAGAGCCAGGGTCCCCCCTAGGCTCGCCAGGGTCTCTAAGAGCAGGCCCACACTAGACCCGAGGCTGGGACATCTGGCTGCAGAGGGCGCCAGCAGGATTCTGTGAAAGGGATGACAAGTCCCACTCCCAGCTCTGGAAAGTGGAATGACGCCTTAGTCCCCTTTCTCCAACAACTGGATGCTCAATTTGTGAGGTTTTTTTGTTTGTTTGTTTTTTGTCTTTTTGAGACAGGGTCTTGCTATGCAGTTCAGGCTGGCCTTAAGCTCACTTTGTAGCCTAGGCTGGTCTCGAACTCGCAACGAGCCCCATGCCTCAGCCGCCTGAGTGCTGGGATTACAGGCATGAGCCACCAGCCCAGCTCATTTGTGTTTTAAAAGGAGCCGTGAACACTAGACCCATGGCCACACAGAACAAGTTTCCACAGTCGCTTCCAGCAGTGCCCTGGCTGGAGAGGAGCTGGAGGCCCTCTGGGGCGAGCAGCACCTGCCTCCTGTCACAGTGACCACCTTGGCTGGCCAGCGATCCGGACCCTTCTCCCTGCCCAATCAGGGCTATGAATGGGAACAGGGAACCCAGCTCTCAGAAGGGGTCACCCAGCTCCCGCACCCACCCTGACCTCTGCTTGCTGAACTGTGACCTTCATGGCTGGTGTCCCACAAGGCAGTCCAGCCCCTCAAGGTAGCCTGGTGCCAGGCATGGGCTGAGGAAGCCTTGGGGTTCCCACCTACAGTCCATAAAGATCAAACTGTTAGAAAGAGTTGCAAAGCTCCAGGCACTGAGCCCAGAGGTTTCAACCAGCAAGTGGGCAAGGAGGGGACCCCAGGGATGCCAGAGGCCCAGAGATCAACGGGCGCAGAGGACAAAAGTCTCAACACAAGGGGAGCCTGCAGGATGCCGGAACACCAGCTTTGGAACCCGGGGGGCTGTAGGGCCACGGGGATACCTTCCTTCCTCGGGGGACTGGAGGATATGGGTGTCACGGATGTCTGCAGCCTCAGACCTGCCCCAGCCAGGTCACTGGCCCCCTCTCCCGCCCCGGGCCTGGATGACCACTGGCACCACAGAGCTTGGGATGCATCTTCAAATCACTCAGGGACCTGGGGCCTACCCACCTCTGTAGAGAATAAAGTGCTTTGTTTATTGATGATTAAAATGTCCCCAGCCCTCTGCCCCAGCGCTGCGGGGCCCCAGGCATTCAGAGTCCGAGGCCCAGGCCTCTTTCCACACCTGCCATGCCCGGAAGGTGGTGGTGTGGGGGAGGGCGGGGTGTAAGGTGCAAAGAGTATAACAAACGAAACCGTAGGAACACGATAGGAAGAGCTTAACTAGGAGATGTAGCTTATGGAACCTTCTCGCCCTTCTCAGGCAGGAATGAAGACGTAAATGACAACAGAAAAGGCTATCCTATTAGTAGCGCTGGCCTCCAGGGTTCAGCCCTGCCCGCAGGCCGGACTCCACCCACCCTGGGGCCTGACATGCAGCTCCCTCACACACAGGGCTACGGCCACTGCCCCGTCCCTCTGATGAGGGCCCTGGAGGGACGGGGCAGGTGGGTAGGGTCAGGGAGCAGAGCACAGCGTCTCTGGGCTCTGGTGTAGCCCTGGCCGCTGGGGAAGGCCAGCTGCTCTGTGAACAGCCGCCCGGCCCTGCCCCACCATAGCACCTTGGAGCCGTCAAGGCTGGCCCAAGCCTCCTGGGCCCTGGCCCTGAGGTCGCACCAGTTGCAGCCCTGGCATGGCCGCAGAACAGAGGCCCAGCGCTTCCAAACCCTTGTGGCAGCCAGTACAGGCTGGGAACCCCTCTGCCAGCTGGCATCGGTGTCAAGGAGCAGGGCAAACCCTTGGGGGCCAGCCCCTATCTACCCTGCTCCCACAGAGCTGGGTCTGCCGTCCTGGGCCCAGACACCCAGGACTCCACAGCCCCAGGGTCCAGCGTGAGTCTTGCCTCTGTGTCCAAGGACCTCAAATTGGCCTGCATCTCCTCCAGCGGGGCTGGAACTCTGACTTCCCCAAACCCCACAAGAGAAGAGAGCAAGGCTGAGCCACCAAGGCTGCCCCAGGCCCCATCTCCCCCACCCTGCAGCCAACAGCACCCCTCACCCGGAGGGCTGCTGCAAACCTTCCTCTACCTTCACTTTCAAAAATAAAAATTAAACAAAGGAGTCAAGGCTTCCAGGAGTGGCGGAGAGGGCATAGGGGCACAGTGTACCCCACGCTGGTCCCCACGGGCCTAGGGGCGTGGTCTCAGTGGTGTGTGCCTGGCCCCATGGGGAAGGGCTGCGGGTCGAGCCCGGGGGGCTGCGCAGAGGCAGCAGCAGGCAGGCTCACGCGGAAGCACTTTTCCTTGTGCGCCTTGAGCATGTTGGAGAAGCGAAAACGCTGGCCACACACGTCGCACGGGTAGGGCTTCTCCCCGGTGTGCGTGCGCCGGTGCCGCTTCATGTTGGGCCGGCTGGTGAAGCTCTTGCCGCAGATCTCGCAGATGTACGGCTTCTCCCCTGTGGGCAGGGTGCAGGGTCACAGCGGGGTCCTTGCCGCCTCCTACCCGGGCGACCCTGACCCCAAAGAAGAAGGCGCCGAGCGCTCACCCGTGTGCGTCTTCATGTGCTCGTCGAAGTACTGCTTCATGTTGAAGTCCTTGCCGCACCACTGACACATGAACTGCTTGTGGCCGATGTGGATGCTCATGTGCGAGCGCAGCTGGTACTTGTACTGGAAGCGCTCGCTGCAGTTCTGGGGGGCGGGGTTACGGTCAGGGCGTGGGGGAGGGGCAGTCAGGGTTGGGGCTGGAGAGCTGGGGGGCGGGGTTAGGGTTCCAGGTTAGGACTGCAGGACTAGGGTTATGGTGAGGGGGTCAGAAACACAGTTAGGGCCAGGAGTGGGGGTCAGGCTAGGGTTAGGGTTAGGGTTAGGGGTTACAGCTAGGGTGAAGAAGTTAAAGTTAGGGAGTCAGGGTTAGGGTCAGGGTTAGTCAGCTAGGGTTAGGGGATAAGGGCTAGGGTGAGGGGTAGGTGCATGGTGGGCCCGGGCTACAGCAGAGGCCATCTTTCTACTCCCCACCTTTCTGTCTCCATGGCTGCCCCCACCCTGCTGGGCACTTGCCCAGCCCTGTCCAGGCACAGCACTCACAGATGCCGGCACTGGTGAGGGCCTGGCCAGGAGGGCTGGCCCTCTCTGCGGCCAATGGTTGGGGCTCACCTCACAGCGGAAGGGCTTCTCCCCGGAATGCTGCAGGGAATGCACCTTGAGAGACATGCTGCGCTTGAAGGACTTCCCGCAGGTCTCACAAGTGAAGGGCATGTCCTTGGTGTGGGCTGCAGGTGGGCACCACAGTCATCTCAGCTGCTGGTCAGCACCCCCCCACACACACCCCAAGCCCAGGGACATCATCCTATTCTAGAGAATGATGATGGTACTAGGTCCAAGGCCAGCATTTTCACAGCTAGGGTCATCACAGCAGAGACCCCAGGGTCCCATACAGCTGTGCCACGGCAGCTGCACCCCAACCCATGGACTGGGTACTCAGGAGAGGCTTGGAGATCTGAGAGACACAGAAAACCACCCACCCTGGAGCAGACCACGGTCCTGGTTTATCCAGAATCACCTGGCTAGTTCACATAGGAGGGGAGCGCTGTGCACCCCATGAGGATGGGGCCTCAGCGGACCACTAACATATGCCTTGGCCACCCCCTGTCAAGCCCAAGCCCAAACTAGGCAAGGAAGGGGAAGCTTTGAACCCCATACACCCAACAGGCCAGCTGCAGCATGGGAACCTGCCCAGCACCTCCATGTCCTGGAATGAGCCTGCTGCCTTGGAAGGGGAGACTCAGGGGGCACAGAGAAGGTGCTGTCCCAGGGCCACTCTGGCCCCAGGGCCCGGTCAGCCCATAGGGGCCTTCCCATCCCCTCCTGCTGCCCTGGACATGCAGCATCCCACCGTCTCTCTGCAAGGATGTCCTGCCCGCACGACCAGCCGCTGCCCCCTGGCCCCACTCACCCACCATGTGCTTGCGCACGTGCGCCATGGTGTAGAACTTCTTCTCACAGATCTCACAGGAGAACTTCTTCTCCGCATAGCCGTGCACGATCTTGTTGTGCTCGTGAAGGGACCACAGTTTCTTGAAGGCTTTCCCACACGTCACACACTGCAGGATGAGATGACTGTGTGACTTCAAACAGGCCGCTCCCCCCCCCCCCCCCGTCAGGCCTGTTTCCCCTCCTTCCCTGGCCTGGCCACCTTCTCCACACAGCGCACACAGCAGCCCAGCATTTGCACAGCCTATGGGCACTGTCAGAACTTGTGCCTGACAGTGTGGACAGCTCCAGGGCGCTGGCTGGGGCGACAGTGAGCTTGTGGAGGAACTGCTCCTCCATGTCCCTCTGTCCTGCCAGGCCCTTCGGGATACCCTCAGGGGGCCAGAGTCAGGCCGGCTGGCAGAGACTGGGTTGGGACAGCCCAGGTGGAGTGGGCATGTTCTCCCACTTCAAGTACACGTCAGGGGGAAGCAGATGGACGGAAGGAACAGGAGCAGGATGGGCTGGGTGACTGGGAATCCCCAGGGAATACGGGGTGCCCTGGTGAGCAATTAGCTTAGCCAATTAGCACCCACCCACCTGCACCTGGGCCAGAGAAGGGTGAAGGCCCCAAGGGCCCCTGCTGGCCCTATGCCACCCGCACCCCAGGAACCAGGTTGGCACACATATGCTATCGGCCCACAGCAGGGAGCCAGAATGCTTCCTGAGTGTGTCATCCAGCCTCTTCTGCTGGGCCCAGGCTCCCACGGAGCTGAACACTGGGTTTCCCCCTGCTGAGCTGCCCCTGCCTGACACCTTTGCTGGGAATAAAAAGCGCCACCCCACATATACACCCGGGCAAGGCTCTTCCCCTCCTGATGCAGTACACAATCTGTGAAGCTGTACAAGGCGACGCCAGCCTTCCTGCAGGCCTAGTCCCTCGCCCCTCAGGCCTCTCTGCACATCTTCACCGCCCTGGGAAGCCTGCCGTGATGTCATCGACAGAGCCCTCTGGCTCCAGCTCTGGCTCCGGCCCGGCCTGTAATGTTGCCCTGCACCCGCACCATAAGCACCCACCTGGATGTTGCGCTCACAGTCCGTCTGCCGGTGCAGCACCAGCTCACTCTCCAGCAGGAAGCGCTTGCCACACTGGTCGCAGATCTGCATGCGGCTGTGTGTCACATTCATGTGCTTCTCCAGGTACCAGCGGTTGTTGAAGACCCGGGGACATTTCTGGCACGGGTGGTGCTGCTTCTCCTCCAGCTTCACCTTGGCCCCCAGCCCGTCTGTGGCCGATGGTGCGTGGGCCGGGGTGCCCACAACCCCGGGGGGCTTCGGCCGCTTCCCACGCCGCCTGGCCTCTTCAGGCTCAGCCGCAGCCTGGCGCCGTGGGTTCTCCCAGGACCGTGTGGCCATGCGGCCTTGGGGAGTGGCGTCCGCCTGGCCGGGCTGACACCCCCCAGGCCCTGCTGAGCCCTGCCTGCCTGTGGCCTCCCCTTCCTCCTCCCCCACCTCTTCCTCCTCTTCCTCCTCAGAGCTCTCAGGGTCCTGCTCACTGTGCCCCTCCTCCTCTTGCTGGCTGTGCCCTTCCTCCTCCTCCTCCTCCTCCTCTTCTCCCTGACTGCCTCCCTCCTCCTCCTCCTCCCGACCTCCACTCCTCCCCCCCTCCTCTCTCTCCTCTTCCCCCTCTTCCCCCTCGTCCTCCTCATCCTCCGAGCGTTGCTGCAACCCATCCTCCCGGCCTAGCACCACAGTGGCTGCGCCCGACCCTGCACCCGGCTTGCCCTCGGGCCCCGTGGACACGTGCAGTGTCTGGTTGTTGAGGTTGACCTCCACAATGATCTGGGACTGCTCCTGGCGGCCATAGGTACCTGGGGCCCCCAGCGTGCCCTCCATCTCCTCGGCCCCCTCCAGCTTGCACACGCCGCCAGCCTCTTCCAAGCTGGCTTCCTTCTCCTCCTTGAAGAAGGCCTGTGCAGGCCCCATGGTGGCTGGCACTGCGTCCCCAGCAGTACCCGCCCCATCTTCCACACGCACTGAGTAGGGGTCAGGGCCCTCACGGGCATAGATCTTAGGCAGGCCAGGGGCATCAGCCTCCTGCTTGATGTCACAGTAGTAGGGTGGCGTGGCCGGGGTGCAACTGGCAGCTGGTGGGGCCAGTGCCACTGCGGTGCTGGGACCTGGTGGGCCCAGGGAGCGGGCGTCCAACAGCTCCTGGCAGGACGCAGCGATGTCGGCCATCTGCAGCAGCGAGGCAGCGCTGAGCACCTCGTGCACGTTAGCGGCGTTGACCAGCAGCTTGGATGTGTAGATGAAGTTGAGGATCTGCTGCAGGCCACCGGGTGCCAGGGCCTCCAGGGAAAGCTCGACACGTTGCAGCTGCTTGTTCTGCGTGAAGAGCGAGTGGAAGAACTGGCTGTAGGCAGCCAGCACGCCCTTGTGGGCCGGGAAGACGCTGCGCTGGGGCACCAGCACCAGGTCCACGTCGCACAGGTCGGGCTGAAAGAGGCGCTGCTCGTTCAGGCGGCCCATCAAGCAGGCGAAGTGCAGGGCCACATCCTCCACCAGCGAGAACTCAGCCGCCGGGGAGTCGGTTGTCTTTTCAACCAGCAACTGTTGAGGGGCACAGAAGGGCTCAGAGTCTCAGGGGCCCTCCCAGCAGGGGTTCCATCCCAGGACCGTGCCCCTCGGGAGCCTCAGTTAGCCCACTTTCCTGAGCCTCAGCTCACCCTCTGTAAGTCAGTAGCAAGGTCACCCTGGGAGGGGAAGTAGACAGGAAGACCACTGGCGGGGCCAGGGCTGTGGCCACCCAAGCAGCAAGTACCAGGGGGTCCTAGGGGAGCCAGGACAGGGCGCCAGGAGGATCTTGCTCATGGGCCCCTCACTTCCTCCTCCACCTCATTCCCCAGCAGGTCCTAGGCCCCATAAATCTTCGCCCACAGGACACGAGTCTGGTTCCCTACCTCACGCCCCACCTACCAGGCAGCACCAAAGGGGCTTCTCACCTCCCAGCAGCCAGGGCTACAGAAGGGGAGGCCTCTGTGAGGAGGCCAGGCCTAGGCCAAGTTTCCCTGTAGTCACTCGGCCAGATCCTGGCTACAGCCTGGCTCAGCAGATTTCTACACAAAGGCACAGGTGGGTCAGGACATGCTGTCTGCATCACTTGTTTGCAGGCAGGGGCCCTGGTAAGGCATAGTCCAGGCCCAGCATGGTCCCATTCTCGGGGTCTCCTCCTAAGGAGCCCCAACTCTTGGCTCTTAAAAATTTATAGAACGAGGGCCACACACAGCCCTGGCTCCATGCAGTAGGCTCTCCAGGTAGGCAGCAGACAGGAAGCCTGCCTGGCTGCGGACACGTCCGCACACCCTCCTGACCACTGGCCTAGTAGACGGATCCACCATGGCCACAAGCCCAGGTGACCTGAGCTCTGGGATAGCCAAGCTCCATCCCTAAACTCACCCTCCCATGCCATTCTTTCCTTGAAGTGAGCAGCCTCAGGTGATGACATCTAAGCTAAAGTCCTAGGTCCCTGCATGAGAACCCACCTCAGGGGAAACCTGAGAGCCACCTCCCCTTCACAGCCAGGGGCAAGGCCACTGTCCTGTGTGCTCTCAAGACTCCAGGCTAGGGCTGGGGATTTAGCTGGGGCTGGGGATTTAGCTCAGTGGCATAAGCGCCTGCCTTGCAAGTGTGCAGTCGTGAGTTCGATCCCTGGTATCCATAAAAACGAAAACGACAAAAAAAAAAAAAAAGACTCCAGGCTGGTTGGGCCCTGACCATAGGTGCCCTCTTCCCGGAGAGCCTCTATATCCGTCCTCCAAACCTGAAGCTGCCATCTGCTCCCATCCTAGCCACCGAGCGGCTGGCCACCCAGGCCTGGCTAATCTAACTGGGACGTGGCACCAAGCCCCTCCCATTCCCCCCTTCTGACTCACACTTTTTCATCCACTGGGCCCGACACTCAGTGCAAGACAGGGAAATCAAGGTTCAGAGTGCTGCCACCCGTCCAGAGTGCTGCCACCCAGCTCTGCTAGGGCTGCCCCTTCCTGTTGGGCTGTGCGTAGCTCCACATGGCTGGATCTCTGAGCTTGGAATGACTTACAAAGCAGGAAGGAGCTTCTGGGAGCCCTCCCAGCCAGAGACAGCTGTCCCAGATCCCTACCATCCCTCCAACGACCACCTGCCCCCTGCGTTGCTGCACCTGCAAGTCACTGAGGAGTCAGGGTACAATCTGGGTTCTCACCATGACCCTCTTACAGTCTCGGGGCCAGACCGGGTGGGGGATTAGGGTTAGGAGTGGCCTGGATAAGGGCTCCCCAGCCCAGGCAGTCAGCGTCAGATGCCTGGCCACGTGAGCACCATCCTGAAACAGGATGCTGCTCAGTACCCAACTGGCAGCCCCTTTGCAGGGCATGGTGGCTTCCTCTGCACAATGCCACCAGCTGTGCTGTGTCCCAGCCAGATGTGCCACTGCCTGCAGCTGGGGATGCCCTTCCCCATCTGGCCATGCAGCCACACACCCTCCCAGGCCTAGCTTCATACCCTGGCTAAGATGCAACACAGGGAGCCGGGCTGGTACTCCTATCAAGGACTCTATCAAGCTCTCTGGCCAAGTAGGGACGGTACCTGCAGAGGCAGGAACGTCCTATACCTGAAACACCTGCCTCGCCCAGGAGGCCCCGTGATGAACCCTGGCAGCCACCCGCGCCTGCTCCTCCCGTGCCAGCCTCCAGCCTGGATGCGCAGTTGTACACGAAGCCAGCCCGGACACCGGCACCAGCTTCTGGTCTCAAGGCGCCTCCTTTCTGGAAAGGGTCGGTGCCAGCTCCTGCCCCCGCCTCTGCTCCCTCCCAGGGACAGCCCAGAGAGGCCGGGGTCCGCCCAAGGTCACGCCGCTGCGGCTTTCGCCCGGCCAGCGAGGCCCCATCCCAGATCCAGGGCCGGGCGTGTGGCGCCCACGTGGCTGAGGCCGGCGGGAAGCCGACCCCTCCCCGCCGCCCCGGCTCGGGAGAGCAGGACTGCGGCCTGGTGCCGGCGCCCCCACCCTAGGAATTTAACCCGCAGGACCCGGGGCCGGGACCAGGTGTCAGGTCGCGGAGGGCGAGCTAGGTCCCCCGGGCCGCGCGCGCGGCAGAGGGGGGCCGTGGTGACCGAGGAGGCCGGGGGACGCGGGGCCCGCGTACCATGGTGCCACGGCGCGGGGGGGCTCACAGGGCCCCGTGGGATCGCGCTGCGCCCGGCGGCTGGGCCGGGGCCGCTCCATGAAGCGCCGCGCTGGGGGCCCCCGCGCAGGGCCGGGCCGCCATGGCCGGCGGGAGCGAGGCCCGCGATCCGGTGCAGCTGCGCCCAGCCTCGGGCGCGGCGGGCGGCGGCGGCGGTGGGGGGCGCGGGGCGCCGATTGGAGCCCGCGCGTCAGCTGGGGCCTTCGTCTGGACGCTTAAAGGGCCAGGCCGCCCGGTACCGTGGGGGGCGCGGACGCGCGTGGCGCGCTGCCCGGTGCCCCCGCCCGCCGGGCCCTGCGGACACCCGAGCGCACGCGCCGCCCTGAGCGGATCCTGTGCTGCGGAAAGATCACCCCATGTAACCTCGGCGCCTGCAGCTGCACCCGGACTCAACTCGCGGTACAGCCGACCTCCACCTGCTCCCAGGCTGCCGCACCCCACCCCCGCACCGCGTGTACCCCACCCAGGGGCCCTGGCGGCTCCGACTCCGGGGTGAGTCTGGAGTCCCCGCGGACGCCGGCCTGCCGCTTGTATTCGTATTCGTCTTACCTGGCAACCTCGGCAGCTGCTCAGATTCCATGGGATCCAACCCAAGGCTGCGGGGCTCAAGTCCTTGAAGGCCTCAGACTGGGGAACAGGGAAGTGGCTGGGGGTCCAGGCCCCACCGCGACCGAGCCTGGCCTCGGCCGGTGCCGTGGCCTCCCTGCGGGGCCTCTGCAGAAGCAGCAGCCAGGCTGGCGGAATGCTGCTCTGGCGTGGACGCCCATGGGGTTGGGGGACCAGCTGTGTTGGCAGGAGGCTGCTGGAGACCAGTGCCAAGCCCAGCAGGCGCAGGGTGGGGATTGAGGGGCCTGCGGGGCTCAGAGGACAGCTGGGTGCCACTACTGGGGTGGTGTGGGATCCCCAGTGACCCTGTTACGCCAAGAGGCCTGTGACTGACTGCTGTGCATCTCAGCCAGTTGCCATGTTGCCCACCCCAGCCAGTCACAGGAGCCCCCCACACACACCTTAGCTTGGGTGGCAAGGCGTGTGACCTGCAGTGGGGAGGGATTGGAGCAGACAGGGGCCCTGGGTAGGCCATGGCACTGCCCCATGGCCTCCTGTAACACACAGGGCCTCCTGGACAGGGCAGGGGAGCAGGAGACACAGCTAGATGGAGAGTGAGGACAGACATTCGTGGAAGACAGTGTGGGGACAAAATGTGCCGACCAGCTCTTCCTCCAGCACCTCACTTGACTCAAGGTGAAGCCTGGCACTGCCCTGGGAGATAGCAAGGACCGCGGATACCCTGGCTGGACAAAGACACCAAGGCCTGGAGTGATAGCCCCAGATAAGGAGCCAGGGGACCGGGGTGCTGAGTGAGGGTGGGGGTGATGCCTGGAAGGAGCCCTGAGGGCTGGGGGCTGTCTTAGGCCCACTCCAGCCGGCCAGTGGATGGCCTCAACTACCAGTGTAGCACAGGAGGGGCTGGTTTCCCTAAAGGCCCCAGCCACACCCCACTCTGCATCCTGGCTTGAGTCTGAGCTCTTGTAGTCTGTTGATCCTTGTAGTCTGTTGACCCCAACTAGTCCCCTGAAGGGGGCCTTGCACATGCTGGAGGTGGGGTGCCCACAAAAACCAGCAGGGAACTGGGGGCTCCTGTAGTGTAGCACCTACTGCAGGCAGGCAGACTAGCTCTGGGGTGCTGTGGGACATCTGGGGCCTCACTTCTGAGAGGGGGACAGTGGGGCGCATCCTGAGTCTAGAGATGCTTGCTGTCTCCCACACACACCTAGCAAGGCTACAGGGCAGTGGGCCTTCCCACATTTGGGGCTACAAGTTCTTGTAGCATCTAAGTTCCTCTCCGACAGGGAGGGGACATAGCCCTGGCTGTGCTTGGGGTGTCCCCAGGCTTGGCTGGGGAGGAGGGAGGGAAGTGCCAGCACACAAGGACACTCAAAACTGCACTGCCTGGTGGGGTGGCAGGGACCTTTCCTGGCGCTGCAGTTGGGGCAGGGCCTGTCAACCCACAGCTTCCTCCATGGCCCAAACACCGCAGCTCTGGTACCATGGCCCGGTGCCCCCACCTGCCCCACTGGCCCCAGGGTTGTTCTTCTTTCTGGAGGCAAGGCAGGGGCCCTTGGCTATAGGAGGACGAACCCCTCACATCCTACATCCCGTCCGCACAGGAGCTCAGCTCTAGCTCCTGGAAGGGGAAACTGCAGAGGGTTTGTGCTCAGGGCTGTGCCCCAGAGCAGCTGCTCTCTAAGGTTCCCCATTCTCTTCAGAACACAAGCCACAGGCCAGGAGCAGCCAGGCTGCTGTGGGTCTTTCCTGGCTTTCTCTAAAGTCTGGGAGGCAGACTACAGCTTTTGGAGACTGCTGCAGGCAGAACCCTTTCTGGGACGGGCTGCTCAGAGCTGTCTCCATCAGTACTCGCATGTGGCCCCACACCCTGCCAGGGATGAGGTAGGTGGGCTCCAAACGCAGCATGCAGGAGTTTGTCCTCAGAGCTCAGATCACTCCTTTGGTCACCCTGTGTCCTGAGACCTGCCCAGTGGAAGGGCCCCCACCCAGGCCAACATGGGTGTGCTCTTCCCGCCAGCTGCAGAGCTGGCACGATGTAGACAGGAATGGGGTTTTCAGGGGGCAGCAGTGCTCACTCCTGCTCCCAACTTGGCACAGCTGCTGTGGGCCGCCATGAGCCAGCACTGCTGTAACCTTGTGCCAAACCCCTGGGAAAGCCCCTTCTTCCCATCCCGGCACCTGTCACATGGCACCCAGGGTGAGGACACTCCTCAGCTCCTCCGCTACAATTTTCAACCAAGATTTTCAGATTTGACAGCTTATAGCCACCCAACTTGGGAGCCACCCCACAGGCAGCATGGAAAACCCATTGTGTGAAGTGAGAAACAGCTGCCTCAACCAGCACACATGCTGCCTTGTGCTCGAAGGTTAAGTGCACTGGCTTGGCAAATGGCACCTGACTCCAGAGGGCACAGTCCTCCTCCCACGGTGGAGAACTCTGCATGCAGGCAACAGAGCCTGGAGGGGACCAAGAGTTCCCAGGGTGACCATGTCCAACACCAGGCAGCACGACCACCCTGTGGGCAACATGTCTCCAGCGCTACCATCCCCACTTCCGAAAGGCGAGCTCTGGACAGGTGGAACATGCAGACCAAGGGCCACTTTAATTCCCACAAGGCCCGGCACATTTCAGTGAAACTGCAACTGTATACAAATTAGATGTTGGTAGTAAGTACAAAAGTATTTTCTGCCTTTTTCTATAATACCAGCTATTTTATTTGCAATACAGAAAATGTTACAAAAACAGTCAATAATGCATTTTCTATTAAGAAGCACATTACATACAATTCAATTTTATTAGAAAATAACTTCAAGGGGCCAGGGATTTAGCTCATCGGCTTAAGTGCCTGCCTGTCAAGTACAAGGTCGTGAGTTCAATCCCCAGTACAAAAAAAAAAAAAAAAAAAAAAAAAAAACCACTAGTGACTATCTATAAAAAAATAACTTCAAATACAGACCAATCCCCTGTGGGAAGAAAAGCTATTTTTGTGGTTCACTTCCACGAGCCCAGCACTGCAGCAGGGCCAGTATTTCCTGTGGAAAAATCAGGTGTCCAGGGTCCAAGAACTCAGTTTTGGGATAAAATCCCACCTACGTGCACTGTGCCAGGCAGAGGCATGGCCTGAGCGGGCACAACCCTAAAGACCCTCCGCGCCACGAGCAGTCCCCGGAGCCTGTGACTGAGATGAGGCGTCCCTGCGGCTCTATGGCACAACTGGCCTTAAAACGGGTCATCTCTGTGGCCTGATGTGATCACATGAAGCAGACCCTGCAGCCTAGAGGAGGCAGAGGTGAAGCGTGAGAGCCTTCCAGGGGACCACACAGACAGGGTGCAGCTGCCGCCATAAAGGAGTTTTGGGAAAGGCCCCTGGCTGGTGGTAGCCAGATGCTAACCACCCAGGACCTGCTGATCCAGGAAGCAAAGCCTTCCCAAGCCGTCCTTAAGGCTGATGCTGCCAGCCCTGGACTCTGAGCAGAGAACCCAGCTAACACACAGGTGCCCGCCAAGGTGGTGACAAAGAGCTACTGCAGTGCCACAAGTTCCTTTGCTTCACCTCCCTGGGTCCAGCAGTTTCCATTCAGGTTCTGAATGCCTTTTTTCTCACCAAGTGCTGTATTAAAACAGTACCTCCTTTGCAGGCGACTTCTGAAGACCCTCATGAGTCACACATTGTTTTATATTCGCTATCAGACTGTTTTCTAATGCACTGCTGCCTACTGCCACGGCAGACAACAGCCCACCACCCCTGCTCACTAACAGTGCCTCCTACAGGGGCGGCTTCAGTCTGGCTTTGGTGCTAAGCGCTGAACTCAGCCCCTGGATGACAGTTGTAACACATCCACTGTCACTCCTGCAGCCATCGGGTTATCAGATGGCCCCAGCGAGAGGCTTCTGCTGCTTCCCAGACACACCAGGCTAAGGCTTAGGGCCAGAGGGCACAGACTTTGACACTGGACATCTGACAGGAATTTCTCCCGTGTAACTGGGTTAAATTGGCACTAAGGTGAGTAAGTACACTTGGGGAAAAACCTTAAAAGATTTTTTTTAAAAATCAGCAGTTTTCAGAGGTCAGGTTATTTTTGGAAGAACCTTCCAAAGCCATACACCAGGATCTCTGTGGCTCTGCCCTGGGTTTCCCAGGTCATATGTGGCTTCACTCTGCTGGCGTGGAACCCAGCAGAAACAGGCAAATGAACCCAGGGAACAGCCTGCCCCTGCTTCATACGCCTTCCCATCACTGAGGGATTTAAACCCAGTGCCCTGCAAAACATCTCTGAGATGGTGGCCATGACAATGCTGGTGCTGCTTCTTAGACGTTCTTCTGTTCTACAGCACACATGCAGCACACGAAGCCCCCAGCACCAGGCTTACCTGCTCCAGGGGACCCCAACCACGCATATGCTTGAAAGAAGCCCCTCTTACATTCAAAGTGAAGACAGCTTGGAAGAAACCATTTTCGGTGCCAATGAAATTAAAAAACAAAACAAAACAAAAAATTCTCTTCTGTGTAGCACTGAGAATAATGCCTAAAAAGGCACCAGAAGGCACCAAGGAAGCACCAAGGCATAAACTAGAGTGGAACGCTTTCTGCAATCTAAACTGCTGTGCTAAAAAAAAAAAAGCACACACAACACGCAGGACAGGAATTAACAGGTAAGGCGACCGCCAGCCTGAAGCAGTGCGGCCACGGGCACCGTGCTGACCACTTTCCCAAGCCCCTGCCTTGCACACCTGCTGCTGCCAGCGTGCGCCTGGGGTCTGTTTCAGCAAGACCACGAGACTGGGAGACATATTTCCACCTTGGGCAGCTCTGTGCTTGCAGCAAGGTATGCTAAAACCTGAAAAACGAGCAAAAAGAACCTGTACTCTAGTATATGAGATGAAGAGAAATAGTCTACCCAAAATAATATTGTGAATTATACTTACATAAATTTCACAATTTCTTGATTCAAGAAAATGAGAATTCCATAGTTGGCTACTGTAAAATGTGGCATAAAAATATTTCTAGGAGACATTCTGCATTTAAACTCCCCTACGCACATCCACAGAGGGATAGTGAGGAGCGTCTGCCTCCGAAATCCACCTCTACTATCAAAACAGAACAACAGACTATCACTCAGTTTCTGAAACTTTTAAGTTACCAGATATTTACAAACAAGACATAATTTATATCAAAAGAGGTCGTTTTCAACTGTATCTGCTGCTTTCACTGGGACTCCGGTGATGAGAGTAACTTCGGTCACTTTCACTGTCAGAGCCGTAAGATCTACAACTCCTGTGTAACAAAACAAAACAAAATGCAGAGACCCTCTTACCTCACCCCCTCTGCGTGCCTCCCCGGGTGTCCTTCTGACCAGAGTGGCTTCCGAACACCCCTGACCACACAGCACAGAGCAGGTGCTGGGCTCTGCTCATGGCAATGCCACTCCCCGGTTTGTTTCTGAGACAAAGTCTTGCTATGTAGCCTAGGCTGGCCTCAGCTTCCCAGGTGCTGGGATCACAGGCCTCAATGCCACACCTGGGGATCCATTCACTTTGCAAGGGTAAAGGACAGCTGGTGACAGTTATCAGTCATACAATAAAGAAATCTCACATCTTGGGAAATTTTACTTGACATCCATCCATGCATATGAGCAGAATAATTTTCCCTGGTACCCAAAATGAGGCCCTCCATTTGATCAGACTGCCTGAGGAAGTACAAGGGAGATGTACACACAGTCTTCCTGATGTAAGAACTCAGATGGAGCCCAGCACACAGAAGTATGTCTGCACACAGAAGAGACTGCTGGAACGCTGAGCCAAGAGGACCTGGTTATTACTGCTTTTCAGTTAGCTTAGAAAAAACTCAAGAGCAAGCCACAGGCCGGGCAGGCGTGGTGGTGCATGTCTATAATCCCAGCACTCAGGAGGCTGAGGCAGGAAAATCACCAAGAGTTTGAGGCCAGCCTGGGTTCCATGGAGTGTTCAAGACCAGCTTGAACTGCATAGTGAGACCCTATCTCAAAAAAGGAAACAAAACAGCCAGCTGTGGTAGCAACCAAACACATAGACTGTAAGGGTCACTGTATATGGGACAACTGGAAAGAAAGGAAGCTGGGGCAACAAGGACCGCAAGGACATAGAAGCTGCCTCCACAGCACTTGAGAGGGAGACCATTTCAGGACTGGCAGGCAGGGAGGTTTCCAGGGCAGTGGGCTGCAGCAGAGACCTCAGGGTCAGTGTAACTGGTCATTTCAGGAAGCAAACAGGAGACAGGGAAAGGGCAGCTGTGTCTCTAGGCAGGAGGAAAGGGTCTGAACTGGAGCTAGAGGGGATGAGAGATGGCCCCTGCAGGCAACACCAAGGACCTGGACCTGCCATGGTCACACCAGCACTGCAGAGGAACACTGCAGACACAGGGATTGGGGCACGAAGGAAGGCCAGGAGCCACCCGAAAGAGGTAGCTGAAAACTTAAGAAAGCTGCAGTAGTCAAATTACTACCCAAAACAGTACACAGAATACAAAAAAATTATTTTACTAAATTGACAAAAGAGAAACCTTAATCTTGCCATGAAGCCAGTGGCTGTGACATGTCTTGAATAACATTTTTCTTATTTAAAAGCTGGCAACTTGGCTATTGCTAGCGAGAAACTGAGAAGTAGTGGCCTTCTCTCTTTCATCTTTCCTAAAGAAGCCTATGTTCCGTGACTCAAACGCATCTGAGATTTAACGTAAAATCCAGTAAAGATTACCTGGCAACTCATACTATACCAATGCCATTTCCAGCAGCTGCCTGTAGTCACTAAAGTACAGGAAGAGAGGATTCCTGCCCTTGGAAGACTAAGCTTTCTCCCCACTAGCAGCCAGTGCCTGGTGCACTACAGCCCAGAGTAACTAGGATGATGCAAAGTAAGGCATCCTCAGCAGGGCATGACAGACACATCAGTAACCCCAGGAGATGGGGGGACCATCACGAGGAGGCCAGCCAGGAATACACAGCAAGACCCCAACACAAAAACCAGGCTCCTCACCCCATAAAATGGGAATGACAGAAGGGTCTACCTGGACCACCGGTTGTAACTTCTGCCTCGGTGGTAACTGTCACTCCTTTGGCTCCGACTCCGGCTCCGACTCCTGCTGTAGTAGCTGTCGTAAGTGTAGGACCTGCTTTCACAGCAAGAACACATTCAATTTTCCCATTCAAAAACTACGATTCCCACAACTTCTTAGCTTGCCACACGGGCAGCTAGCAACTTATGTACCTGAGGACTCAGGTACATAACGAGTACCAAGAACACCGTGCCCTGAATCAGACTTACCATGCTGAAGAGAAAAATCATTTTTTTCTATGTGGAAAAGTAACACAATTAATACTAAGTCTGACAGACTCTGAGTGATCGTAGTAGGCAATTGTATTTAACAAACATGTGCTGGCACAATCTGCCACTGTCATTTCCCACCAGAATGAAATGACTCGAAAGATGAAAACTCAGACAGGGCTAGTGGCCCCGAGCCACCCCAGGAAGGGGCTCCGCATGCTGCTCCAGACGGGCGGGTGGGACTCACACTGTCTTACCTGGAGCGGCTGTGGGGGTCGTAGGAGCTGCTCCTGGACCTGCTCCTGCTGGACGTCCTGTGGGACCACAAGGAGGACATCAGCCTGGGCACAGGTGACCAGACTCATCAGAGTCTAGACTAGCTCGCAGCCATCCAGTGGCACCTTGAACTCTATTTTCCTATCAAAAGTCCACCTGATGCCTTAAAACTCCACCGATCTCACAAGAAAGAAGAAAGCCTGTGCCACCTTCACAAGCCAGGGAGAAGACAGTCCCTGGGGAGGCTCTGACCCAGGCCAGTGGGGTCTGGGCCCATACACAGGACAGCAGCAAGTACAGTGAAGCCACAGCCTCGGGGACACTCTGAGTCCTGGGCAGGAAAAGCAGGGAACAGAGTACAAGCGCCCCTTCCCCTGGTTTCCTGTGGTCTTCCTGCTGCTGCTTTCTACTCCAGGCCAGGGTGACCAGTGGGCCCTGATTAAAGGTGCCTGGTGTCTCCGCCCACTCTGAGAGATGCCACCAAGGAGTGGAGTCACCAGAGCCTTGCAAACCCACCTGTGACTGTCATAGCTTCGATAGGAGCGGCTGCGGCTGCGGCCTCGGCTCTGCCATCCTCGGCTCCGGCTTCTGGAGTAGCTTCTCGATCTGCAAAGAGCACATGAAAGCACCAGCAGGTCATTCACCTTGCACACTGTCCAGAAAGGACACAGTCAAGGGAAAGACTCTCAGCCACTCCCAGCGGCTGTGGCACTGGCGCTGTAAACTCGGCAATCCAGAAGCAAGGGCAGTTCAAAGTTCACAGGACAGGATAAAGAAAAGCCACCCACACTGGCACAGCAGTGGCCCCATAGCCCCAGCTCCAGAAAGAGGAAAGATCCAACTATAGCAGTGAAGCCCAGGTCCAGGCACAATCCTGAGCAAGCAAGGCAGCAGACAGCATCTTCGTGCACACAGGCTTTCATTTATAAAAGGTCACAGAAGTGCAAAACTAAGACCACCTACAGACAAGGGAGGCTTCTAAATGGAAAGACAGCAAAATTATAACATGTGTTTCCAATAATGGTTAATTCTAGGGGCAGCAAGAAAGTAGGGTGATACTACTACATCCGAGTTCTACTTTTTAAGCCAGATGATAAATACAAAAGATCCACTGCATTACTTTTTATTTAAATCATTTATCAGTTGTTAGTTTCATATTTAATCAACACAACCCTCAGGTTGGCCTGGCCTGGCCTGGGGCTCAGGAGTGGCAGGCACCTCTGTGCAGAAGCTCCCATGCAGGGCCAGGGATGGGATCCCCGGTACCAAAAAATAAAAAGCAGCAGCAGCTCCCATGCAAGGGTCCCTGCTCAGTGTACCTGCAGGAGTACAAACAGGGTATGTTCTGAGGAGACTCTAGGTATTCACTGGCCAATGCTATAGCCAGATCCTGTGACACAGTGACCGGGGATGAGGTGCACACTGTGTGTGTGGGGGGGGGGGGGAGTCAGGCTGAGCCAAGACCCCAGAAGGCAGAGAGGGCAGTGCCCAGACATGGCTATCTCAGGCTACTGTCCTTGGGATGCATGGCAACTTCCTAGAGCAACTTCCTGTCCCATCACTCCTTTCCTAGAATGAAACATCACCTTCTCCAGAGGCAGTGAAAGGGAACAGGTGAGGGGAGAGCTGCAGGGAGCAGCCAGGAAGCCAGAGGAGCTCAACTGCTACCTGTGCTAGGTGAACAAGGAACCCTGGGAGAAAAACCCAGGCTCCCAGCTCTCTTGAGCCCACTGGGGACAGGGTGGGAGCAAGGAATGATGGGAAGAGGAAGCAGAGGACTTCTGGGAGGAGGGGCTGAAAAGGCCTGGGCGTGGCCTTGCAGGATTGCCTGAAACCTGTCGGTTCAAGGAAGCTGGCAAGCTTGCAGATGGGGGGCAGGGAGAGACCGCTGCTGGGGATGCCAGGGCAGCTCCTCTCCAAGTCTAGTTGAAGAAGTACAGGAAGAGAGATGGGTGAGAGGAAGAAAGGGAAGAATGGTCAAGGGGAGTCTGTAGTTTAAGTTCAAATGATGAAAAGTAAGCCCAATCAAATAGGAGGTTTGAGTAATGAACACAGAGGTAAAACCATGAAGCATTTCATAAGGAAAAAAAAAAAAAAAAAAAAACAACACAGCTACTTACAAACTATCTCTGTGACCATTTTTCTTTTTAGTATCTAGCTGTTATACTCTGCACTATCCAGTCTCTACCCACACATCACCGTGAAAATTAGATGCGACCTGAACAGCAGAAAAGTCTAAAGATGATTTCCACCTTCCTCCAGGTAAAGGTCTTCAGCACCATCCTGTCAGGTAACCACCTCACTGACACTGACCTTTCGGATGTGTGCCAGGCAAGTGACCCATCGCCACGGCCTACAAATTCTGCCTGTTCAGAATTCCTGCCAAACGCCTCGGCCAGGACAAGAAGGCAGCTTTATACCGTCACAGGTACAGAGCTTACCAGCTACGAGGCAGCACTTCCTATTGACAGCAGGAATTTCTTAAATCAAGCCCCAATCTCTCCTGAAACCCCACTGCCTACGCCCTGTCCCACCGTAGGTATCTGAAGGTGCCACTCTTGTCCCTAACTCTGTCACTCTCCCAAGCTGAAGAGGAACGGATGCTCCATGGGGAAACAAAAGGAAAGAGAAGACTGCTCACCTGTATGACGATGTGGAAGTCCTTGAACGACTTCTGGAGCGGCTATAGGAGACAGATCTGGTTCTGTGTCGGGATGTGGTCTCAGACTTACTGCGAGACCTACTTGGACTCCTGGACTGACTGTCGCCATCCCGACTGGGTGTCTGCTCGTCACTTGAACTCTCCTGATTTCTTGGTCTCCGGTTCAGGCGTGCTGTCTTCCTTACTTCATCAAAGAGCGAGCCGGGCCGAACTCTGTTTTTGCTTTTGATTTCTATCCTCAAGCCTTGAGGCTTCATCTCAGGTACAGCAGTCAGGGCCTTTGCCTCCGTAGCACTGGATGTGGAACCAGCTGGGGCCCACAGGTTCCCCACACCCTGCAAGGGCTTCCACTTGTTGCTGGAGAGGCTGCCCTGGCTCTTCCCAGCTGCCACCTTCTTCCCGGCACCCTCGTTGGTGCTGGCCGTGCTGCTGGCCGGCGTCTCTTCTCCCACGGTCTTGTTTTCAGACATGCTGCTTTCCTGTTGTACTGCATCGACTTCAGGAGCTTCCATGTGCAGATCCTGCTGCGGAGCCACACTCACCTGTGGGGCGCTTAGCCTCGCACTGGCTGGGGAGGACGTGCCCTCTCCCTTGGCTGGGGAGCTCCTCTCAGGGGTGCAGATCTCCATGTTGTCATCTGTCTGAAGCACATCCTGCACTTCGCTTGGGGTGCCTTCCTCATCCTGGGTGTTTTGGGGCATACTGGCACCCTCGGCCTCAGGATCTAATGCTGAGGGACAAGCACTGGGCTTGCTGTCACCTCCAGGAAGCTGACCTGGGGCTGACGACGCAGTCACTGTGTCATGCTGACCTAAGAGCCTGCCCTCGCCACAGGCTTTCTCAGGGTGGGGAGAATCAATTTTTGTGGTTTCACTGTTCTCAGAAAGTTCTTTTTTTTCTTTTGACTCTTGAGTGATTTGCTTTTCATGAAGCTCCTCCTCTTCTTCCTCCTCCTCCCCAAACTCTAGCGGAGGCTGCCAGTGGAATGCCTGCTTTCGTTTCGGAGGCTTGTGCTTTTTGTCTTTTTTCCCTTTCCCTTTCTCCTTCACTTTCTTGGTGTGGTCCCTTTTAAGACTCTCCTTTGTTGAATGTTTGTGCTTACGGGGCTTCCCTCTATCATTTTCAGAGTTTGAGTCCAACCCCTCTGAACCGGAAGTAGAGGGCCGCTGTCTGCAGGGCTTCCAGGTCCCACCATCGGGCAGCAAGGCATTCGCCGATTTTGTCTTGGGTTTGGCTTTGACATGAACTGCACTGACCTCAGATTCAGAATCTGACGTGGCCTCCCCTTCCTCCTTATCAGAAGACCTCCGGGAGCCCTTTTTACTGGCTTTAGCTCCGTCTCGTTCTGAATTTGACCCGGAGTCCCACTTGCTCCCAGCATAATTCCTCCTTTTGGGCTTACTGCTGGTCCTGACATGGTCAGCAAGGCTCTCTCTGGAACGGCTCTTGTTTGAATGGGAGCATTCCTGTTCAGGCTTAGACTTCTCCACAGCTCTGCCTTTCTCCTGATCAGTACTCCCTGTTTCTGCTCTGCTCTGCTTCCCTCTGTCCTGGGCTGAACGTGTGGCCTGGGCACCCGCCGGCTCGTCCTCTGAAGAAGAACCCACAGAGGACCTGCTCTGGCTGTGCCGCCGTATCTGACGTGTGGAGCGGCCTCTGCCTTTGGTGTGTGTGCTGCGCGGTGTCTTTTCAGAGCTGCTGCTGTGTCTTTTATGAGAAGCGTTGCCTCTTCGCCCCCGGGCTCGGAGGGTTCTTCTGGACCATCTTTCCTCGGCACTGCTCACAGAAGTGTACGAAGATGACCTACTGCCCCGAGAGCGACGGCTGCACTTCCCTCGGGAACGTGACCGAGAGGATAGAGACCCGGATCTTGACCGTGAACTAGCTCGACTGCGTGACCTGGTGTAGGACCGAGAGTATGACCTGCTCCTGGAAGACCTGCTCCCTGACCCCGGGGAGCTTTCAGAGCTCCTGCCACTGCACTTTGAGTATGCACTGCGATCACTCTCTGAGTGTTTCCCTCTTTTGTGGTAGGATGATGAACTACCAGTCTCTTTGATATTTGCTAAACTGTAAGTACTTTGCATGGGCAGCAGATGAGTTGTTCTAGCTTTCATCTCCTGAATTCGCTCATAGGAGGGCTTCCAAGGTTTCTGTCCAGGCTTCCACCTTGAAGGTGGGGGACTATCACTCAGTGGTATTACCGGAATACTTTCTGTTACCACTGCCTGTACTACTACAGTTTCATTTTGTGGCACTGCTGTTCTTAAAGACTCTGTTTTAATTGGTTTATTTTCACTTAACTGAGAAGCTGTTCCTCTTGGTGATTTTGATGCTGCTCTTCGGTGCCCTGACTTAGAACTAGATCTGGACTTGGATCTACTCTGAGAATGTGATGAGGATTTTGATGCAGCCCTTGATCTAGAGCTCCCTCTAGAATAGGACCGAGAGGGAGACTTGGATCTGTAGGAGTCCCTGCTGGAATGTGTCGAAGAGCTCTGCTCATCCTTGTCAGATTTGGACCAGTCCCTCTTTGATGAGTGGTGGGATGATAAGGAGGAGGAGTGGGACCTCCTCTCTCTATCACAAGAGGACTTCATCTGTCGAGTGGAAGATTTTGAAGATTCCATGTCAGACGGTACAATGACTCTTCTCTTCTTAGGCTGTTTGTGTCTTCTGTAGTGTTTCTGCTTTTTGGCTTTCTTTTTATGCTTAACCTTTTTTTCTTTTCTGTGTTTTTTACGGTGACCATCAGAGTGTCTTGCTGTACTGATGTCTGAGTAATACCCACTGTAGGACCACGACCTAGATCTCTGTGACAAGCTTCTCTCATCCCATCGGCTTGAAGAGGGGTCACTTAACCTACAGACAAGGACATAATATGAAGTCACTGGGAAGCATGCTTTCTATGCCTTGAAATAGTTTCTGCTGAAAACACAATAGCTGAAGCACAGCTAAGCATGAATTAAAAGAGCCACGGACCTGGTCTTGACCTTATGCTTTCAGAGACAAACAAAAACAACTACTAGCAGATTCAGTTTTTGTTTTTTAAGCTAAGAAAGGAATTTCCAATTTGATAGGAAAGCATGAAAACCAAATCAACTCATCACAAGAGCACTGCTCACATGCTGGGTTCTGGGCTGGAATCTGCACATGACCCTTTTCTTCTGAGGTAGAATCAAAGCAAGTTCCCCAACAGTTCTGTTGTATCTTTCATGTTGTTAGAGATCACACTGAGAGCCCCACAAATGCTAAGCCAATGTGTATTCAACTATTCCCTGAGCTGTGAACATCAACCTCTTGTTCTGAAGAAGCTATCATGACTTGTTTTCCATCCTCCTTACAGAGGTAATCAAGACTTGTCTCTAAACTACTTAAAACAGAAATTGAGGGAAAATGACATGAAAACTGATGGAGAATTTCCAATCCTTTTTTTTTTTTTTTCGAACTGGGGATCAATCTCACAACCCAGTGCTTGCCAAGCTGAGCTAAATCTCCAGCCCTAGGGTTTCTAATCTTAGTGGCAATGCCAGGACTCAAATCACGACTCTTTAGCACTGCTATGCCCCAGCTGCCTCCCCCAGCAGACACAGCTTTCTTCCCTCTCTCCCCACAACCAGTCACTCTGTGAGATGCCTACAGAGCAAATGACAATTCTTCTATGAAGCATGGCACATGGCCCCTCGGGCATATTTCCCACTGGCTACCCTATGGACAACCCCATTCTAGAATAGACACTGTCAGCTATCATGGAGGCTAGAGACAGGTGCCCTTCTGGAGAAGCAACAATCTGTGGACACACAGCGAGGACAGGTTTCCTATCTGCCTATTCATCTATCAGTGATGACCCCTGAATAGGAGCGAATCCACTGCAATGAACGATTTTAAAGTCTTGATTACTTTTAAAACTGAATACAAGTTCTTTAAAACATTCAGTAGAGGGAAAACAATTCTGCAAGTCCCCAAAGCCATTTGTCTTCCCTGCTTACAACCACCACTTCCACCAAGTAGCCCCAGTGTATTCCTCTGGTCACAAATCTAGTTCCGACTGCAAACCCTGAGTGAAGAGCGCACGGTGAGGCTATAGTCCCCAAAGCCCAGGCCTCTCTCTGGCGCTCACTTGTCTCCTTTGCTCCACTTCTCCCCACTTGGCGGCCGGTACGCTCTCAGCCTCTGCATCTCCTCCTTCCAGTGAGGAGGGGTTTCACTGCTGTCGTCGTTCTCAGACTCTGAGCAGGATCGGGACCGTGGAGGTGTGTGATAACGCTGTACACACAAAGGAAACAGTTACTTTGAAAACCTCTCAATCACAGGCTGCTATTGGACAAGGTCAAGCGCAAGACCCGAGCTCCTTTACTTCCAGAGGCAGGAGTTAAGTACCAAAAGGAAGGAACAAAGTTACTTCAAACACAGAGCATTCAGAGAGGCTGAGTGGCTGCTACTGGGAAAAGCTCCTACCCCTATAATCCCTTACAAAATTTTCCTCTTCAAAATCTTGACAGCTACCTTCATTATACTCAATTATTCAACATACTGTAAATTCTCAATGTCATTATTTTACAGTATGTCCATTTCATACTTAATTAAACCCATTTAAACACAGCTGTAAACTCTGACCCAATAGCAATACTTTCCCATAACTATGAAAAAATGCACAACTAATTTCTTGCAAAGATTTTCTGTATTACCTAAAATCAAATCTAAGATTTTACTAGTAGGTTTTCTTAAAAAGTCACTCTTAAGTAATTTACAAAAGGGAAGGTCTTAACACACATACAATGGTACCCCTTCCTTTAATCTTCCGTCCGGACTTTGACACAGATGGTTTCTGATCGCTTATAGTGGGTGCGACTTCTGGAATCTTCCTAGAAAAAGTTGGGGTGAAAATTAAAAATCAGCAAGTATCAGGTAATTTTCCCAATGTTTAAATGCAAAATTTAAGTTTCTACTATGCAAAACCAGCTTCAAAATATTTCGCGACATGAAGACTACTTGCAGTTCACGTTTTGACTGCTGCACGTCCAATTCTATAGACACACAGCCACCTCCATCTGCGCACGCACGTCTTGGGCTGTCTGCACATGGCAATCCCCTGCCTCCCTCCCATTGCTGGAGCACCAGGAATCACAGCAGTGTGGTCACCACCTGCCGGCATCCAGCCCAATCGTCTCACTCATCTACACAGGAGTAAACCTTCAGATGTGAAATATGTGGAATCACATGGGGGGCAGCATTATCAGATGGAGAGCATCAACGTGGTATTTTAGGAGAGAACACACACTCTTAACTCTTAGACAAAATTAAATGCAATTCCATTCTTACTAGTAGATCTACATTAAGATGATGACAATTTTTACTATACTTCACATCTGGTTGATAAAAACTTGTGGAGGACTGGGGTGTATTTCAGTTCAAACCCAGGTCGAGAACAACTCAGAGATTCCAGTTTGGATAGTAGACAATTAACTGCATGGTAATTGGAGGTATTTAGTACTGTAAATGTTGCCATTGTTAACTTCCTGCTCAGTGAAACTCCTCTGCTTTGTAAAAGCTAGTGTCTGGCTTTAGATTTGGTCTCAAAAAGTAGTATTTGGCTGGTTAGAGTGGTGCATGCCTGTAATCCCAGCTACCAAAGCCTGGGGCAAGAGGATCATAACTTTAGTGCTTCAGTGCCAAGCTGGGCAACTATTCAGCAACACCCTCTCTCAAGATAATGGCGGGGGGTGGGGGGGGGAGCCTTTGTATATCCCCCCGCCCTGTTTAAATTTTTTTAAAACAGCATCTCAGAATAGAAGGCTACTGCACTTGTGGAATCAATTTGAGGGATAAAACAGATATTCTAGTTTTGATAGTACATAATGAATTGCATGTTGATAGGAGGTATTTAGTGTTATAGGTGTTGCTACTGTTTTATCCCTCCAATGTTCTAGTGTGTGCTAATTTGGCGGGGAGGGGTCTCCCTCCAATGTTCTAGTGTGTGCTAATTTGGCGGGGAGGGGTCTGGAGATCCAACTCATGACCTCCCACTTGCCAGGTAGGCGCTTACACCACTGAGCTAAATCCCCAGCCCTTCAAATGTTCTAACTAGCCTTCTATTCTCATAACCAAAAGCTCAGTGCTTCAGCAAAAGGCCTGTGTAGGAAGGTCAATAAAGAAACCTCCTCCAGATCTTCAGAAGACTCTCGCTCCTGACCACTTTGCTCAACCTCCTTTCCTTACTGCTGTAGTCAAATTCACATTTTAAAGGGCAATGAACCCGCTAGGCATTAATCTGGCATCTCCTACGGAGCCTTCCAGAGTGCTCTGGACATGGGCCCTGTCGAATACATGAGTATGAAACTAGAATGAACCGACAGGAGTTTCTATTAAGAGAATGAAAGCACGGGACTTGTCCTCCACTTACGGCTCGGGCTCCACCGGGACTGCAGGCGTATCTCTTCTCAGTAAAAAACGGTTCTCAGGCACTGGAGGGATCTCTTCTGGGCGGACGACAGGCTTTTCCCTTTTAGCACTGGAGTCCACGGGTCTTTCTGCATTGGTATCACTTCTCTCAGAGTGACTGAAAGCAGGAACCAAGGCAGTAACTAAGATGCATGCTGCTGCTGTGTTTCACACTAATAAAAAGCATATAAAACTTGACAATAAATAACAGCAAAACAACTGGTATCTTACAAGTCTCACTCAAAAGAATTTCATAATTTCTCATAGAGAACGCAACAATCAGCCCAGAGTACTAAAATGTTGTTACGAAAACTGTCAAATGATCTTAACTTCTTCTCTTAAAATTGCAGAGATTCTTTTCACCTAAAAACACACAAATCTTTGATATAAAATATCTATGCTACTCCAGATTTGCCAAATTTGAGTTAGGATAAGGACCAAAAATGCTAGCTTTGTCCCCATAGACAATAAAACAGAGTCTCTGTAGTCATACACACTTCTCCCATCTGAGGATGTGTGCGTGCGAACATGCATGCATGCGTGCGTGAGTGTGTGTGTTCATGTTGTGTTAGGGCAGACGGCCTCAGGGCTCTGCACTTACACTTTCGGGCTCATGACACGTTTATTCCTTGGTTCTTCTGAACTGCTTACTTCCTTTCGTCTCCTTTTAGAATGTTTAGCTTTTGGTCTCCTCTTATGTTTCCTTCTCTTGCTTCTCTCATGTTCAATTTCACTTTCTGAAGATGATTCTGAAGAGGAAGAGGAACTGGAAGAGGAATCCGAGTCTTCTGAATGTATTGGTTTCTTCCTTTTTTTCTCAAGAACTTTTAATAAACATTAACAAAAATATTAGTACTAGATTCCAGTGCTTGCACTTCTCACTAAACAATGTGATGACAGTATCATAAAACAGGCAAACTAAATATGAAGCTTAAATAAACTCTTTTTGGAAGTTGAAAAAACTAGTGCTTGCAAGACTGAGCAGCAGCCTGTATTCTAACTTGGTCAGATACAGGAAAATAACTAAGTATTAAATGACTGAGATGACATGTGCTCGGAGAGAAAAGTAAGTCCTAAGAGCCATGCAGCGCGAGTAGGGAGAGTGCGGTCATTTAGCAGCACATCTGCTGGAGCCCTGCAGGAGGAAGGGTTTGTGCAGAGGTTTAATAACAAGGGTTCTAGAGGAACAGAAGAGTGCCCCAAGGTCACCATGCTGGGAAGCAGAGGAGGACGAGAAGAGGTTGGAGAGCTAGACTATCCAGGGCCTTCCAGACCACCATAAAAACTTCAGCCCTGGCTAAGAAGGGAGTTTTCTTCTGTGTAAGAAGGGCACCAACCAGGATCACCTGGTTACTGTAGCAGCACAACCACAGGGGTCCCCAGATAAGCAAGGAGATCAGGGGAAACAATGCTCCTAAGAACAATGAGAGAAGAGCAGGGAGCCTGAGGCAGGGTGAGCAGTCATGAGGTTACTGCACAATCCAGGCCCAGGACACTGGGGAGGCAGCTCAGGCTGGCAGGTAGGGAAGTAGTAAGAGGAAAGGCTGCAGAGGTCACAGACTGATTGGCTATCTTTATATCCCACAGACCTGCACTCTACCCCGGCAACCCAGGAGGTAACTCCACATCTCCAACAGTGCTTTCCCTGCACCCCAGTCGCTCCCTGGACAGGGTCTTACCATCTTTCGTTGACTTCGTGGCAAGCACCCCACAATCAATGACTCGCACGTCTGCATAAGGTCTGCTTGCAGCATCAGTTTTCAGATTTTCTATTTGCTCAATCACTTCAAAACCAGAGATAACCAGTCCAAAGACAACGTGCACCCTGTCACAACATAAATTCAGGGAGAATTGGCCACTGAGCTGTAAACAGTGTCCAAGACAACCATTATAAATGACATGTCCACAGCCCTAAAAATAAAGCCAAAGTATCTGATGTATGAAGCAATCAGAAGGAAACAAAAACTGAAATCTGCTTCACACAAACATACATTTGGGCCCCCAGCAAACCAAGCTTCAGCTGTTTTTGTCTTTCTAGAAATGTTCAACTGTTCCATAGTTAGGAGTCTCAACACAGGCTGTACTTGGAAGCGAGAAACTGCCTTTATAGCTACAATCAGGACCATGCAGCTGGGAAGCCATCCATGGCCACAGACAGAGACCCTTTCAGCAACATCAGAGCCCCGGGATCTCAAAGTCACCGCACTCAAAGTCTTGCAGAAAGTGCAAGGCTAAGGCAACTCCCTTAGTTGAGAAGAACAGATCTCTTACCCATCCAGGTGTGGAGCAGGTTTTGTGGTACTGTGTGATAAACATCAGTATGAAGATAAGGTCAAACACGTCGTGTGCAGGTAAAGAGTGCAAGGGTTTGTTTATACACGGAATGTGGAGGACAAAGAAGTAAAGAAAAAAGGAGAAAAAGTTAAACACAATATGCATCTAACATAAAAGACCCCAACAGCAATAGCAACCATTTTACTGATTAAAAAGTCAATAATGAATTATAAAATCATTTCTATTAGACAATATACATAAAGAATATATAAAATAGGTTTTATCTCAGTTATAACTATAGCTATGTAACAAATACGCATTAAATACGCACTAAACGTTACTTTCAAATCTAAAGTAACAACAAAAACCACATATAGAAGAACTTAGAACTTAACAGCATAACAGGGAAAGCCACCTGTTACTTGCCCTTCGGGAAGGGAACACGCTGGGTACCTGCCCACACACTGAGTGAGCTCTCCTAACGGCCACTTTGCACACCAGTCCACCTGCAGCTCTCAGGCAAGCGGATGAAGCGAGGCCTCGGCAAGCCTGTTCCACACTTTCCCACCACTCCCTACACCCGAAGTGACATTCTGCCACTAACTCCAACTCTGAAAATAGGATGAGGGCTTCCCTGCAACCCCTCTGCCAGTCCTCCTGACAGCAAAGGGATGTGGATAATGTCACAGGCATCCCATGACGCAGAAAACGCTCAGCTAGTTTCTTCTACAATCCCTGGGGTCAGAGAGCCATTCTTGGGAAGTCTATGGAGGCACATCTGATTAACAGCCTTTCAACCCTAGCTGGTTCTCCCAGAGCACTTTCACAGATCTTCACACTATGTGAATGGGAGTATAAAAATCCAAAAGCAGACAATTAGAACTGTACAACACAAACATCTCAGTTTATAAGAATGAAAAGTGGGGCTGGGGATTTAGCTCAGTGGCATAAGCCCCTGCCTTGCAAGCATGCAGTCATGAGTTCGATCCCTGGTACCAAAAAAAAAAAAAAATGAATGAAAAGTAACTTTGAGAGAGAGAAAAAGTCACCAGATATTAGGGCAAGTTCGGGCAGTAAACTGTACCAGAGGCCCCCATACACATCTCTAAGTTCACTGAAAGGGAATTCTAAGATATGCACATCAACAAAGCATAATTTTAACCTTCATAAAAATGCTAAAAATCTTTACTATACAAAAATTATAATGCTTATACTTACATCAAGAATATTCAGTTCTGTAAAACAACTATAGTATTTAATTTAAAATTTTAAAATGTCAAGTAATTCAGAAATGTAAAGAAAATTTTGAGTTTTAAAACTGTAAGTCTTACATATTCCTTGGAAGCTTGAGAAGTAAAACAGACAGCAAAAAGAAAGAAAAAGAAAAAATAAAATCTAGCAAATTTGTAACCACCAACACTGAACCATTACACTAGCATCCAGAAATCACCATGAACAATAACCTCAAAACAGAAATGTGCTTCCCATAGTCCTAAAACTTTACCAAAGCACGGTGAAAACAGCAAGAAACCAACACATGAGCTAGACAGATTCCAGTGCACCAAGCAGGGAAAGAGCACATCTGAAAAGGCAGGAGCTTCCCACTGTGCACAGGCTCAGGGTTATACATGAGCATGGACACAGGGAGTGGTGCCTCCCAGGCCACTCGGCTCTCAGCCTCCTCGCTCAACTCCATGGGGCCTGGCACCAGGAACCCTAACACTAACCCCATGGGGCTACACTCCAGCTGCAAGTTTAGTTTAAATTCAAATGAAAACTTGAGGAAAATAGACTTGATCCTTTACTGTAGGAATAAAGAAAATGAAGGAAGAATCAACTCTTTCTTTTCACCTGCCCAGACTAATTAAATGGATGTTTACAACTCACTTGTACCTGCAATTTAGGATGCAGAAATATAAATTAGTGTTTCCACTGAGTTAGAGTACATATTAAGAATACTGAAAACATTTGAGAAGCCCCGTGGGAGTAGAAATCCCAAGGAAAAGCAGGCTTACTAGTACTGGGCTGACATCTACATGGACAAACGAAGATTAGCAAAATTACAAAACGAGGGTAACCCAAGGGCAGAGGCAAGAATGTGGTCAGCCTCATGACTAAAATGGGCAAAGACAGCCCACAGTACTCCTGGGTGCATTCACCTTTCAGAACCATGCAGCTCTTTAACACACATGCAGCAGGGACAGACACTTGGGAAACAAGGCTTCTGGAAGGCCAGCAACTACCAAAAATGTGTGCACTGCTACACGGTTATTTACAAACACCTAAGGGAGCAGCAACGAAAGAACGTTTTATGCTCTTTCAATAGTTACACACTTCTATCTTCTCCTGTCACTGAGAGATACTGATTCCCTACTTTTCCCCACCCCTGAATCTACTTTAAAAATATATGAGCAAGGGTTCACTTAAATCTTCTAAATCCTAGAAACTAAAAGTGTTTGTGTTATTCTAAAAACAATCTAAGTTTTCTGTATCATTAGTAGAAACATTCTTGGCTTTATGCAAAAATTACTAGATCACACTGTAATAAGATCTAAAACCATAATATAAAATATTAAACCCACTCTCCCAACAGAAGATTATAAAAAGAAATTTAGTACAAACAAGTCACTGAAATTAAGGTACACTTTGCAGGATTAACCACAACAATAAAACACACTTGCTGCACACGTATTGCTGCTATACAAAACAAGCAGAAAGCTGTTTTTCTTAAAACGCTTCAATGCATAATAACGACAGAATTAACAAGATAAAGGTAAAGAAAAAAAGAGCCTTAGAGTAATGAGACATTACCTTTGGAGCGCACGATGTAACACTCTTTCTGTAAATTTTACACAAAAATGGCAAGAAATAAATTGTAATACACTTTTAAGACAAGACTGAATCTATGTTTTAATATCAACATAACTGAAATTAAATATTTTAGAGTTTTATGCAAAGCAAGAAAGCTTTTTAAAATGGAGGGCTCTAAATTTTCTTTCACAAAAGATACTTATGTAGAGATGAAACATGCTGAAGCAAAGCCTTGTTGCAGCTGAAGTAGGAATCTGCTCAGATGTTTAATACCCTAACACAGGACGCCAGTAACAGTGTGTAATGAAACAGTAGACTGCCTTTCACAAATCCCAGAAGCTCGCTAGGAAGACTAACATGAATATCTCAACATCCAAAAGCAGTTACAGTTCTACTAGTCAAAAGTAAAACCTTCAGTGGAAAAAAACTGAGTTAAAATAATTCAAAACACAATTTCAGGGAGCTTTTCACTAATTCCCTTCACACAGTTAAAGAACCTTCCACACTTCTACATTTGAAACCTTTTCTCTAGGCACACATCAAAACAGACCTTTTTCAGGAGTTAATGAGTAAATGTTGGCACTATAGTTACTGTTCATACCTGTAATATACACTTTGAAGTTTGCAAGCCAATAAATGTAATAATAAAGGAATAATAAAGTAGCACAGCTGGAATTTTAAGGATTTTCTCAGACGATAAAAAGGCAAAAGAAATGAAAATAGGAGTGTTATCAAAATTGACCACCGTATTTTCTTTTCCTGTCTGATTTTCCCCACCATAAAATTTTGTCTGATCGGTTTTAACTGATTAAATCTGAAACAGATATAATATTACTTAGAAGAAGCCCTACTACAGCACGGACAAAATGCTTGATAGAGGTGTTAAGACATACTAAATCTTAAAATAGTAAAAAATAGGGGCTGGGGATTTAGCTCAGAGGCATAAGTACCTGCCTTGCAAGCAGGCGGTGGTGAGTTCGATCCTCAGTACTGATAAAAATGAAAAAGACAAAAAAAAAAAGTAAAAAATAAGCATTAACTTCTTGTAAAGGCAATGATACATGGCAAAAGAGAAGTATGTTTGAAAAAATGTACAGTTTTCAATAAATGTAAAAAAGTACTTGAGTATAAAACAGCACAGAACAAAGAACCAAAGATAACCTACTTGTGTGTACCTCAGTCTTTGATACGCAGTTCTTTTGCTGAACTGTAAAATCTCATACTGTCAAGGAAAGGGCTCCGCACTCCCCACACCACACAGCTCATGTTAGGGCAGCTGGAAACTCGCCGGCAGGCACGTGCCCTGCTTGCGAATCCACCAACACAGAAGAGCCAACTGCCACGGGAGGCAAATGCCCTTCCACAAGCTCACACGTGCCCTGTCACATAAGCACTATGTGACATGGAGCGCGGTGTTACAGAGGACAGGACACTGCGAGAGGCTGCTAATGGCTAAGGGTCACAAACATGTCTGCTCATAAAAAACTCTGAAATTAACCGATGAAAGTTTTTACCACGCCTTCCAAAAATGGGAGGGCTGAGAAATCCTGCTCACACAGATGTATGCATGTGGGTGGAGCAGACAGCTACTATCACTGTCTCAGCCATCAAGGCAGCTGCACGGATCTCTTCACAGCAGCCCCAGTGAGAATGCATCTGCCAGCCACTTGCAAGTCCAATCCCTCTGTGAGGTGAGACAGTCCTGTACCGTCCTACTCTGCAGCCGCCTCTGCCCCGGTTAGGACAGCCAGAACCTGACGGGCCTAGGGTGCAGCACGGCACCAGCACAGGCTCAGCCTGCACTAAGCCCTGGGCTTACTCCTCAGCACCACGCCCCATCAAAACATGTCTCTCTGTGACAGGGCCCTTCTATATAACCTAGGCTGGCCAAGGACCTGTGGTCCTCCTGCTTCAGTCTCCTGAGTGCGGACCTACAGCTAGGCACACGTGTTACTGTGAGCACGCAGGCAGCCAGCCCGAGGAGGCCTCCAAAGCTCCACAGCTGTGCCTGAGGTTGCTCAGCCCATTCTTAGACCAGCTGCCCTCCACCACAAGCTCTCACATGGTAACAATCAGGCAAGACAATATCCACATAGGAATCACTCCTTCCTTTGTGGCCACAGTTCCACAGCAAACCATTTAGTTTATCTTTACAAGAAAGCAAAGAGACTCTATAAACAAGGAAAGACAGAAGTAACCCAAGGTACCAAGGAAATAAAATTAAAATCATGGGTTCTTGAAAGTTAATTCAGTGTACTACTCCAGAAGAGCTATTAATTACAAAATCAACTACCTAATCTTCCTAATTACTATTTTACATAGTAGCTTTACCTTTTTAATGAATATATAAACAATGAAAATTAGAACTAAAATTATTGCTACTAATGGCATAAAGACAAAAAAGGTTTTCCCAAATGATAATTTCTAACAAAATGCTTGCTACTTCTAATACATAACAAAGTCAGTGAGTGCAGTGGTTAATTATTCATTTCAGTGTATGGTGTTCTCTTCCTAGCCAGTACTTTCTCCCAGATTATCAGCAAAGTTTCTACAGCTTGGTCTTCACACTGTTTTTCTTTTTTAATATCATCTATAGAACTAAAAGCATGTCTGATGTGATCGCTAAATCTCTCTCCACTCTAATAAAAATACTCTTCTATAGTGTTTTTATTTTTGCCGTGGTGGGGATCAAATCCAGGACCTTGTGCACACTAGGCAAGCACCATACCACTGAGGTATATCTCCTTCCCTATAGCTTTTATTATGGTTTTTTCTCAATCTTTAACCTAAAAAAATAAGTGATACTAAAAAGAACTGAATGAGTAAACACTGAGTTAACTTGGTAACTTTGGTCTCAAAACATAGAATGCCTTCAAAAATGCTTCAGTATAAACAAGTATTTCCTCAGTGACTCATGAGGACAGCACCATCTCTCAATTCTTTTACAACTCTTTTTTTTTTTGGTACCAGAGATGGAACTCATGACCTCGTGCTTGCCAGGCAGGCACTTATGCTGCTGAGCTAAATCCTTGGCCCTCTTTTACATTTCTTGGGCAGGTACCATTCCAAAAACACATCAATTTTCTTCAACAGAAGCCCCCAAAACAAAATCATTGTGACGAATGCAGTGGTAGATGTAAGTAGTTACTGTAAAAATCACAAACAGCTTTATAAAAGAAAATTTGATTTCCATCATGCATACAGCTGTTCCAACCAACCAGACTAACAATGCAAAAAACTATACTTAATATAAATGACAGACACCTTACGAAGGCAGCTGTCAAATGAACAAGTAATGAAACAATACACAAAGCACATGAACCCTTCATCAGAAAGCCCACACTACATCACCAAATTTTGGTCCTTGAGAACTGTACAGTAACAGATTTATAACATAAACTACAAGTGCAATATTGCCAAAAAAATATATCAGAAGTCCTAATATATCTATCAAACAGGAACTGCAGAACCAGTTCTTTTTATCTTACCATCTGTTCTTAGCCCTATCTTTTTCAGAACTGGTGCTCACAGTGCACCTGAGGGACCAGGATAAAGGCCAGCGTTAACCCTGGGGAGACCAGGAAGCTCTGTGACAGTTACAACTACTATCGTCAACAGAGGCCCCACCTAAGGACAGTGCATTGTTTCAGCTCCAAAAGTGTTTGGGCTTACAAGGGACTTCGAGAGAGTCTCCTAGTATGGGCCACATCGCCATACTTAAAACCATTCTTTCAATGAAAGGAAGGATATGTTTTGTTCAGTAAATGTATTAGTTTGATTTTATCATTCAATGCATGAAAATTGGTATTTTCAGACAGCACAAACATAGACACGCAAATTTCTTTGAAAAAAGAGTAAGATGAGAAGCGTCTGTGTATGTATATGTGTGTGTGTGTGTGTAAAACCAATTACCTACATTTAACCAAGACTGCTTTTTTAACTGCAAATTTGTTTCTAGCAGTAAATTTCAAACTAACTTTTGACCAAACTGAAAGTAGAAAGAAATTTTTAATCACAAACTAATATAGTGCTATCTAGTTAATTATTAACATAAGTTTCACATTTTAAACCCTAACTTATTGATTGTAGACTTTCATTTAACCTTCTTCTTCAGTAAACCAATGGCACATGCAGGCACTCAGGCTAAGGCAGGAAGAGCACCAGTTTGAGGCCAGACTGGGCAACTCAGATTTTAACTCAAAAAAACTAAAAACCAAAAGAAAACAAATAGTCTAATGTAAAATGAGGCCGTGCACTAAACGATGATGGCCTTTACTAAACATTCCTAGAAGAGATTTCAATACCAAGTAGCATAAAAACAAGAAGACATCCATTTCTTGATGCACCTCCACACTAGACTCTAATTAATGTATGTAAATGTCCAGTTTTAACTCTAGCATTTTACAAACAAACTAATCTGGATATAATAATGGTAAGAAGTTGTTGCTACCTGATACATCAAATTTAAATGTAATGACATAAAAAAGGAAATCAAAAAGAAACTTTAGAGCCCTCATAGTAGCTTCCTGATCATTAGTTTCAGAGTTCAGATAAGCTTAAAAATGGAAATGGGAAACCTCAGAGTAAACGGTTACTACATAAAGTCACCATGAAAAGTTTTGGAAATATTTCTCTCTACTTTTTACCGGCCCTTTAAGGTTAGGAGTAAAAAACTACTTTAGCCAAAAGGTCTGATAACTAATAATGTATGAAATCAAGGGACAAGAACCACTGTCTTGGGCTTTTTTCTGTGTAGCTCCAACACAATCATCCCTTACAACTTTCCATTTTTAGGACGTTCTAACAAACAGAACGTCCCTTATCTGAACTTTATCATGTTGGAAATCTACTTTTCAGATAAATTTAAAATGGGAGTTTTTAAAACAAATATAAAACATGGATAATTTACTCTTTTAAAGACAGGGAAGCGCCATTCATGATTACTCATTTAGAAAGATGTCAAAGCAAACTTTTTCTGGCATATCATGAATAAAATGTTTCTCCAACATATGCAGTATAACCGAGATTTACTTCTGATCAAAAGCATTACGCTTGCTGCTAGACAATCACATTTCTTATTTCATACAATGGGATCGTAACACAAATGTATTTGGCATAAACATAGATAGCCAGCTGTGGTGGTGTTGCAATCCCAGGGGCAGGTGCGGCAGGACCCTGAGATTGAGGCCACCCTGGGCTTCAGAGTGAGTTCAAGGTCATTCTGAACTGCACAGCAAGACCCTGTCTCAAAAACCAAAACAAACAAACAAAACCCAAAAGATAAAAATATAACTAAAAGTATGTCAAAGGTCTTCTTTAGAATTTTCACATGAGAAGTTTTTAGTTGTGCCTGCAGGTACAACCACGTAAGTATTTGTATTTTTCAAAGCAAACTTAGCAAATTTAATTCCCTAAGTGATAATCTCATTACAAATTTTAGCAGAAATGACAGGAATGTTAGGTTAATTCAATTATGTAGAAAAACTTCACAAAATTTTGAGTTTTTTGAAGTGCTAGCTCAATACCACCTATTTCAACACAACAGCACAAAATAACACCTTTCTCAAAATTGGCTCAAAGAGCAACATTTATAAAAAGAGAAAAATGGGGTTAAAAGCACACAGTGGTTTACTCAAACCAACTGCTTTCATGCCAAGGGTACATCTGGTTCTACACTATGAACAATTTTTAAGTGTTCTTCAATAGTTTATGGTTAATCTAGGTTTACACAGACTGATCCCCCAAATTCAGCAGGGGCTGAAGCCAATTTCTCTTTTCACAATGAAAGCATATTTTGAAAATAAAGTGTATCTTCAAGTTCTTTTTTAGTCCATTCTTTGAATCCAGGATATATGTTCAATGTTAATGTTGGAGATTACTAGTTACCCTGTAACATTAGAAGAATAAAACCCAAGTTGACACAATTTTAGCATTAAAGTTGGTTTAACTATACCATCTTTCTCATGAACAGCGCTTCTCTGTTTAGGAAAAACTTAACTCTGAATTATGCCTACTCACATGAAAAACTGGGAACCATTGGTATGTTTCCCTCGATTTGCCATTGACAAAAGGAACGCTCTGTCATGTTTGAGAATAAAGTTTTCGTCTGTTTGAAGAAAACGCAAATTTGTCAGTTTCCAATTATAAGCCATTTCTAAAGTAACGTTTAAGTAGTAAATAGAAAGCAAAGGATGAAATTTCTCTTCTGGTGAGTACAGATACTTGACAATATTTAGAAAAAAATTTTAACTAATCAAATAATAAGAGCATAAAAAGACCAAAAGATACTAACTAATTAAAGCTTTGAAGAACATATATTCATTTGATACTTTATACAAACAGCCTTAGAATAGTCACTTTTAGTATTAACATTCTTTGGTTAAATATACATAAACTACCAATTTTTAGGGAAAACTAGAAAGAATTTTTAGAAAAATCCCTAGAGTAAAGCTTATTTCCTCCAAATTTTTCAGTCAGTCTGATGAATGCACTACACATGTGCGGACTTCGATACTCATCTGTGTGCTTCTTTCTTATTTGGTAAGTTTATTACTCAACTGAATTGAAACTAGACTATAAAAGCAGAAACATATCAGGTTTTAGAGATATGTCTAAATTAAGTATATGGGGGATAACAAGGAAGAAAATTTTATAAAAATAAAATTTAAAGAACAAAATACAATTTTAAGGTACAAAAGTATCACAGGGAACAACTCATTAAGGTGGGCTGTAACATTAAGTTCAAACTGCTACACACTAATATAAACAGCTAAACAGCTGCTTCCTATTAGTTTAAGGAAAAACTCTCATAAAGATCACTTAGATTTTAATTCCAGCAGAAGTATCATTAAAATTAACTTAAATTTCCTGTTAATTTTCACATGAGCAAATCTTCCTTTAAAATGAACAGAAATATAGAAAACTTTAAAAAAATGTTTACCTTGGGAACAGCCTTCTGAAAAACAGTAGTAATCCATTTTCTCCCAAAGGAAATATAAAAGACTATTATAACACTGAAGCTTTGTAAGTATTAGAACCTAGTATTATTGGATCCCAGTATAAATTTCTACAACTGACTTTTCTAAGGCTTTTTGGGGCAAGTGCAATAGTTAGATTTATGCAAATGCTACTACTGTAGGAATAAAACACAATCATATAGTTCCAGTTCACAAAAGAAAACATACAAACCTTTGAGAAAGGAGAAAATACCAACTTTTATTCAAAGAAATTGTGTGGTTTAGGGGGAAAAACACAACTAGATTCTTTTCCCTCATGTAGAACTAACAACCCATTGGGAAAAGAAAAAAGATACAGATGCATGTATGAAATAACAAAGAATTTCCAAGTCTTCAAGCAATCTAAAAATCCAGACATAACCTGACTCAGACTGTCCATAAATTCATTAGGAAGGGTGCAAGGAAACAGAATTGGAGTTCGTGTTACTGAGCTTTGTTCTCTTACCTTTTCATTTTGCAAAAGACCACATTCTCTATAAACAAAAGAATATGTTGACAGTTTTAGGCAGGAAGATAGGAGTTTTCATGTATAAAGTTGCCTAACCTCCATGCTGAAAGTCATGTTTAACCATAAAGTTAGCCTTAATTAATCTTGTCAATTTAAAGTTACACATAACATATAATTTATTCCCAAATTCATGCAAATAAAGTATTTTCATGCAAGCATTAGTTTCATGCAAAAAGTGAACTATAAGTAATCTTCTTGTCATTAAAAGTATATGACCAAACTTGCTTTAATAAGAGAACTGAAAGAAAAAACCATAAAATACTAGGCCTTACCTTTAAAATATCCACCATAAATGGATTCTCCACCTTTTCCATTACCTGAAAGTGAGTTACATTAAGTCATAGTGAAAATGAAAAATATAGTAATTAACACATACAAATTATTTTGATATTTTAATTTGCTAAAGGAAACCTTGAACCTTCCAACTACAACGGAGGATCATAATCTGAGTCCCCAATTAACTCCATTTTTAAAATACTATAATAAATACAAAAAATTATCTCCCTAGCCCACTTATTCGAAGCAATACCACATCAACAAAATTCTAGAATAAACTGCATTCACTGTTAGGAAATTCATCGAGGAATTATACAATAATCCGATACTAAATTACATAAAAGCAAAATAAAATGTCACAGTATTTTATTTTTTCATGTATTCTGGATATAAAACATTTGTTCATCAAAAAACTATGCATTGACCACATATTTATATCACTGTGATGTAACATTTACAGTTAACAGTAAGAAGACACTGTCAGAGCATTACTAGGAACATAAACTTTCAGCTCTACCTTCACTGAAGTCCCCACCCTGAATCATAAAGTTTTTAACCACACGATGGAACGTAGAACCTTTATAGCACAACTTCTTTCCAGTTGTTTTCCCAAGGCCTTTCTCCCCTGGGGAAAGAAAACAAAAACAAAGACAAATATGGCTACAAACTCATCCTTTTATAGAAGAATGTTCAAGTGTTGGCCTTTAACTATTAGTCTGCTATTTCTGATTTTAAACTAAACCTATCTCCACATTTTCTGCTTATTTAGAACATAAAACCAGTAACACATAACGAACAACCTCGTTTTGTTTTGCCTCTCCACCTTCTAAGCCTGAACTTCCTGTGCCATATGCAGATGCCATATCTGGTAAAATTCTACCAAGACCAATTTTGAATGAAATTATTATTTTATATATGATGTAGAGACAATTACATGAAGCAGTCTTACTTTTTTTCATTTTTAAGACCATTTTTTCCCTCCTAGAGATGATTACTTAATTTCAAATAGTAGGGTAAAAAAATATTTCTTGATACAAAACAGTTCACCAACCTTTTTTTTTTTTAAAAAATAAGGAAAATAGCTTCTCTGTTAAAACAAGGTAAAACTGTAAGCCATAACTTTTTGTTGGAAGTAATTTTAAAATTCACTTACCTGAGCATAGGCAAAGGAAGTTTTTACATGTTTTTGGACATATGTCTGAGAAGAGCTGAAACATAATGCGACCAACTGAAATAAAACACATGGGGGGAAGTGTGAGCAAGGTGAGGTAATACAGCACGCGTCCTGCATGAGAAAGACACCAGGAGAATGAACTGGAAGACGTGGGACGCTTCACCTCCCCCAGAAACACCTGTACACCACACCCTAAGCCAGTTTGCTCCGCACAGTCCTAGGAAAAAGACACACGCTCTGCGGTGCTCCCCCCACAGCCTTCTTCCCCTGCATACCACACCACCCCGAGGGGTCTGGCGCCACTTTCTAAGTCACAGCCCACACTTAACACTCTGCTGCGCCCTCAGAGGGCAGAAAGAAGGCAACAGTCTGGCCGGCTCATCGCAACCTCCACCCCAACGCCTCCAGTGGCTGTGGCCCCAGGCCTAGGGTTGAGAACAAAGTCAGCGCTTAGTAAGTCCCTATCTCTGGGACGGGGGATGTGGCTCAGTAACACACCTCTAATTTGGGGGCGATATTTCTCTGATGAGGTAAGGCTTATGGCAGAGGTTTTCTCTCTTCTGTGACACTGAATTAAGATCAAAACAAAAAAACACATAAAAATAAAGCTAAATTTGTTTGTCCTCAATTCCAGGATGCAAGGTAAAAAACACTGCCACAACCAGCAACAAAAAAAAAAAAATAATACAACCTTGGAGAGGACAGATGAACCCTGTGAGGCCCAAAGGCTAATCTACAAATATTCAGGCACTGGTTCAGAATGCTTTCTGTCTGGACACGGTGGGGCACCCTTGCAATGCCAGCATTTGGAAGGCTGACGCAGGATGATTACTGTTGAGTTTGAGGTCATCCTGGGCTACACAGTGTATTCACACCCAGCCTGGAATACACAGTAAGACTCTGTCTCACAAAAAGACTGCCTTCTTAATTTGTCTGTTTGTTCTGGCAACGCTAGGAATTGAACCAGAACCTCATGCGAGCACGTCCTCTGTTACTGATACATCCTCAGCCCTTCTTTTTAAATACACAAATATTTAAAAACAAAAGGCAGGATCTGTGGTGCACACCTGTAGTCCGGCACTCCAACTGCATGGCTCCAGGACTGTCTCAATGTTGTTACACAACACATTACAGCACGTAAGAGGTATGCGAACACAAGCTAAGTCACCAAGCGGGGTTCCTTTGCCCACTTCTTTGTTCTGAACATTGTTATGTACACACTAAGCACAACCCCTCATTTAGGGACCAATTCAGCTAATGACTGCTTGCACATTGCAACATGGCCATTAAATGAGGGATGTCTACAATAATTAATAAATGAAAATAAAAACAAAAAGGTCAAAGTTTATCCGAAAAGAAACAGAAATATTATAACTTCTATTTATGAAATGATAGCCTCATGTTAATTCTCCCAAAGTAAATCCAACACTGAAACTGAATACTACAGGATATTTATCATCAAATATAGGCTTAAAACAATTCAAAAGTAAAGCACACAGTAGATTTTCAACATTTTAAATAAATTGCATTATTTTAAAGAAAACAGAGCCTGGTCCTCTTGTGTAGGATACGGTGGCACATGCCTGTAATCCCAGCATTCACAAGGCCGAGGCAGGAGGACAGCCTCCAGCTCATGGCCCGCCTGAGCTACAGAGGAAGACTTAGAAGAAAGAAAGGAGGACAGAAAGAAGACTAATTTTGATATTTCTACTTTTGAAACTCAAAATAGAAGATATACTGAAGGTATTCCTTGAAGAGAAAAATCAGTCAGTAGTAGTCTAGTTAATTTCAGTGATATGAGACATAAATTCTGGTTATGGAACATATTGAAAAGAGAAAACCTGTAGGTAGTTACAATAAGGCAAAGACTTGACTGAATGCGCAGAAGAGAAGCTAGCGACAAAGCTAGGGGGACAGTAACTTGACCCTCAATAGTAAATATTAGAGATTTCCATTCCCCAGAAGGAGCTAAAAACTCCTGCTAATGTCTCTTTGCAAACTAATGGCTGATTGGTTAGTTTGCTGGCTTGTTTTTTTGAAACAGAGTCTTGCTCTGTAATTCAGGATGGCCTTAAACTCACTGAGGTTCAAGCCCAGGATGGCCTCAAACTTGCAGCAATCCTCCTGCCTCAGCCTCCCAAATGCTGGAATTACAGGCATGCACCAGTACATCTATCTGGCTTTAGTAGCTTTTTTCAATGAATAAAATCTAAGGGGTTTGGGATTTAGCTCAGCGGCACAAGTGCCTGCCTGGCAAGCATGAGGTCATGCATTCAATCCCCAGTACCAAAAAAAAAAAAAGAAGAAGAATGAATAAGATCTAAGGAAAATTTGTTACTAAATAAACATTACTTATAATTTGGTGACATTCAGTAATTCCTTAGAATCAGTTAACACTATTGATAATATTCTATTTCTTCCTCAGGATTACTTGCTGCTCTAATAAATATATGGTTCGATAATGGTAAATCTGAAACTAATTCCTGCAAGCATTATCACTGTGCTTTTAGTGGAAAAAAAAAATATGTAACTAAAGATAAAAATGATACCATGTGGAACTGGTTTCTATCTAACCCCAAAATATGAACATGCAGATCCCTACAAAGACCAGTATCAGAGACCTTATATTAGAAACTCAAGACAACAGAACACTGTCTATAATATGCTATGAACCACAAATTTTATGCCTAGCAAAGGAAACACACTAATTAGCTTTTACCCTAAAGGAACTATAGGAAACACTGGAGACTGAATCCATTACAACACCAGATTAAACCTAGATAACTATGGTAACTATGGCTGTAAATAAAAAGTAAATGTAAGTACTAGGAAACAAATTTATATAATAGTAAAAATTCTCTGCTATGTTTACATGCCTAAACTACTCTAATGATTGAAAAAATCAAACAGGGGAGAGGGTACAGGATGAAGATCCTATTCCAGTTCCAAAGGACAGATACTCAGTTTCACTAATTTCCCCTGTTTCTCCAGTTTCTTCTCACACTGCTGCCCTCCACCCCGTTTTAAAGACAGCATTCTGCACTGAGCCCTGTCATTTACTTACTAATCCATCACGAAGAGCCTGTCATGCCTTCAATGCAGTAATGTAAATGGGAAGATGGGAGTGAGGAATTACAGGATCAGTAAAAACAGAGGAGGCTACTTTGGTGACAGACACTACTTATCTCCCCACTTCCCAGTGACAATCAAATTGAAGCCTTTGCTGAAGTAGATACGGGTGGTAGGGCATAGGGACACTTAAAACGTGTAATTACCCACAGAACTAAATTATATACGTTTCCAGTTTCTGTGGTAGCAGGGGAAGCAACCTATGGTAAAATACAGACAACAAATGAAATAACAAGAAAACCTAAATGAGACTGGATAGGCAAGAGAAGACCAGGGCTGGGTGTAGTGGCACATGCCTATAATCCCAGCTGAGAAGCTTAGAAGGCTGACGCAGGAGAATCGCCAAATTCGAGGTCAGCCTGGATTGCCTGGGGAGAGCCTGCCAAAAAAAGCCAAAAAATAAATAAAAATAAAAATAAAGACAAGACCAAAACAGCTGTACAGTTAGTCGCATAGTGTTTTTATGATGTCAATCAGTAGCCACTTAAAAGTGTCTACAGATAGTACAAAAGTATTGGCTTCTATAGTTAGCATTCACGGGTATGGGAACAGTTAAGAGGATCAAAGACACAAGAAGTCCAGAATGCGAGCAGACATCAGAGGGACCAAGTCTCAGGTGAACGCTGATCCTCATATCTTTGCCCCAGTCAGTGCACAAAACTCTAAGTATTTCCCATAGTGACTAAGACATGGAGAAATCAATCACTCAACTCAAGGGAATAAAAAAGGAATGCCAACACTTGAGGAAAGACTTGTAAGACAGCAGAGATGATAATTCTGTGTGGTACAGACTAAAATGCCACTTAGTAACTACCAAAAGGATGCTGCTAACACTTCAGCCATCAGAGAACCATCTCTCATCTTCACGAGACACTGACGGATCACTGTTTCAGAGCACAGCAAACTGAAAAGGTTAACACGTCTTACAGAGCAATAATAAAGCTGAAACCCAGAAAGACAGACAATATAAAAAGATTGTCAGAAAGACAATATAAAACAAAACTTAAAAGCTCAATATATCAACTTCATTTTAAGAGATACCACTCAATATTAGGAAATCTATTAAGATAATTGAAATGAAAGAAAAGCCAGATTAAACTCCGTAATAGAAAGCACAAGAGCATTTGATAAAATCCAACATTCATCCTTTAACATACCATGTATATTAAGTCAATAAAATCCTCTAAAGAAACCACTCTGCTCACTTTTAAAAACCAAGGTTAAGTACAATTACAAACTGCATAATTTTCAATTTAAAAGGAAAATATACTCCAAATATGAATATCAAAAATCCTGAAGACACTACTGTAAGACTTTTAAAG